TTTAATTTAGTAAATTTAATTTACTCAGCTGTTTTTCTTATATTCACAAACACAATTTTCCTTTTAATTTCAAAGACGAAATTTGTAAACAACCGATTCATGAACCGACCGCAAATTAAACCGGTAATTTTTGAATTTAACGGCCAATCAAAATATTTATTTTCATGAAGAGTGTACAACTAAGTATAAGATAAATAGGTACTTTTTTCTAGGATGTCTTCAACAAACTTATACAGTTTCTGGTCCTCTACTGATCGTCTCCAGACAAATTTTCAATTCTTGGAATCTTTTACGGAATATTCGTGAAAACAAATATCAGACGAATTTAAATTAACTAATTAATCTTATTTTTCTTTCAATATGAAGTTTTACTACTAGAAGTTTTATTCTTGAATAATCATCATTACAAATTTATATAATAATGAAATTTTAAGGCCAGGAAGTCTTTGCTTTATGTCCTTTATACTTCTTCCTATATTTAAGACCAGTGACTAAGGTTGAGCTTTTTGGAAAAGCTGAAATGCCATCTGTTTCAGGATTGTATCTTCTATATTCAGCTATGACATGGAGATTGGGAAGATCATTTTCCTTTACTAATGTTTCGTACGGTGTGTGAGTGTCTATTGGTGTTCCATAGAATCTGACAACATCCTCTGTAAAAAGAATGGTGATTAAAATCTCAATATTTTAATTCCCCTTTGTATGTTTTACTCAATGTTTTCATTTCAAAGAGTTGAGAATTTGGAACCGAATAATTAAATACAGTTGAACAGTTCCTAAGCAAATCAAACTTCTGATCTTTGAAATTTGAAATTCCTCCCATATCCGCGACAACTTTATCAACAATTTCCTTAAAATCCCTTGGAGGCTCGTAGGGTTTGATTGGTCTTAAAAATCTAAAATGAAATTTTATTTATCAAATTGTTTTAATCATTTTATCATTGCAAACTTACCCTTTTGCCTTTATACTTTCGATCTGTGCATTTATTGGTTTGTAAACTATTGGTTTCTGATGCGGTTTAACTCTGTTTTTGCTGGCATAAGTTCGCACAATATTCAGAAAACCTCGCATCATTTTGTATGAATTTATTTTTCCGATTTTTGTAAACACGAGAGCTACATTACAACCTTATTATTGCGTGTCAGAGCTTCAAACCGATATTAACCGAAACTCGTTCAAAACCTCTCCAAACCGAAAATAATTTGTTTTGAATTTCCTGCAAGGCACGAATTTTTGGAAAGTAAATAAAACAAATGTTATCATCATTAAAGTTTAGATATATTTGACGTGAGTTATAAGAATACCAACAAGTTCAATTGAAATTGTTATAAAATATAAAATCAATATATTTTTCAAGTCAACAACGATTATTTATGATTATTTTTTTATTCCAGGATTTCTAACAGGATAGATAAACTTAGCAATGCTAATACATGCAATAAGAAGTTCAGCAAGATATTGCTCAATGCCTTCATTCTTAAATCAACAAGCCAACAGATTAAATCGATTGACACCAATCTCATGTCATCTTCACTTTCACCAAAATAAACACGAAAATATCAAAAGAACCGGTTTCAAGTTAGAAGCGTCACCAATTATGCATAAATCTATTCATAGCCATAGCGCTTTGTATTTCCAATATTCAAATTTATTAGATCAAAAGGTAAAAGAGAATGTCAAAAAGATTGACAATGATGAAAATAAGTCGGAAGCTGAAAAAGCGGTTGAGGCACTCGAGGAAGGAAAGAAATTGGGACTCTTTGCTCGATTCAAGAAAATGGCTAAAGATTATTGGTATGTTCTGATTCCAGTCCATGTTGTCACTTCATGCTTTTGGTTTGGTTCATTTTACTATGCTTCAATGAGGTAATTGAATTCTTGATTTTTCGTTTAAATATATTTTAAAATGCTTGTTTTGATTTTCCAGTGGAGTCAATATCGTCGGTTTACTGGAATATTATGAGTTCAGTGAAACTATCATTAAACCTTTGAGAGATTCTAAATTAGGACATATAGCTGTAGCATATTTTCTATATAAAGTGGCAACACCGGCGAGGTACACCGTGACTGTGGGTGGAACAACATTTGCAATAAAATTTCTATCACATCGTGGAATTATTAAACCAATGCCAAGTCGAGATAAACTTGTACAAATCTATAAAGATAAAAAAGATGATATACAAGAAAAAATTGCTGACAAGAAACAAGCTTTGCAGGATAAAAAGCAAGTGTTTCAGGACAAATTCATGAAGAAAGATTAATGATTATCTAGATTCTAGAAACGCTGAATAAATATTAAGTTTTATAAACGAACTAATTTAATTATGAAAAGTCGAAATTTTTTTCATCCTTTAGATTTTTTTTTCGCAATTTAAAAATAAATCAAATGAAAGCGAGCGACTTGATGACGTAATTACTACTTTGATTTTTGTCTGTCTATAAATATGAATCATTCACGCAATAAAATGTCTCACAATCATTCCCAAAAACAATGTCAATAAATCGTGCAAGATTGTTATTTTCTATTAACACAACTTCATTAGCTTGCACATCATTTGTATACAATTTTTATGATGATTAAATGCGATCCGAAAGGAAATTGTTTTCTCGTTGCTGCTAAGAGGGGAAATGAGACGAACGATGAATGAAACTATAGAAAGGCTCTTCTATTGAATAAAAGGATAGTAATGGGAAACTTCTAAAGTGATGGGCTTTACCATAATCAAAGTATCAAATTTCAGTAGAAATATTTATGATTCTTTCAACTCTTCGAAATGGGGTAAAACTTTATTACATTTCAGACGAAATTGTTAAAATTTCCCACAATCATTCGCTGACAAATCAATCATTTCAAAAAAGTTTCTCGTAATCAATTGAGAAGAATAAAAACATTAAGAGGCGACAAATATTCAGCATAAAAAAATTTCAATGTTTCCCTTTGCTTTTCATTGAATGCAAAAAATTTTTCAAATTATTGTTAAACTGAGAAAATAAATCTTGGGCCATGTTTCATATTTAGCGAAAGCTTTAAAAACATTTTAAGTAATCTCAATGAAATATCTTCTAAATTTACAAGCAGTCCAACCCTCGCACATTTTTTTCTTCATTCATGACGTCATTTGATTGTAAAACGATCAAATAATGTGAAGATGAAACTCTCTGTCTACTTGTTGTAAAAAACATGAGAAAAAAAATTTCCCCTCAGATTATCCTATAATTTTCATGCAAAAGAGAAGCATTGAATATTTGTTGGTGGGAGAATGAATATATGGCTGCTAACACCAAATTACTTGCCAGATGTATTAATCAAAACAAAGCGGGACAAATAACAACGATTAAGATTGATAACCGGGGATAAACCATTCTCATACATCTTCTCGGTGTTGCTGCAAATGCGCAACAGTACGAACGAACAAAAAACTTGAATGCCATGCGAGAAATCATAGTGGATGATATAAAGGCTTGTTGTGCGGTGAGGAAGTGCTATTATTGGTTTGACTGCGACTAGAATTAGAAGTGGAAGTATTTCTACTGTTTAGTTTTGAAACCATAAAATTGAAATCTTGATCTTATGATTCAATAAATTTTAAGTGATTTTAATTTCTGTGATTTGTGAGTGGAATTGATTAAAGTTATCAGTAATTGAAGGATTATTCAAGAAGGTTGAAACTTTGAAAGGTGAATTATTTTAAGAGAATATCATTGAATTGTGAATTTTAATAAAGTCTTATTTTGTATATGTTTTCTTGAGAACAAATTTCTTCATTTCGCAAAGCATCCTTTAATTATTTAAAGTATTATTTAACCTTTCAATAATTTTTCTTATTTTGGCTTAATTTGCATGATCAATATTAATTAATGAATTCATTATTTACTGGGATGTTTCAATGTTGCTCTCCAGATTATTTTTCAATATTAATTTCATTTCATAATCAATGTTGAAGATTTTCTACATTCCTACTTATCTAGAAGTCGCTGTTGCTCTGAATTAATAAAAAGCATAGAAACGGTTGATATTAAAAGCAAACCTGAGAAGCGTCGGTTTTTATCCTTTGTGGATAATATTACCAAATTAAAAACTTTCGTGTATCTACGAAATCTCATGCGTGGATATTTAAGTGAAGTTGAGTTTCCCTTGTAATACAAGACACCACTTGAACAGTTTTTCACATATTTAGTTTCCGTTTAGAGAGATGTGTGGAAATTGAGAAGAAAGTTGATTTTCTTCACTTTGGAGTTTGCCTTGGTTTTCGATGATTTCATAGCTGAAAATAACAAACTTCAATTCCCAGTTGAATATTCACAGAATGTGGGTGAATTTATTTTTATTTTCTTTGTAACTTTGAACATTTCCTTCATCTCAAATTGTAAGATAAGAGGAAATTAATGGACATTTGCATAACAGTTAAAGTTTTCCTGTTCAGCTGCAAGAAGCATGGACAGGTTAGAGAATAATGAATGCTTTCTGAATACATCCGTAGATAATCAAGGAAGTAAAAGTAATTCTCTATCCTTTCTCCATTTATCCTTTATTAAGATAAAATACATATATCATCACGTTCCTTTGTTTTCGACAATGATTTATTCTTGCGTTCGTAAATAAAACCATCGAAGCAATGAAATATGTTGAAATAACAAATCAATTGAATTAAAATAGAATATTTAGGTACTCTGTTCTTATTTCGACACCAATGTTTTCAAGAAGATTCGGTTCAATAAGTTACGAAAATATATTTTGTGAACTTTAAGTCTCATCCACATGTTAAACTCTCACGAAGTTAATGTCAAAAATTTTTTTTTATAATTGTTTAATTTAAATTACTCGAAGTCATGTTAAGTCATAATTCCATAGATATTGTGAATATTTAACAATAAATATCTCATCATGTTGTTATAAAATCGAATAAACATGATTTCTCTCGAAACTAAGACTTTGTTTTTACATATAACGCAAAAATTTGTTTTTCATGTTTACGAAATCATGCATAAATACTCCATCGTAAAGTTGATCGTATAAGAAAATTTACACCAACGCAAATTTTTCACCAAATAAAATATTCTTTATCTAATCATCGAGTGATTATCAGACTCATCTGTCATCGCTTATAATAAATTTAATAAGGGCGAATAAAAAATAATTAAGCATTAATCTTCTCATTATGATTGAGCGGAAAATTTCGTTAATACTTAGCGATTACTAAAACCTTGCGGTGTTGATATAAATAAATTAAAGATTTGATTTTCTTCTTTTTCATAAACAAATGAAATTCTATTGGAATTATTTTGGAACAACAATTCATCGTCTGAAAGTTTTCAATTCTTTTTTTAGATTTTTATTAACATCTTCTGAGATATTAAACAGCTTTGCAGAGTCAATAATGTTTGCCAACATACTTTTGTTATCATTACTAACAATAATTTATGGAACAAAAGGAGAAGAAGGTGGTGGTGGAGGAACTGCAATGGATAGAAACTTTCTTCACGATGTTTCGCAGCAGCGTCTAAACGATGGTAGATTAAAATTATTTACATTAGCATAAACTTTATAAAGATTTTTAAATTGTGATTTGTTAAAACAGATTTAAACTTCATTAAATCTACGAGATCAATAAGAACTCCTTTTAGAAACACAGAAATTATGACGGCTCGTGGCTTTGGAAAAAGAAACGGAGAAGAACCAGCACCAGTTTATATCGGAAATAATAATGAAAGTAATAAAAGTTTTATCATTAACCTAGATTCGCTTCTACTCCACATATTTCAATTTATTTTTACAAATTTAGAAAGAACTTTAGACCAGCAAGTCAACGATGAATATCGTGACGACACTGGAAATAGTATCTTCAAACCAAAGCACTTGGTGTTTCCATTCAACAACCCACTCTTGAGAATTTCGGAATCGTTGTTAGATGACTCATCGGAACAGGATAATAGCAGAATGCCGCCAATAACACGAAACCATCAACTGCAGTTAAGAGATGGAACTTTGAAATTTCGATTAAACGATGGAAATTTGAGAATAGGACGCGGTTTTGGAAAGCGAAGCTATGCAGCTGATCCCATAGCTGAAAAGTGAGTATTTTAGTAACAACAAGAAACTAAATGAAATTAATGAAGAGAAAATAAAATTTAATTAATTAATTCATTAGTTTCAGAGCATTACAATTTTTCCGAAAATTAGCGGAACAAAATCCAATGGCATACAACAGTCTGCGAGATGAAAAATAGATGTAAAGTAAGAGAGAGATGCATAACTCAATGAATTTGTTACAATAATTAATCAAGAGGCTGGAGATTATTTATTGCAACGATGGAAATTGTGCTTATGTTGATTAAAAAGCAAATAAAAACAAAAACAGTAATAAAAGAAATAGATTTAAATATGAGATTTATCGAATCCAGTTTAATTGAAAATTCTTTGTTAATTAATAAAACTTACGTCACTGTTGATTTCAGCCAATTATTGTTGATAAACTTTACAAATTTTTGCTGCTTCTACGGAAGCTAAGAAATCTCAAAATATTTTTATTTTTGACTTTTAAAACAAATTAAATTGCTGACCGCTGTTTGGCTGCAAATTCTTCATTAAGAACGTCTCTCAGCTTTAAAATCATTTCTAGTTTAGAACTGCAACTGTTTGCATCATAAAAAAAAGGTTAAAATGAGAATTAAAATTCTTCTTGTTGTTAGCTTAATAAGTTTAGTAAAATGTGGTGAAAATTCAGTGTCCATAAATTTAAGAAATGTCATCAACAATGTTAATGAGAATTTCATAAGCTACGATGTTGACTTTTTCGAGCTATTGGCTTTGCATCAAAATCAAAAATCGTTAAACAGCCTCGGTTTAATTTCTCCCGCCTACATCAAACTACAAAAATTTTCACCATTTTTGAATGGAAGGAATAATGAGAAAGTTAATGAAACAACTGTTGCTTCACTGTTTGAATCATTAAAGTAAGATAAATGATGTTTTTCCCTTTTAAACCCCTCGTGCTTTTATAATAAATTCAATTTCACCTTTAAATTGAAATATTTTCATGAAGATCACAACAACTCACTCCCATCATTGCCATCGACTACAATATTTCATCGTTTGATTCCATGAATTTACTTCAGGAAATGAAAACAGCACGCGAGTTGAAGATTGAAGAATGTATTTGGCAACTTGGAAATAAAAGCTCAAGTTTCGAAAACAATTTTAATTTAAAGAAATATGCTGACGACTTGAAAACTTTGAGAATTCTTTGCGAAAGTGCGAATAGGGAATACAACTCAAAATGGATTGTTGGTGCGGTTGAGCCGTTGATGAGTATCCGTGAAAAGCTTCCATCTGATATCATTGTTATTGATTCTCAAAAGTAAGTTTATTACGCAAGTTTTGAAAACTTTTCTTTGTTTACCGAGTCTGTTTTTACTTTTAGAATGTCCACTGCTCAAATATTGTCAAAATCGAATACTATTGCAAGAAACATTTATTCATCAACACGCCATTCACCTTTATGGGTGACAGTTGAAAAATCAACCGACGAGACGATGCCAAATATTTCTTCAACGTCAAAGCATGACTCATGCGATCAAGATTGCGTTTCGAAAGGTCTTTTATACGCTCAAGTTTTAGGGGATTCCGCAAAGAACGGTTTCAATGTTCTTTTCTTTGATGAACCTGCAAACGTTTCAATCTTCCCTAAAACTGAGAAAAATCAAAATGCATTGCGACAAGCAATCACAACCCTTCATAAAAAGTTGATTGGAACAAAAGTTTTCAATACGCGAATAACTAAATCACTGCAACATGGAAAACTTGTGCATCTTTATTCATATTGTTCAAAAAAGATAAACGGCGCAATCACTCTCATAGGAATTAATTTCTCAAACTTGCGAGCTAAATTTAATATTAAAATGTCTCCTCCATTGGATCCTAATGTCGTTATAATGCAATATTTGTTGAGTGTTTCCGATGGAAATGTATTATTAAATAACCAGAACTTCACATCAGAAGCAGCTCCATCATTTAAGTTTAAAAAACTTTCGAAATACGCAATCGACTTGATTCTTCCGCCTTATTCAATCGCATTTTGGACTATTCAGAATGCGAAGGTTAACGAATGTTTAACTCTAAGCACTGTTAAAACTGAAGGTGAAATTAAACCTAAATCAATGTCATCATCAGATAAATTGCTGACAAAGTTAGTCGCTAATGAGTTTGGGGGCAAGGTAAACAACGCTATCGAGAAATCATTTCGAGTTAAACGACAAATCGGTGGAAATGGACCATTTCTTCCTGGTGGCTTTGAATTCGAACTCCCAACATTGAAAATTCCTAATCTTCTGCCATCAGCCTCAAATGTTTCACCCTTCAAAGATGTTTTATTCAACAAAAACAGCGACATTTATAAGCAATCGACGTCTGAATCAAATCCATTGCCGCCAAGTTCTAATCCAACTCTTCCGACTGGTGATGTTTTTCTTTTAATTGATGATGGTAGTGCTGTTGCCAACAATTTTGATTATGTACAAGTTGATTCTGAACCCAGAAAACTTAAAACTAATCGAAGGAAGACACCAGCAAATAAACTAATTTTCAGAGAATCTACTGAAGCACCAGAATATTATGCACCATACGATTATGTTGATGCAACGTCATACAAATCTCCAAAGAAATCATCAAAGAAATCAACATCAAAAGCTCAGCAACAATCAAAAGAATTTGGCGAACTTTTTGAACTCGAAAGGTTCCCAATGAATGATCAATTTAGAAGTGCAAGTGAACAATATGAATTGCATACAATTGTTAAAGATCTCGAACCAACATATCGACAAAGTAAAATGGCTATGACGAATGCTAAACGAAAATGGGATCGAGATCAAATAATGGAGTTTTTAAAAGATGCAGATGTTGAGGAAGTTAACAGAAGTCACATGCAAGACATAGATGACTTTGAGGTCATTGATTTAACAGATAATAATGAGTCACCAAATTACGAAGAGTATGCGGATGATGATGATGACGGGTTTTTCAGCGACGATAATTCGCATCGTGTAAGAACAAGACGAAATGTTGATTACACAAAAAACGAAATTCCCAAGCACGGTTTTCATTTTGTTGACGATGACGAAGAAGATGAAGTTTCTGTTGAAAGCATGATTGACGATGTTCACATATTTTTGCCACCAAGAGTTGGTTTTTCAAGTGATTCTGTAAGAAATAAACCCAACACAGAAACAACCACAACTCATCCAACAACAGATTTGACTATTAAAGCGGTTGATTTCTTCTCAAAATCTTTGACCGACGTTTTTAATGTCGTTCATAAAACCTTTGTTGGATGGTGGAATGTTTTCACTCCTGAACCTTCTTCTGATTATCAATAATCTAAGTTTTCTCATTTTTTGTATGAATTTTTTAATTGCACAGATAAAGAATTATTTTCAGTAAATTTAAAGTTTCAATTTTATTGTCAATTCTATAAATACTTTTTTTACAGTACATTAGTCTATCCAATCTTATCATGGTACATTAGTCTTGTCGCTTGAAAGTGATAACAAGTAGCGGCATCTTTAAGAAGTTTTGGAATTGCGCAACGCAACATTCATTCGAGTTTTCATCTGCTCAACACAATTTATTATAAAGCTACTTTCATGAAAAATATGATCTTATAATTTTCTTTAGTAGAAGGAATTAGAAGCATTAAATGCATTTAAGTTTGTTTTTATTTTTTCTATTCTCAAAAGATTTGGGATAAAGGAGATTAAGGATTTCTTAGAATTTTTGTTTGTGGTGTCGCAACAGCTTTTCACACAACATGTAACACGCCACATTTTGATTGAAAAAATTATTTCTCGAGAAAAGTTTAGTTTAAGTTTGGAGTTCGATGGAATAACACGTTAGAATCAAATTGTAAGCACGCGTTCATTAAATTGTAGTGATAAGTCAAAATGATTGATTTAAGCAGTTTGCAAGATTTTTCTTGCTCTGCATTCGTGCTATCAAGTGAAATAAATTAAATAAATTGGAGAATGAGAAAACAATTTATTGAATGTATCCACAAATATTTAATGGAAACAATTTTCAAAATTACAGAAGATAAAAAGTGTTACAAGTCCATAAAAGTTAAAATATTATCTAAACAAATCGAAGAAAAAAGTTGAAGCATTTTAAAGTTAGAAGCGAATGGAAAAAAATTCTTTTTGAAAAAAGTCGTTAACAGTAAAATTAAAAAAATGCGAATGAATAATTGAGTGTTTACAAAAAAAAATAAAAACTGAGTAAGCATATTGAAGTGGTCACATCGACGCAATCATTCATTGACGGAACCAAAAAGAATAATATTATTCGTGTGTATTCAAGCTGGTCGTAAACCGCTTGAACAAATATTTAAAGTTTGACAACTGCAAAAACTTCGTTTTAGTTAAATTTTGGTCTCTTTTAAAAGATAATTTAGATAACCAGAAGCGAATTCTTTAGATAAAGCTTACAATTGCCATCTTCAAAATATCTCCGATTGTCATAAGTGTACACGAGAGAGCTCTTAGAGATTACACAACAATGAGAGAATGTACTTCGTATCATGATTTATCTTTGAGTCAAAAGTTGGATTCGCTTCCTCTATCTCTGTTCAAATTCACCAAGTTTTTAAACTTTAATTTAAAAGTCCTCAGAATTGGAGATATTTTCGTTCAAACTTTATGATTTTTCGTTGCATCATTTAGTTGTTAACGCAACAGAAAGATTTCTTTTAAGATTTACCTCCCAGGCAATCTTCAATTTCGTCATCTTTACAGGAAACTTAAAACTAATTTAAAAAGTTTTAATGATATTTAGCTCTAAAGTAAAATTCGGTAAACAGATGTTGAAGTTAGCCGTGTCCTTTTAAAAGCTTTGGTGTCCGCATAAGTGTTCTAAAAAGCAACTTGAGGGTTGTTCCGTGTTTTTACTTTGTTAAATATGGTTTCAAACTCAGTTTTTTTTTTGAGATTTAACGTTTCAAAGCTAGTGAAAACGACCAAATTAACTTTACTTGAAAGCCTAAAGGCCCCATTTTCACCATTCTTGCTTTACAAAACATTTGCTAAAAAATCTTATGACTTCACTGAAGTGCAAAAAGACAAAACAAAAAAAAACCACCACGAAGCTTTTGAGTTTTGGTGTTCATAGGAACAAAATTTAATTTCAGTGTTTCTTCCGTTGAGCTCCTTTCTTTTTCATTCTTTTTGTTAACACATTTTTTTCAAGAATGATAAGCCGTAATTTAAAAGTAATTTCCTTTTTGTAACTTTACACAATTACCACAGTGATTTTATTTAGCGTTATTTAGAAGAAGATATTTAGCTTCTTCTTATTTAATTCTTTATAAGAATTAACGCTGTAATACTTTCTTTTGTCTAGTCAGCAAAAGCAACTTTCCACGGCATGAATTTTTTGAGTAACTTCTAAGAACAATCCCAACCTTCGTTGCACATAATTTTTCATTTTTTAAATATTCAATTTCATTATGTTGACTTTCTTTGTATTAAAATGACAAAGTTTTTCGCCATTTGAGCCGTTTCATTGATATTCCAAAGTTAAATGATATTTATGAGTCGTGTGACGCGTTTAAGAATCCATGTCCCAAAATGAATTTTGTTGTCGCAGCATTGGATTACTCTTTTTCTTTTAGAAAACATATTTTATTACAAAGAAATATCTTTTGGATTTACACTTTCTCCACTGAAAACTCACGCGCCACGAATATAAATTCTATGAATTTTATAAAATATGAACGGGAAGAAATAAATGTTGGAAAATTTTATGACGCGTTATGTTTGCGCTATAAAATTTTAAGCTTTATTATTTATTTGTTAGACTTTCCAAGTCTGCATTCTATTCATAGATATTTCTATATTTCCACCCACATATACAGCAATTAAGTTTTCTGAAAATTGAGGAAATTTCATTTTCGTTTTTCTTTTGTAGCAATTATTCAATGCCATTTGTCGCGCAAACTATAAAGTTCGTGGGTTGTGCGATTTGTTCAATTAAACCAATTAACAAATGACTTCGACAATGAATTCAAAGACTCTATGAAAGTGATCTAAATGAAAACTAAAGGAATGGAAGCGGATTGTTCGGATGATGAGTGTTTTAAACAAATAAGTGAACATTTAAGAAACAATACAGAAGTGAATGAAAAGATTGCTTCATCTATGAATGGAGCAAACATAAAACAATTAATCGAGATGCACCATGACAACATAAATATTAGCAACAATGAGAGCATATTCGATAAATCACTAGAAAATTTTCGTTTCCATAATGCAAACATTTACTTAAACGATAGTGGAAGCGCCGTGCAAGGCCCGTATCGAATTAATTTCACTGATCTCATTTTCGTCGTTGTGTTCTGTTTGCTGATAGTCATCGTAATCATAGGAAATACTTTGGTGATTTTATCGGTTCTTACAACGAGACGCTTGCGGACAGTTACAAATTTGTTCGTAATGAGCTTAGCTGTTGCTGACTGGCTGGTTGGGATCTTTGTCATGCCACCCGCTGTCGCTTACTATTTAATGGGTTCGTAGAATCTTGTTCTTAAAGTTCTATCCAATTGTTTCTATATTGAGAGTGTCCACAAATCATTTACGCTAGTGACGCAGAAAAACAATAATCTACATTTTCTGAATGCTTTAAACATCTCGAGAGACATCATTAAAGCATATTTACTATCAAAGTGTTAAATTCAACATGTACAATATCTAGCGTGATTTGATATGTGAACATTTCCCAACACATTCCATTAAGAACTAAATTGAATTCTATTCTATCTTCCCAAAAGGATCGTGGCACTTAGGGTGGATTCTTTGTGATATTTGGATATCCCTGGATGTCTTGCTGTGTACAGCAAGCATTTTAAGTTTATGTGCGATAAGTATAGATAGGTCAGTTAAACATTTATTTTCTCATTGTGTTCCTTTTTGTTTTTCACTTACATTATTGCTCAAGCAAACTTCATCCTTTATAGGAAAAGTTTCTTATTTTACCTCCTACGAGCTTGAGGTTGTCTTCATTCTTAAAGCTTATTAAATAATTTCTCAAGAAAATTGCTCTTGATAGAAAAGAAAAAATTGATTGAAGTTTTTTATTTTATTGTCGATGTAATTTCATTTTTACTTCATTTATTTTTCGATATTTTCTCTTCGTCTCAATAAAAATCTGTTAGCTTTAAGAAGTTGAGACTGTTATATTTAAAAGATAAAAGAAGAGATACAACAATGGCATGGCGTGAACTCAAATCTGTTTGTGCTGTCATGTATTATCACATCAAAGCCTAAATTCATCTTGACTTGAAAGGCTTCAATGCTTCACAATTATCTTGCAAATAGAGTTGGAATGATTGATACATTGTTACCTAATACTTTCTCAAGAATGCTGCTGAAAATATTTTCTGACAATGAAATTTAATTAAAAAATTGTAGATGTTGTTGCTAGTCGAGGTAGAGTCAAGACACGTACACTCCCTTTTAAAACTCATTTAAAGTTCATTTAGAACTTGACTATTTGTGTGCTTTTAAGTTTGTTTTCTATTAAAACTAATTTAGGAGGGAAGTGTCTTCCCAGATGCTGTTTCCATACTAAATCTAATATCAGGTAGTCGAGGAGCTTGTTGAAGTCATCAAGTAAAAACAGAAAGATGTGTTGTAATCAATATTTTTCAAGCTTTCAGCAAAATGCCAGGAAAGGAAGACCACTTTTCCGAATGATTTATGATCGAGTCATAAAGACAAAGAACCCTCTTCCTTGCAAAAGCCTTCGTCCCAAATATATAAATACATTTTCATAAAACTTTACAAGATACTCTGTGGAAATAGAAAAAGAAGCGTGTCAAGAATAAAGTGAAAAATAAAAGAGGAAAAAATGTGAAAAATAGACGCACAGGGAGTTTGATGAAGACAACAATAAGCAGGTGCAATTCATCATCATTCGCTCGAAAATGTGTTGTCAAAATTGATGTTTGCATATTGTTGTGTTAAATCAACGAATAAAGCGCACCTCGTTCATTCAATGTTTACATTTGTTTACACCGACAAAACATTCAACCACAATCATTTTTTTCTTCAAGCCTCCACCATTCATGAAGATTATCATGCTATGTTGTTACAATTGTGATGGAATTTGTTGTGTAAAATTATTTTTTCTTTAGGTACTTGGCAGTCACTCAGCCTCTTAACTACTCAAGGAGAAGGCGCTCCAAGAGGTTAGCAATGCTAATGATTCTGATTGTGTGGATTCTAGCACTTGCAATCACTTGTCCTCCAATTTTAGGTATGTTAAGCTTCATTATGCTAAACTTTCTTACATGTTTTGTTATGTTTTGCTGAGCAATCACAACAACATAACATCCATATAAATACGAATGTATAAATTTGTTTTTCCATTCTTCACCATTGGGGTTCGATTTGCATTCACATTAGGCTGGTACGAACCTGGCCGAAGGGATTTGCTCGAATGTCGCTACAATGAGAACAAAGGATATGTCGTCTTTTCCGCTATGGGTAAGAGATGGAATCATGTGTTAAAACATATTTAAGAGTAATCTTTATTTTCTTCTTCTGAATCTAAATCCGAAAGAAACCTCGCTGAATAATTTATTTTTATCACATTCTCTTCATTTATCAAAGGCTCCTTCTTCTTACCAATGCTTGTAATGGTTTATGTTTATCTTCGAATCTCCTGTGTTGTAGCAAACCGCCATGAAGATATGGTGCAAATAAAAGTTCACCAGGTAAAAATCGTTCATCATTAAATTATTTATAATTTTAAGTATTCTCTTGAAAGCATTAAGAATTTATTTGAAGTTTGCTTTCAAAATTGAATTCACTCCATTGTCAGTGCAGTGTAAGAAAGTGAAGAAGAAGTTAAAAAAGTTTTTATCATCTTTTCGTTGCGTACAAGAACGACGTTGAAATTTAGTGAATGTTTTTTCACGAAAACGATTTAAACAAAAAGAGAAAAAAAGAATTGGAGAAGCAAAATATTTGTGTGATTAATAATTGATCTTCTGTTTACATTATGACTTTTATTTAAACGAAAATTATACTGCGGCTTTCAAGGTGTAAACAACAAGCTCAACTACAGTCAATGAGATTTCACAAACAGAATTGTGGAGGTTTCTGAAATGCTACAAGCAAGCTCTATTTTCTTGAGAATAAATCCAGAGATATTTTTCTAAATATTTTCATTGTTATAGCGCCACTTCTTGCGTCAGAAAAAAATCTTTTTCCTAGATAAACATTGGACATGTAGGCAGATAGCTCCTTCGACTAGTTAATAATTCATAACAGTTTTAAATTTATTGATTGCTCGAGGCCTTGGCAAGGGTAAAATTGTAGCTCGCTCATAAAATCCCGAAATCTTCTAACTTGTGAAAGATTTCTTTTCTCCCTAAAATTATGCTTTTCTTCAAAGAATAAAATTTCCTTCTGTTTTTTTTCCGTGGAATTTCGAAGTGATGACGGTTGGATGAGTTGCCTGAAATCTTTTTATTTTTTTTTAGTATGAAGCTTTTCATTTCATTGTATTCAATTATCATCTCACATCACTTGCGATTTTCCACTTAAGTAAACAAGAGTTCGAAGTAAGTTCGATTCGAAGGGTAAATCTCATCCCAATATCTTACTTTTGTCTTCTTCATGTTTAATGTGTATAATTGCAAAGTTTCGTTTTTTTTCTTCACTCCTTTCGTGTTGATAAGAGCTCACATTCTGCTTTCTGTTTACTTTTGAATCGAAATGAGAAGAGCTCGCTTCAAGACGTGAGACACAATCATCAACTTAATATCATTTTCACGTCTTATCGTTATTTTTCTTTCCTTATTTGTTCCATGTAATCAGAACTCACGCACCAAGGAAGTTTGTAATGACGTCGATTTCGAGTCGGACACTGAAAACCGTGCGTGTCAGAACCGTAAGCGTTCCACAGATCTCATTTCAGCAACCACAAAGCTTACGAATAAATGTAACAGTCCTATTCATCCACATCAAGATATTGTAAAATGTATCGAAAAGCTTCAAACAACTCAACATTCTGATGACACGACGTCAAAAAATGGACATTATGAACTCATAAGTATCAATAAAATTCCCGCAGAGGCAACATCAAAAGCAAATTTAAAATGTAACAACAAACTCAGTGCTCAATGGCACCCGAGCTGCGAAAAATCAGCCGCCGACTTAAAACATTCAACACTCACAGTTTCAATATCAAATATTAATAACAATCTTGATAACGGCGATAATATTATCGGAAATCAGCAATTAGGGCCAAGTACTCCGTGCATTTTACGGTCTCGTTCTCATACGAAATCTATATCAACCCGGATATCCTCTTTGAAACGTGAGAGCAAGACAACTCGAACGTTAAGCATCGTCATGTTTAGGTAAGTTTTCTCACCCACTCAACTGTTTGACGATCTTATTTAATAAAATATTTTCATTCCTTCTTTTTTACGTTAAAATCAGTTTTATCGCCTGTTGGCTTCCTTTTTTCATTCAATATTTAATGGTAAGCTTCTCATTTTGTCTGCATAACCTCAAGTTCTCTGTTTTACTTTTATTTAATATAAGAAGATAACATTTACGGTTGTTTCTTTTGGCTAATAGGTTCCATTTTATCCCAGTTTGAAAAACTCCATTGCGCAAAATATTTTAACTTGGCTAGGATGGATTAACAGTGCTCTGAATCCATTCATTTACGCGTTCTACAGTGAAGATTTTCGAGCTGCTTTCTATCGTCTTACATTACGGAGGTTTTGCCGAATGGAGAAGAAGAAGCCATACACTTATCCACTATCTTCTGTATCAGCCCGTCGTTAAAAAAGTCTCAAACCATTTCCTTCTTTGATGTTAACGCTTTGCTGTTGTTTCAACGTACAAATTAAAGCATTCCTACGAGCACAAAGCTACAAATACTTAAATATATTTACAAGATTTTCAACATATTTCTGAAGAGTTTCTGAAGACGTCAGCCATATATGAGTTGATTGTGATAGATTATCTAGGCGTAAAATGGTGAATGGCGTTTTCAAAACGATGACTCGTCTTCAGATCATCACACACAGCTAACAGATATTAAGAATTACATCCTTAAGTATATTTATTTACAGCCAAAACCTTTTAAAAAAGCTTTTAGAAAGCTATATTTAAGCAGAATATTATGGAGATACCTCTGAAGCTATTTTATGATTACATCAGATAAATAAATTGAACTTTGCATTCGTTCATTGCCCAAGCGACATCATATTTCAATAAGTTATACAACAATTTATAAGGAATGAGCTAAATCTCTAGTCATTGATTTATAATGGAAATTTGTTTTCTCATGCTTTGTTCATTCTCTCAAGAATTTTAAATAACTTACGATTTTGTTAGATTAAATACTTAGATTACTCAAGCTCAAGCACATTCCTTTTTCCATTGCGATTTAATCAGATGAAAGTGGACGAAGCTTTTCTTTATTGTTGCTGTGGTGGACTTGAACAGTTCATGCGATTTGAAGTTGAACGAAACCATTGAATAACATTTAAACATGTCAACTCACCGAGAGAGAAAAATTTGTCAATGCATGTGAAATGACAGATAAAAAAAATACGTAAACAAACGAGAAGCGAAATTTGACGACATAAAAAAATCCAATTTGCTACTTTTCAGAAAGGAATCTTATATTCTTTGTCGGTTTCATTAAATTTCCCCCCAACATAAACCTGAACCTGGTTCTCATTCGTTTTCATAGTTCAACATTTTTTCTCGTTTGTTTCTTCTTTCGGCTCAAAAATTTATGACAAAATTATTCCGAAATTTTTTAGATGCTCATCCCTAATATTTTCCTTTCCTTTTTTTTTCTTTGAGCCGAGAATTTCTCTCTTGTTTCCAACTCTCATATAATTGCATTTAATGTCTTGATCCTTTGAATTAAAAGACTATTATTTTTCAAGACACCTGGCATTCCGTTTTCGAATAACTAAGTTCGTATGTTTATAAATGAATTTGTAAATATAAGGCAATGTGTCGTACTTTATCTAATTGTAAATAGAAGAATACAAACACATGACTGTGCACGGCTCTAAGACATTAAAATTGAATCATTGATTCAGTTAGATATTTATTCACACATTTCTTACATAAATTAACACCCCAAGTATTTCAGAAAATTATCATGCGCCATACGCATATTACGTCAAGCTTTTTTTTTTATGAAGAAAAGGGGTGAAAAGCTTTCTGACGCTTTAGAATTTAAAAAGAAGTAGGTATGTGACACATGATTATATAAATATTACAATATTAAGATGACGAAACATACACTTGAAATCATATTACTTACATATTCTGTAGCATTTGAAAGCAAGAATGTTATCTAATAATGATGTTAGTACCTAAAGCATGAAACAAAAATATTAGGAATGTCGTCAAAAATTGTTCGACATGAATGAAATTCAATTAAACAAAGGACTTAATAAATATTATGATATCTATGTATGAGAAAATCATCAACATACAACAAATATTTGAAATTCCTTCATTTCAGAGAATTTTCGGTTCCACACTCGCATATTTGCTTATGTTTTTCAGCAAATGAGTGCAGTCATTGTTTTGTTTAATTTGGGTGAACGTAAAGTGATTATAATTCATTTAATCAAAAAAAATTCTTTATCAAAACGTTTCTTTTCAAATTTAGCTTAAATAATTGCGACAATTAGATCGATTAATATCATTATTTCTAGATTACGATAGCATTTGTTCGTTATGTTTTAGTGCTTCTATTTTGCAAATGTTTTATTTTATTGACTCTCATGAATATATTTATTCACCCTTCAGAAGCTTACTATTTACATATTTATATGTAACTACCTAAGTTGTAATTATTCAGCAGTAAGCTGTGAAATGACCATTTTGATAAACTTGAATATAAAGCTTTCGAAGAAAGCACATTCCAGACCTTCCCTAAATCGTTCAATCGTTAACGATACCTTTGGGACTTCCTAATTCGATTTTTTATTTTCAGTGTTCGTGAATTCAGGTGAAATACTTCGTTAGACTCTTTAATTTGTTTCTAATTAAGTTAGTAAACTTTTGACATTCTCATGTTAAGCATTCTTAAAATGCTTTAATCTTTGGTAAAAGTCTGCATGTAGCTATTTAATTGAGTCATACATTTGATGAAAAGGCATGAAAATTGGCATATTATTTCGTCAAGAAGATGTTGTTTCTATTCTTATGTTACAATGCAAACAACATTAAAAGGCAATTGACATTGGCGAAAGCAGCTTGAACTGAAACTTCAGCTTATAAACATGCGCACATTCACGTCGATTAGCCAAAAGAATTTAAGGACATTAAATAAAAGGAAAATATAAAGCTGCAATCATGTCATTTAATTGAGATAATATAGCAAAATAACTTAATTAATAACTTTTCGTAAGTGCTGTGAGGTTATACCGACAACCAGGGACAAACAATCGATATTAAAACTTCAATAATGTGATATGTTCACATCAAGTTGTAACTTTCGATTCTTCTTTGCTCGATCTCGATAAATGATAAGTAAAAATGTTGTTCATTTACCTCTAATTGAATTGATTCTGAGGAAACTTGATTACGAGACAGTTAATTATTTACCTAAATATTAGGATGCGTTAAAACAAAAAATAATTGAAAAAAGAAAAAGAAATCTAACAACCCTCAGACTGTCAATCGTTTTGATAAACTCAACCTTTGTCAAACGAAATGATGCGTGGACAGTCCATGATTAAGGTCAAGCCATAAATGAATAGCTCTTGTAATTTCGTTATGCTTTTTTGCTTAAATTAGTTAAGTTTGAAGCATGCTTACAATCTCGGAAAATTGCGTTTAAATGAAAAGCTTTCTTTCGTTATAATGAAATGCGTGAAATTTTTTTGCGGTTACTTCTTACGCGTTTTTTGCTTCTATTTCATTAGCTTCCGCTCATTTTGATCCTTTTTTAATTCACAAATTGCTTTGATGAAGATTAATGAGCCGATATTTATTTATTCAAAAATTCTCCGAAGAAAAAGAAAATCGTTTTAATACTTTAACTTGTCAAATCTGTTTTTGATCTTTTAAACTAACTTTAAAATGCTTGCATCTTCAATCTCGTTAGTCTTTATGTAATGAAGTGTTAACCATGAAATATAAAGTTATCTCAAACTGTCAACATATTTTAGGGGCTTATTTAATGTCATTTTAAATACAACGAAAATATCTTTAATCTAAAACCACTCAATGATGCTGCGTACAATGTTCAAGGAATGGAAAATCGATTTCGATATAAATTTTGTATTTTGTTTCGCTCTTAATCATATTAAGGTTTGTTGTGGCTTTTACTCTGTGTTTGGGATTGTTTGCATGATGCATGCTGAACAGGAGCATTGTGTGTAATTCCATATTTTAACTTTGTTGTTATTTCTTTTGCAGTTAATTAATTCTTTATGTTTCCTTAATTAAATTTTCAGAGCCTTGTATCAATCAACATGTCGAAAGATGCTAGAATTACAGAAAACTTTTATTTTATAATTGATGAAGCTTCACTAAGTTTTAGTTGTAGCAGTTCTTAAATTCACTTTCTTGCTTGAGGAAGAGTAAGGAAAGAAAAATCAAGGAAGAGTTTTTTGCGTGTTTAATTAAAGAGAATCTGAACACACCCCAAGAGGTGTTGAGAATTCCTTGAAATTTCAATTACAAGATTTACTGTAAGGTTAAAGCTTTTCAATCTTAAATTTGGAGCATGAACATTATGAACTGCGACCTTGTGAAATGTATTCAAAAAAGTTGTAAAGTTCGTCGAGATGTTTATCATCTACCTACCTAGAATATCTCAGACAAAAAGATAAAAACCTGATTTTGATCCAAAATAAGATGCCACAATAAGAAGTATCTCATGGGTAAAGAAATTCATTTCATCAACATAATAATGCAAATGGATTTGGTTTCAAAATAGATGTCAGCAAAAAGGAAAATTTCTTTCCTTCATTTTTTATTGAAACGAAGTTCGAAATAGCTTTCTTATTTATGAAACGATGAATCACGGTGGAACAAAATGCATATCAGGAAATTTATGGCTTTATTTTGAGTCAATGCAATTTCACCCCTGATATTGATTGTTCCATATCTATAGGTGAGTACACACATTTATATCAAATAGATGTTTCCTATGATAATAATCCACTTCATTCGTGAAGATCAATGGCTTCGATAAATAAAATCGTTTCAAATCATTTATAGAGAAAATACGATATTTTCTTGGAAAAAGTAATGGCGAACCGAATAAGAAAAATGAATCGTTTCAAATTGGATATCTAATTTAAAATAGACATGAATGATGAATAATATTTGACATTTAAAAAGTGCTCAATAATTTTCAATTCATCGCACATAAATCGGCGTTCTAATGAATGAAAATATGCCACAATGTAAAAATAACTATGTGGGAGGGTTAATGAAACGAAAAAACAATTAATTTGAAGGCTAGTGGCCAGTGATGTTATTACTTTATGCGTCATTCTTTATGTGTGTTAATTTTAACATGACATGAAATTTCGACAGAATGACAATCAAAAATAATTAAAAGAATAAAACTCAGCATGACACCTTATCAACGTTGGCCAGGCATTGATGTGTCCGTAACTATCTACATAGAACAATGAAAAACAATGCGACTATCCTTTATAAATACATGCAAACGACTTTAAAAAAACGATGATTATAAAATTGAATTGGGAACCAACAAGTGTCAACACTACCGCGAGCGGCACAAAAGGGAATTCCGCCAAAATTAAATTAAAAGTCACCTTAAAGGAACCTTCCAACAGGATGCAAGACTTCATAGAATCCGCTGAAGAAAGACACAGACGTACAAGCGGAGCAGTTGTGACGCACGAGTACTAAGTAATAAATATATATTTAACCAAAAAATGTCTTACGCATTCAAAGCTAGAACAAATTATTGCTGACCATAATTCAACATTTAATGATTCAGCAGCTTCTGATGATTTCAGTTTACGATAGACATTTTGTACGTAAAAAAATTATGTTTGTTTTTGAAACTTGCAAATTGATTCATTATTATTCAGATATTAAAAACAGGAAAATTGTAGAAAACTTTTAATACTTTTTAAGACGTGTTAGGTACTTGTTTCAAAGAATTGTTTGAGTAGAATGAACAAATATTTACGATTGTTCGAAATCTTGAGATTTTTCTTTAAATACATTCTCAAAAAATTATCTTTATGCTGACTTGCCAAAGGGTTAATTTAGTGTGATTGTTCGTTTCAGAATATAACTAATGATTACTATTCATAGTAAAATCATGAGTTCAATGAATCACTATAATCAGTACATCAATTAGCCTTGAAAATATTCACCACTTAGAATTTCTTCAAATACAGAAATTTCAAGTAAAATGACTGAAATGCCTGACATTGTAGGTGTTTCATTCAGGTTAAAGGAATTGTTATCAATCAAATTCAACTTTTACATCGAGCATAAAGAAATAAATAAATTGAAGTACATTAGTCGACGTCATCATCGTTCACGAAAATAAATTGGAAAAACAGTTAAGAAAAAAGCAAATATTGAGAGAAATATTCTGTTGAGTCGAGGAATTGAGCGTCGAGGGGCTGTTAATGGGTAGAATTGGGTGGTCATGGAACCCCAGAGAATTATATGACAAGGTCCAAAATCATTGCAGAAATTATATATTAGGTTATAAGGAAATTTAAAATTTTTAAAAATTAGATAATAGGAAGAAAAATCTTTGACATGAATTTTCCAAGAAATTTCCCCTTGATCCACGCTTTTCACAAAATGAGAGAATTGAGCATAAGAGAATATTCTCATTTATATCATTACGTAAAAATATCGAAGATTTCAGTAGTGACTGAAAAAGATTTTAAATTAAAATGACATTGTAGAAGTTTTAACAAGTTTTTAAATATTTTGTGCCATTTGCTGTACCTAGGATTAATTTTATTAGCTGCGTTTTGTTAAGTTATACCAAATAGCTTCAGAAATATGTTAGTGAAGTGGAGAAAATGTGTTGTCAACATTCATTTGCAATCTCGTCAGTTTTTATCTCCAATCGTAACAAAAAGTATAAAAAATCAGTCGTTATCAACAACAAAGTTATCGAGAAATCAATACGATGATTTATACGCTGACAGATGGGCGAAATTTCAGTGTTAGTTTTATTTAGAGTTTGAAGTTCCGAATCGATTTTCTTCTTGATTTGTCAGAGGAATTCCATAGTGTTATGAGATATCTCTCAGTGAACTATGCGATTCTCTTGGCGTTTCATGAACGTGGCACTTTCGCTCTGAGAGAATTTCATACAACTTGTACACAAAACAAGTGCTATAACAACATGTGTTGATCTTTTTTCTTTTGTTCACAGCGAAAAAGCTGCCGAAAAATGTTGACGCCAAAGGCGTTTTTGCCGCAAACGAACTTGATTTAGATGAAGTCAATATTTACGGATTCGATTATGATTACACGTATGTTTGTTCTCGCTTTTAGATCTTATAAACAGATTTTGAAATCATTTTTCATTATCAAATATTTATAGTTCACAATAAAGATTTACACATCCGATTATTTATAAATTAAGATGTGTATGTGAATAAAATGTTTATTTGAATATCAAATTGGAAGAATGATTTGACTCACCTTTGAATTTATTGAGAACTTCCGAAATTGATCTTCTGAATTTTTTATCATCAATTTAAAATGTTTTTCTCTCCTGAAGTATTGCAAACAATAATATTTGTGTTTAATATTTATACGTAACTTACAAATGGATTTGATGTTCAATTTTGTTGTGAAATTTTAAACCATTTCATTGAAAATCGCTTCAAATCAGAGAAGCAAATCGTGAAAGATATTTTTATTAATATGCATCTGTAAACAGCTACCTAAAGGCAAAAAAAGGTCCAGAAGAAATTTAAAACAGTTAAGATATGAAGCTTAACTTTATCCATTACATTTTATTGGTGATTTGCTAAGGAAAGCTTTACAAACTTTTTGACTGAAAAAGGTAGAATAGAGCAACAATGTAAGAGTGTTGCTTGTGTTAACAATAACAAAATGATTACCTACTTCTTTTCATACTTAAATATTGTTTCATTCTGTCATTGTTTCCTTGTATTTATATTTTCTTCCCTTCTATTTGGTTACAATGGACAATGTAGGATCGCATGCTACAAGAAGAATCTCAATTATCTTTTATATAACCTAGGCCGAGATAATCTCGTTGAAAGGTTTAAGGTAACAGAAGCACATCGAAATAAATAAATAAATGAATGGAGTAATTGTACATTTTGAAGATTTCCTTTTCATCTAATTTCAGTATCCGAAAGATATCAAGGAACTCGAGTATGTACCAAATTACACTATAAGAGGTCTTCACGTAAGTATCAATATTTGATACGATATCTTGTACTTAAGCAATAAATTAATATAAAAGCTGTATCGTTTAATGACATGTTTCAAAACGATTTTCTACGAATTTGACAGCTGTTTCTATGATTTTGCTGTAAAATGAAATGAGACCAGCTGATAATATTTACTCGAAACTTTTTGCAACTTTTTTTTAATTTTATTTGCAATTCTTTTTTCATATTCCATTTAAATCCCTCCCATCAAATAGTATGATATTGAAAAAGGGCTATTATTGAAATTGGATTCCTTTCTACAAATTCAACTGGGTACAGTTTATCGTGGCTTAACTCGAGTACCAGACGATGAAGTTTTGAATCTCTATCGAAATCGAATTATACCAATCGCTTATGTTGAAGGTGAAAAGGGAAATGTAAGCGATTATTATTTGCTTTGGAGAGTGAATTTAAGGAGGGAGAAGATGAATGGTTGATGATGTATTTACTTTATTTATTGCAGACAAAAGCCAGAAAAATGGTTCAACTTGCTGATCTATTTTCCGTGCCAGAAATGTATTTGATGTCTACAGTTACAGAATATTTTAATCGTAATCACATTGACTATCATCCAGAGATTCTTTTTAGAGATGTTAAGGTATGAAGTGAAAATGAAAGTCTTAGAGATGCTGTGAGCTCCAAGAAAAAGGATCCCAGACAGCTTTTCTTGGATTTTCTATGCTTAGATTGTTAAATCATTTTTTCTTATTTTCAATTTTCAACAGAATGCTATTGGAAGCAGTCACCCAGTAATGCATAATGTTGTTGGCGAACACGTAAAAGAATATATTAAATCTATGCCGGAGATGAGAAAGTTCTTTGAACGTCTCGTGAATGCAAATAAAAAACTTTTTCTTGTTACGAATAGTCCTTTCCATTTCGTGTAAGTATCAACTAAATTGCTTTTCTTACCACTCGTAGCACAATTAATTTTATGATGAAATTATATTAGAAATAAAGGCATGAACTATATAGTTGGTGACGACTGGCGGAGTCTGTTTGATGTGGTAATCGTTAATGCTCGCAAACCCAAATTCTTTACTGAACATTCTCGTCCGTTAAGGTAAATGGCAATTTATTTTTACCTTATTTTCTATTTATTAGAACACGTGAATCATTTTCCAATTATAATGCAACAGTTGTTGGGTAGAACTAAATTTAGTTTGAAGGATAATTTCCTTACATTTAAATGCACGTGCTGCAACAAAAATAAAATTCATTTCCTTTAAAGATATTTTCAAATCAATTCTTAGAAGTGATCATTTAATTACTGTGACCGAGATTCTGATACAAAGAAATTTTGCCTTTAAAAAGGTTCAATTTTATCAACAAGTTGCTTCTCGATGTCATTATCATCATCAAGTCTCGGACGAGTTTCTACTTATGAGAGACTCCACATGATTGCGCTAGCAATCATGTTGCATTGGACATTATGGTTGATAAATAACAGTTAAACTGCTACAACCGCCCGTTATGCGTCCACTCAATGTCTGCTTCTCGATTTTATTTTTGGTTTTATCCGGGACATTTGAAATTTAAGTATTTCTAAGAAGCATATTTTAATTGTACTGCATTCATGATGAACTGTAATCTGAGAAGCTTACAATAGAGAAAGTAAGCGACAAAGCTCTAAATATAAAATTCCCAAAATTTAACCTTCACAGATGACAAAAAGTTGATTTTTATTTTAATTAAAGAAAAAAATATGTTTTATAGGATTAAGATGAAGAGAGATTCCTTAGAACTTTTCAGTCCATTAAATTATATTTCGTCGCCTAAATATTTCAATATTATTCAATCTCAAAATTTACGAATGAATGAAAGAAATTCGAATTTAATCAAATCAACCCAAATATCTAACAAGATTGTTACATTGCTGATAATGGTTAGATCCAAGCAATAAAAAGAAGAAGTGAATAAGGAAATTTTCTTTTACAATTTTCTATATAAAGCGACAAATGAAAGCGGAAAGCATTTTAAAAGAATCGATTCTTTTCCTGAATAATTTCTTTAGAGGTCATGTTGGCTATCTTTGAATTGTGTTTCTATAAGAACAGAAATAAGTGAATGCGAGTTTACATTCCATCGATTATACAATCCAGTCCTCATAAACATTTTTAACAATTGTCTCTTTTCAACCGAAATACTTTTAACAAGCGACTTTAAAACATGATATATTCAAAATCATCTCAGATTTCCATCCTCTTCCTTTTTCCCATTCTAAAACACCCACTCACAATTTTTCTCTCCAACAAACTTGTTGGTTGTTGGTATTGTGGCGTTGGGAGAAAAAAAGATGAAAAGGGACGTCAAAGGCTTGTGTGTAGGGAAATTTACATTTCAAACATCCTTATTGATTCAGGGTTTATGATGAGAAAACTAATTCTCACACATGGGATCGTGTAACGAAACTTGAAAAAGGCGTCATTTATTACGAGGGAACAGTGAAGATTCTTCAAAATCTTACGGGATGGAGAGGCCATCAAGTATTGTATTTCGGCGATCATCCCTACTCTGACCTGGCAGATGTCACATTGGAACATGGTTGGAGAACTGGTGCGATTATTAATGAACTTTCCGTAAGATTTTCAAAGAAACCTTCAAGTTTGTGTCGTTTAACCATTTGACGCTTTTTTCAATACGTAAATTAGCATGAAATCGATACACTTAACAACGAAGATTTTAAAAAAAGCGCAAATTGGCTGCAAATGTTGACAAGTCTTATGGAAGACATTCAAGATCATGAAACTCCTGAGTCAGAAGAAGCTCTACAAAAATGGTCAAACGAGCGTGATGAAATTAGGTATGATGTGAAGGTTATTCATGATATGAGCATTAAATTATCAAAAATATCCTTTTTAACCTTTGCAGAACAAAGATGAAGAACATTTTCAATCCACAATTTGGAAGCGTTTTCCGAACTTATCACAATCCAACCTATTTCAGTCGTCGACTTTTCCGGTACTCAACAACACACCTTTTAAAATCTTTTTTCATTCACAATTGTGATTTATCTTTATTTAGATTTGCTGATGTCTATACAAGTCAAATAACGAACCTTTTGGATTATTCAGTCAAGGTAAAATGAAAAAAGTTTTCTTTCATATTTTCAAAAATACATTAAAATAATTTCTGGTTCGTTTATAATAATTTTCCTTTAATTTCTTGCATGACCTTTATTTTCAGCATACTTTCTATCCACGTCGAGGGGTGATGCCACACGAATATTTAAGCTATTTTATGTAATTTAATCATTAAATTCTTATGCTATCATCTTATTTAAACTTATTCTATGATGGCGTTATCAATAGTAACTTTACATTTATGTATTTGATTAATGAAAAGCTCTGATATTTAACTTTTTACAATTGATTTTGAAAAATATATTTTCAATTGAACATTTTACATTCATACATACATTTATTTAATCATTTTGGAACATTCTGTTTATTCTCTTTTATTTGATCATTATGATTACAAATACGAATTTTTTGGCGATGGAATGAAATGAAAATGAGGAAAAAATGGAGAAAATTGTAATAATAATTTTCAACAACCATGTTAAGCTTTTAAAGACATTAAATTTGTGAATTAGGTAAGAAAAGATCAAAGAATTTCTCAAATGATTACATCATCTGAATGGGAGATGTTATCTTCGTTTCGTATGAAAAACGCCCATTCATAATCAACCTTTTCATCGTCCAAGAAGTTTTCAAAAAGTTCATCTTGGCAAAAGAATATTGGAGCCATAATAGTGGAAAAGACTTTCAAGTAAGATTTGAGATAGACAATAAATTATATTTATCGAGAGATTTCAACAACATTGAATAAAAATAAATATCTGTTCCTTGTCTTTCTGTTCTTGTATTTGTCTTCAACCCTTGTCATCAGTGAAATAGCTTCCTTACATATTTTGCTATGTCAGACTTTGAAATTCATTGTTAATGTATAAACGGTGATGGGGGAGTTGGAAAATGTTTTGTTTTAATGTTTAATCTGTTCGTTGACAATCGAAGCTGAAAATGTAGATCTGATTGCAAGACCTTTCTACTTATGATTGGCATGAGCTTAAAAAATTTACAAAACATTGATTGTTTTGATTTCATGAATGATTTTGGCAAGTTGTCTTTGAAATTTTCTAAAAATACTTAAAAATATGTTGAAATAAAAGATGAACTTTATATTCAACTCAATTGATCCTGACTCATAATGGAACTTCCTGTTCATTTTTTCATTTCCTTTTGGGTTATTGTTTGATATTGACCTTCTTCATTTGAAGACGGTATTTTGTTGATTCCGGCAACAGGCTCTGAATGTTAGACGATAAAAGGCAATTCGAAAGTCCCCATTGTAAAAAGCATATATGAATGGATTTATAGCGCTATTAATCCAACCCAACCAAATCAAGCAGTCTTCTAGCACTTTGTTTGTCCATACGCTGTCTTTCTCCATAAAGGGTTTTGAAATGTAATGAATAAAGAATGGAAGCCAACACGCTATGAAACTATTTTCCGGAAGAGAATAAAAGACACATTTCTTCTATAAATAAAAATCGTCATGTAGAAAATAAAGGAAACAATTTGATTACCTTACAACGACAATGCTAGATAGAAAAAAAAAAGACAGGTAAATATGGTTTACATTTAGTCAAAATTAGCAAGTAAAGTTTCTACAATGTATCAAAGGGATGGATCTTATATAAATTAATTAATGTCTAAGATTTCAGTTCATGAAGACGAGACAAGCTTAATCCTAAATGATAAATAAAAGCCTAAGAAAATGATATGAAAATAAACTCTTTGTGAAAGTTTTCGTTTATCAAAGACTCTTTAAAGTCCTGTTTGTGTTTCATAATTTAAAGTAAAATGTCGAAAAACTTTCTGAATGATGGTATTGACACTGATGTTGATAGAAATGAAATGAATGTTTCGAGATTTGTACTCCGTATTAATAATTATTATCAACAAATAACATGGCGAGACAACGTCAAAAGTTACTTGTTCTTTGACAAAAGCAATAAAAGATAAAAGATGTTTGAATGAAGTCAAAGATGTTCATTTTTGATGATAAAGAAAATTTTGTTGAATTGAAGCCCAAAAAAAAAAAGCTTCATAAAAGAAAATCTGTTTTGCTTTGTTTCTTCTTGGAATATTTCAACATAAAACATTAATTTCTTCTTCTAGATAATTCATGAAGCTTTTAGATTTCTTTTTAACGTTTAAGTTATTATGTCGACTTAAAAAAGAAAAACATTACAGTGAAAGTCCATAGCAGTTAACTTAATGTGTGGTGTTTGAAAGATAATTTTCTTTTTTGTTTTCTTATAAAATAAGACAAGTAAAAGAATGAAAAACAAATTGAAATTACCTCAATGTCTGCGCAGTTTTCGTTTCTCGTTTCAGAGATGAAATTCTTATAGGCATTTTCTTGTTGGATTTTATCGAGGAATTTTCATTCATTGAATGGTGATGCTGATTGAACTGAACCGTATTAAACGAGCGGATAACAAAGCTTCCATGATTTGAATTGTTTGTGGCATTTTGTGAATTTCCTTTTAGAATCGATCGAGATTTTGCATATTCCAAAAGCTCATAAAGTGTTGTTTGTTGAGGCTCACGAAGTGTGTTGTTGATTACCACGTCTTTAGAGCTTTGGGGATAACTCGAGTCCATTTCTGACGTCACAAATTCTGCTTCAATGTCGGTAGAACGTTCACATGCCTGTAAGAAACATTTGAATTCCCATATGATGATGATGATATCAAGATAAATATATTTATTATCTGACCTCAGTTCTTGAAATCCGGGACTGTCGCGATGACAGAACGCAGAATATCTTTGAATACACGTACAACATAATTGACATGGGAATGAAAAACGAACCAGAGGCACTATAAATGACCTTAAAATGTAAACACATGAACATCATGTTATTATTAATAATAATAATAATAACACTGAGAAAAAAACAGAATTAGAATTTACATAGCCCTTGTCCTTGTTGTATTCACAGTCTTTGATATCAGCTCGTCTTCTTTCAACATCGTGCCTGCGGAAAAAATATTAAAACGAAAAAGTTCACAAATTTACTGTTGCATCTGAATGTAATAATTATTTGTTAAACATTTAGTTAGGGAAAGAAGAACTTTCAACGAGGGTCAGAATGAGATTAGAAATGACTTTTTGTCTTAAGGCAATCAATTTCTTCTTTATGGTCTTTTCTGATGAAGCTTGTCAAAGTCGGAAAGCGTAAAATTAATGTTAACAGACTGGTGTAAGTGTGGATAACATAAAATTGAATCCATAAAGTTTCACCTTCTCAACTTTACTTCTCAAAAATCATTTTCACACTCAATAATAGATATTTAACCTCTATCAACCTAATTTTTGCTTTTATATTTTCAATGACTTTTGAGTGACTTTTTGTCGCAGTCATTTCGTTATTGACGAAACGATAATGAGGTGAACCTTCTTTGTGGCAATTTTTCATGAAATTTGCCAGCTGTTTCCATCAACGTTGGGGTTAAAAGTTTTCCTTTTACGAATCTCAAGGACATAAAATTTCAAATTACCATCCTAAAATTGGTGGACATGTGATAGCAAGGGCAAGAATCCACACAATCAGAATCATCACCATCGCTAACCTTTTTGAGCGACGTCTCTTTGAATAATTGAGAGGCTGTGTAACTGCCAAGTATCTGTTGAAGATAAAAATATCCTTGTTATTTGTGGACGATGAATTTATGGCGGATTTTATGAATAAATTTCTTCGAATCCTTTTGAAAGGGGAAAATAAGTAGCAAAGACGATTCTATTATTGATAAGATTTGATGGTGGGAAAATGTTAGCTGAACATTTCGAAAAACGATAAGTCTTCTCAAATCTATTAGCTTTTTTGGCTAATTAACGATAATGTTTGCTAAAAACCATAATTTATTCTTCTCTTCAAGCTAAGTTAGTTACCGGCAAGAAAACCTATTCCCCTTCAAATGTAATTAAAGATTATTGCCGGTGGCAGGAAAAAATGTCAAATTCTTTTCTTCTTAGACAAACATTACAGTCAGAATAATCTTCTGTGGGTATTCAATTTCGAATTCCAATCGATAATCACATCGTTTTCAGAGTTTTCGTAAACAAAAAAAAATCTGTTGAAATCCCTAAGCTTGAGTGATTATTTATGTGTTAGTTTTATTAGACTTATTGGAAACATTTCCTAGAGAAAACAAAACATTTCCTGATTTCTTTTCTTCTTCTTCCTTTCTACAGCATTGGGAAGTTTGTTTCGGTTTGTTGTTCCATCATTAGAACGTAAATCTAAGCTTAGGTTAAGCCTTCGTTATAACCACTTTCAGATGTCATGAAATGTTGTGTAAGGAATATATTTCATCTTGTGACGTTGAATCATCATTTATATGGAATTTTCGTAAAGGTAAAAAACACTTTGTCGTAAATTCAAAACGAGTAAATGTCAAAACCTAATAAAGCAGCTTTAGAAAATCTGAGCATATCATAAACCACTTAGAGCTCAAAACCACTTGCCGCATAATCCTTCTTTTGTCTTTTCCTCGGGTTTTTCGACACGATTCATCATGTACAAGCAAATATTTAATCTTTCATTAGAAACTGATTCTATTGAAATTTTATATTTAGATACTTCAATAGTAATAAAAAGCTTCTTTCAATTTATTTTCTTCGATGTTGAGCCTTTTATTCGTGCTCTTTCAAATTTGATATTGTTTATTTTTTCCTCTTCAAGCATATTCTTTATTTGTTTTCATATTTTGCTTTAAATGAATTCATTGAGCTTGAAGATTCTCATCAAAAACAATTTAATCATCATTCACGAGTTTCTTTTTTCGTTCATTAATTTCCTTTTTGTATTCTTTTTGCTGCGTAGGTTGAAGGGTTGATTACAAATATATCTACAGTCATATATTTAACTTTATGTATTTAAGAAAAACAGGTTTGTATTGACTTACCTGTCGATGCTTATAGCGCAAAGACTAAGGATACTTGCTGTACATAGTAATACGTCCAATGAAATCCAAAACTCGCATAGGACCCAGCCTAAATGCCATGAGCCTAATAAATAAGTGAAACGTGAGTTCTTTCACTAAATAAACAATGAAAGTTATTCGTCTCTACGTGTATGATGCTTTCAAGACATTCACTGATTTTCTTTAAGTAGCAAATAGCTTAATAAAGCTTATATTGGCCACTAATAATCATAAATCCTTCATCGTTACCAACGCAAACGATTTTCTCCTTTCTTTTCAATTTATAACTTACCCACAGAGAAGTAGAAAACGGCAGGTGGGTACTGCTTATAGGGTTGCTCGGTTAGAATATTTTCTACTTTGTACTTAGAAGCAGAATGCAATTAAAAAAAGGAAAGAAAATGTAATTTAAGGTAATGAAGCTTTTTACCAGCCACAGCTAAACTCGTGACAAAAAGGTTGGTCACGGTACGTAGACGACGAGTTGTGATGACAGAAAGAATCACTAAAGTGTTACCGATGATTGTTATTACAATAAGTAAACAGAAAAGCACGATCAATACGATTTTTGTCCATGGCCAATCGTCGGCCTTTGTTATGCTCGTTTCTGTGACATTCATATTTAATCAATATGAGATGAGTAAAGCTCAAAAGCTCATGAAATGCTTTAGGCTTAGATTATAATTCGTTTTTCTGTTACTTATCATTTGTTGTTTTTGTTAAATCATTTTCATATGGTAATTTGTCACTTTCACCCATCAGAGTAGAACGTAGCATCATCACAAAGTAGAACGTATCACATCTAGGAAAAGTAATGAAAAAAAAAGTATTCAGAAGAAGAAAGTGATATATAGTGAGATAAATGAGAAAGACACTTGGAATATATTAATGGCCACACGCCATGAATAGAACGAAAATTGTGCTGGGAATTCCTTAAGCAGATCTCAACCATTAAATTAGAAGGATGAAGAAAGAAAATTCCTTGAAACATGAGATTCAGAAAAAAGTTGTTGACGTAACCTGTCAATCAGTTGTCAAAAAATCTACATTAGCAATGGATAAAAACAGGAAATAAATGAATATCTAATTCCATGAAGTTTTTATTATCATCTTCGTCTAATGTTGATGTGTTTTGGTGGCGGGAATAAACTTTAACGAAATTGTCAAAGAAATTTTAGAAACATTAAACAAATATTAAATAACTTTTCTTGAATTTTCTAATTAAATTTGAGTTTTGTTCTGTTTTAATATAATTTTCGTCTACATACTTTATAGTTATGTCTCAAAGTAAGACTGCTGAGAAAATTTTCACAGAAGATTGAATCTTTCATCCCTCGTTTCCTAGAGAAACTTGTCAGTCACACAAATTGGATACAAAGTTCAGAACGAAAATTAAAATCTTGTGGGTTATAAAATCAACAACTTTATCGACGACACGAATACTTTATGATCCTTTTTTTATATCTATAATAATTATTTAGGAGGGAAAGAATGTGAGCATTTTGGGTAATCAGAATTTCTCATAAAAAAAGATTTATTTTGAAACGTTTAGTTAATTTTTGTGTTGGATATTTAATGACTTTGTTGTCGGGTGATGTTGGCACTGATTGAAGATATTTAAGTAATTACTTTTATGTTGGCGACATTATACGGTTAAAGCTTTCAAGAGGTGTGGTTGCAAAAGACGGAAGTGAACAGCGACGTCGTTGAATGCGCTACAATTGCATATACAACAAGAATTCAATATCCGATTAAAACAGTTTATAATGAGGTTGGATGATATCAATGACAGAGTGTAAGCATTAAATTAATATAAAAAAAAATGTCGTCTGATGTTTGATTTACTCGTGATTTTCAATTCACTTAGACATTATGAAGCTTCCAAAGAAATCTAACATCAAAAGCTGTTTTTCAGCATGAAGAACAGTGAAGGAAGCCAAATTAATAGCATTATTTTCTGTTTTTGATGTTCTAATGGTGGTAGCTGAGAGCTATTTCGATTGTTGGTGGAATAAAGGTCGTCTCTCCCTTTAAAGTTGATTCTCCAGTTCAACATTATAAATATGTATAAATGGGGGTTCAAATTATGGAAACATTCATACTTCTTGTGAAGCAATTTCATCCATCCTAATGGCAGTTGAATATTTACATGAAATTATGGGAACCAAACGTTTCTCCTTTTTCCATTCTTCAGATTCAATTAGAAAAAAACATTGCAAACGGATGTATTAATTATATATTTATATTTATGTATATAGATAACCATATGGTGATCCAATCATTATTCAATTAGAGATTGCGAGATATTTTATTGCTTAGTATTATCTAATGTCATTAAAAGATAAATAATTTCCTAAACTTTTTCCATAAAATCCCCCAAAATCGATCTTGCTTTAACTGGTTAATAAATTTATTGTCTTGGGCGTTGATTGTGAAAATTCTCGTTGTGTCGGCATGGTCGTAAATGTTAATGAATTTCATTTCTATTCTTTTTTTTCTTTAGTTCCTGTTCGTATATAGGAATTTTCCGAATCGCACCCAGTAAAAGAACACTATTGAGACTTTGAATATTCAAGTGGGAGGAAGCTCGTTAATATTAGTTATCAAAGGAAAACTTTAGGTTTTTTCTAATTTCATTTCTATTACGTTTCAAGGAACAATTCCAGCAAAGGAAGTCTTGTGCATGTCTTTTAAACATTTTTATTCAATGTCAAATATTTTATAAAGTTTTCTTTTCATTTTTAATTTTGTTCCACTGTCGCAAACACAAACCTTAGGCCAGAAATCTAATTCCGACAATTATCCATTTTCTTATATTTCTTTTATTCGTTTCTGTGTTGACACTTATTTAATTGCTGAATCTTTTCAATAACATTTTTTCCATTTCTAGAAAGTAAGGAAAACACTTTTGATTGTTATTTTCTTTTTTTTGTATTATTTTGAATCCATGACCACTTGATGTCTACGCACTTTGGAAGTTTCTTTAAATTGTCCACAACAATTGTTTCCATAAGTCATAAAGTTAACAGAAACTCAATTTACATCCGAAAAATCTTTTCTATTAAAGAAACGGCATTGCTTGATTCACATTTTATTTCTTTAATGTTTGAAAGGTTGAAAAACGGAAAGAAACCGCTCCGAACTTTTTATGTGCTAGCGCGATGACTACTTGCGAAATACTGAGGATGGAAAATCGTTTATACAATGAATGAGACAATCATATCGCTTTGTAGAACGCTGAAGATTTTCAGAAGCGAATGTCATGAAATGTAGTATGAGTTGCGATGTCTTCAACGTTTGATTTAAAGAGAAAGGAATGGTTAAAGCATTTTTCAATACAAAGTTACATTGATAACATTTTTCTGTCAGAAATGACAAATATCTTGTTTTTTTCCTTCATATTTACCAGTATTGATATGTAAGGAAGGACTATTTTTGTGAAGATTTAATGATGTTTGAAAAATGTCTTTGACATCGATCCTTATTTGATTTTTCTTACACATTATTTCAAATTCATTTTATGTACAATGCCAGCCTAACAGATGCTCATGACATTTAATTGTTCATACATCAAGGCACCTGTTTTTCTTTACAATTGAGATCCATGTTACACCTGATTCCCCAAAAAATAAAAACATTTTATTGCTTCAATTAATTTTCATTATAACTTCGTAGGAATTTGATTTTTCTTATGATGTTTAGCAGAGCGAAGTAAAATCTACACGTGTTGGCATTTTTATTTAGAGAAAAACGCGTTTAAGCTGGGAAAAAATGTTTTCCAAGGGAAATCTTTGCTGTAATTTTTAATTCATCTAGACAACTGTTTATCATATTTATTAGCTGTTGTTGTAGGAGTATTTCGAAAAAGTTTTCTACATAAAATTATATCAAACGATGTTTCGTAAATCTCAAACGAGCTTTCACTCACATTTTCTAAAAGATATTTCAAATGAAACAAGAAAAGATTCATGTAAAAACTTACAAAAGCATGTTTGAAGTGAACTTAAATAGTATAAAGTTCAAGAATGAATGATTTTGACATGGGATTTAAAATATTACCAACTTGTTGTGGTGAGTAACCAAAACCGAGTTTAGAGACGAAGGGTTAATATAGCGTTGAGAATAACAGCTTTCTACAAAGTAATCAAACAAAAACATCAACAACATTGGAAAACAAAACTCATTAAGTTTCACTTCCTGAAATGAATGAATGAAATCTTTATTGAAAAACATTTTTTCAATGAATTTTTTATTTTTGTTATGACGCATTTTTTTATTGTAATTTTCAGCTTCACAAACGTGATTGAATTAATTGAAGTTTGTTTTGGAATACATACTTAGTACATTGGTTTTTAAGTAATCAAGAGAATCCATAAGTGATTATTACTTAAATGTTTTTTTTTCTTCTAAATTATTTAGTTATTAGATATTTGTTTTGCTTTTTATCATCTTTTTTATTCAATCATTTAAAACTGACAACGAAAGCTTTTCTTTTTAAAGTGTTTTCGTGTTTTACAAACTTATCAACATAATAAAAATTATGAACATTGTGCTCTCTGTAATCGATAAGGTTTAATAAGGGTTCAGTTTATATATCAACGGAAGTTAAACTAAATGATAGTCTTCGATAAAAACAGATCAGAAATTTCCCATCAAATCAGAACACAACATTTGAATGTGCATTGAATTTAGATTTTCTTTTTTCTTTTTTAAATTTATTTTATTCAATTTTTCTTTTCTTTCTATTATGCAAATCTATTTTATGTTTATCATTCTAAATCTTTATAAGCTAATACGAAGGATACTTATTTGTGAACAGGGTTTGGAGTTCTCCTTTTCCTTTCCTTCTCCATAATATCTTTTTTTATTATTTTCTCGTTTATAGTAGCAAAAAGTGTTGACATCAAAAAGGAATGAATTATATTCAAAATACTGTCATTGTCTTATTCATGCACATTCATAAGAAAGTCGTTCGGTTCTGGATAGATAGAGAGATAGAGTAGTGAAGTGCATGAAATATTTGTTAAACTAGAAAATTATTAAGATGCTCAGTTTTTTATAAAGATGAACAACAACTTTCTAGAAAGACAAAACATTTTCCTTTTATTTCCCTAATAGTTTCTCGTTGAAAAAATCTGCCACTGAATACTTTTAAAATTGTGTAACAACTGCATAAAAGTGCAAATTCAAAAGCTTTTTAATATTCGTTTTTCCCTCTTTTGCCTTGAAAAAGTTTTTCATGTGAAACTGAAACACTTGCCATTGATTTTTAAAAAGCGGTAAATATGTTTAGATGCAAATGCTTAAATGTTTTGTATGTTTTTAGAAAAGAAATGCATAAGATAAGCATGTCCAAAAGAAAATGGTTTCTTCCATCTGTCGATCCACGGACGGGATTGTGTCACTTTCATGTTGATTTAATCAGAAAATTTGTATTGACGACTGTCGGTTAAAAATGGATGAGTTCATTTGTGTCTTTTCTTTAATTTTCATCTCGAAAATAGAGTGGCAATGTAAGTCTGACGGAATGTTTCATTTATGACTGGCAATTTAGGGAGAATAAATTTTGAAATGCTTTACTTTAGATATAATAAGTATGTAAGCTTAAGGCGATAAAAGTTTAAGTCAACTAATAAATATTTATGGAAATTAATAAATCTAGAATGAATCACAATCACGTCTTCTTATAAACTTTTCGTTCCGATTTTTTGTAAGTTTTTTTTTCTATCCAATCGTAAAAAAATTTTATCATAAAAATCTTCCAATGTTCCTAACGTTATGAAAAATATGTTTTAGCATCATTAATATGTAACAACAATAATCTTTTTCCCATGCCTTAATTAGTAAGAGGGAGAGACATGCTAATAGCGACGTCTAGTTGATCCGCTTTGAATATTTTTTTCCTGCTCCTATATGTACCTAAATACTTAAGCTGTGTTAGGCTCTCAATCATTGAAAGCTTTAAATTTTTCAACATTTAATCTTTCACCCATTCATCAACTTGAATAATTCTATCTGACGTCACTATCATTCAGCCTCAAAGCTTTTTGAGTATAAATTTTACTTTATTTACTTATAGGGAGAAAATTTACGACACAATTAATGATGGTCGTAGAAATAATTAATTTCTTATATCTCCTTCTAATATTCCATCTACCCTGTTTTCAACTATGGAAATAAATGAATAATAAAATGAATCAACAGCTTAGTATAATCACTGACATTTCATTAACTTTAAGAGATTCGTGATACCTTCATTTCTCACATAGATAATTAAAAACAAAATGTTTCGAACGTAAGTTAAAAGACGAAAGAATTTTGAATATGCAGAATATTGTTAAGCAAGGATTCATTTTTTGTGTGACTCATTCATCATCACATTCAATTCCGTAAAAAATGTTTATTTACTCTTTCTCTTCGTTTGTATTTCCCCAGAAGCGATCAAATCGATCACGAGCCTTGTCAACAACTTCCACTGTTCCTGGATTGACAATATTACGTGCTGATACAACGCTAGGCGGTGAATTAATATCAGGGAAGTTGGGATCGTCTAAGCATCGTAATGTTGAACCAGGAACTGGACGATGATATTGCAATTTTTCCTGAGTTGCAATCTTAGCTGATGGATTTTGATTTTGCTTCATCTTTTCTTCGATTAATTTTGCAGGACTTTGATTTGATGCTGTTGTAAGAGAAAATGATAAAAAGAAAACGAAATTTCAAGTTAATTGCGAAGATTGAATTGCTTAAAAGAATTAAATCAAGTACATTCCACTTTACCCTGCTCCGAAAGCTCTGGTGGAGCTGATTGTGGATGTTCTTGAGGCAACATCCTTGCTGGCGCTTCCGAAGGTGTCGTAACTTTTATTTCACTATGTGGTCGAACAATATTAGCGACGTCACCTTCACGAACATTTTGTGTGACTGTAAAAGTCTTGCCAGTGTCAAGTGGAACCGTCCAAAAAACTGGATCTGGTGACCTCATAATGACAATCTGTTCGGGAGATTTAACACGCGTTGGTTCAGGCGGTGACTTCACTATTTGTTCTATGACCTCGGGTTGTTGAATTTGGGGAGCATCAATCAAATTGTCACCCACTAAAAATACATTAAAAGTTTATTTTTGAGAGTTTGCTTCTCTCGATTTATTCACTTCAAGTATCATAAAAATACTTTTTTACACTTCAAACAAAGGGAATTCGTTCATGTGTTAAAAGATTGTCTTCACTTGAATAATTAATTAAACTTTCAGACAAAATTAGCTTTGGAAAAAGAAGAAAAGAAAAAAGTAAATTAATCTTATGAAAGTTAAATATTTATTGAACTCATGAACCATTCCCTTGATAATTAAAAACAGTCTCTAAGTGATTTCGTGTATGTGAAATGTGAACATGCTTTCAGTTTTGTTTGAGAACCATCATAAAACACCCGGTTCTGAATGCTGAAAAGTAAGTAATTTTAACTTCTAAGACAGATGTAATGTAATTTAACCGAAGTTCTTTCGAAAACTGAAGCTCTCTAATATTTCTAAGTATTAAAACATTTTTAAAATACAAAAATCTCTAAATTGATGACAAACGAAATTTTGTTTTAAAATGATAACTTTTATGAAATAATTCATGGATTTGAGTCTCCATAGAAGTGGAATTATCCAACATAAATTGTTTTCGTTTTTAAGAGATATCTACATCATATTTGAAATAAAGAAAACATTAATAAGATAACAACCAACAAACAACATAGACAAGCATCGACAACTAAACACGAAAAAAGATCCTAGTCTTGAAATAGATATTTATTTATTTATTTATTTATGTACATGAATAACGGAAATGACTAAGAAGACTACTAAAGTATGATAACCTTATGAGAGTTTATTAAATAGACTTTTGATTCATCTTTTTGCCTTCATTTTCCTAATCGCTTTGAGATATTTTTCCCGAGTTAAAAGAAAAACAGAAAAAGGAAACTCAATGATAAAAATAAACTCGACATTTCTGATTCGTTACTATACTTTAGTTGCCTAAAGATAATCCTAAGATTATTAAATAAGTTATGACATCAACATAAAATATATAAAAGAGAGAGAGAAATTAAGTTGTGTAACTTTATATGCCATTTGATTGTTGACGGATTTTTGTTTTAAAAAATGTTTTGTGAATATTTTTTTTACTTTGGATTTGCTTTTTTTTGATCTTTTGAAAAATTACTTACTTTCCAGTGCTTTTTTCTTGCTGTTTCGTTGATGACCATTCGTCAAATTATCAGTTAACAATTGCCCATTGAAATTTGTCGGTCTCATATTTAATTTGAGCTGTTTGTTTTGAATGTTTTTGTTTTCAATGGTCTTATTCGGAACTTTGCGATTGTTAGCATTATTGGGATTAGCTTTGTTATTAGCGTTAGGATTCTGATCAGTATTTTTCTTAGATGATGTGAGTGATGATGATATTAAAGTATTGTTATTAACTGAGTGATGGATATTTAATGTTGATGGTTTTTTTCTACCATTATTTGGTAACGTACTACTTTTTGAACGTGAATGTTTTTTTGTAGAGGAAAGGGAAGCTAGAAATATACAAATTTTTGGTTTGGTTTTACAAGTCAAATCATAGCGAATTAGAAAATAAGTTTTGTATTTTTTTTCTCTTTTTAATAAACGTTTACTAATTAATGTTGTGACGATGCTGTTCTTAAATGAGATTTGAAGAACATAAAAGCTCGTCAAAGATTAGAAACTCATTCAATGATGGGAATTCAATGTAAGCCAATTTTCAATTAAGAACAGCAACTCTTTAAATATGTTAAGTTTGTTTTGAAAAATTTTTGTGTTACTTATCTGGAAAGAAATAAATTAATTTGAAATTCTGCCACGAATTTTCGTTTGAAATTTTCTGTCATCTTCAAAACAAGCTTAAGTATTCACAACTAGGTATCTAATACTTTAAATTAATCTCTTTAATATTTGAATTAATTTTGACACAATCTAGAAGTTGATAGCAACTCACTAAAGATTTTGAGATAAAAATCTTCGACTTTAAATATTTATTTCGAAATTGTTCCACTGATTTTTGAAGTTACAAAGAATTTTTGTTTTCAAGAAAATTTTGATCGTCCCAGAAGATTTTCATCGCTTTTCAATTCAACTCAAAACATTGATGGATAAATAGATGTTCAGTACATTGACTCAATGTACAATAAAAAGGAAAGAAAACAAACGTTTAAGAAGTAGTAGTAGAATGAGTAACAAGAAAGAGATTTCAAACATCATGTTAGCAATAAATAAACTAAATCAGTGAATCTGATTCTCTGTCTTGATTGGACAGATATCAATCAGATTCATCAAATATTCAAGTTCAAAGCACTAAGACAACATATCATAAGTATAAGGAGGAAATTAATTATTTTGCAACGATAATGTTTCTCTTTCATGCCAATGTCTTGCTGATTCATATCAGTCATGCTTTCACATTGAAAACTTAACTTGATTAATGTAAATATCAATCAGAATATTTCCGAAATATTCTTAACTTTGTGGGACTTTAAATTTGATATAGAAAAATTAATTCAATGAAATTGTGACGCTATTGCATCAAAAGCTAAGTAAATGTTAAAAATTTCGACGAGTTCTTCAAAAATAAAAGCATTAAAAAAAGAAACTTTTGATTATGTTGTTGAGATTTCATTTGAGTTGAACTTACTTGGTCTTGGTTGATGATCGGCAGTAGCAGTTGGAGTTGAGACCGGAGTCTTACGGTTGTTATAAGCTTTAGCAGCAGACGAAGTTGTTGCAGCAGTGATAGAAGCACTCATAGGCTTTGGTTGCTTCTTAGGTGACCCTCCATCAGTGACTGTCGGACCAACAGATTGTGAACGTCCAACTAAAACAAGTTATGAAAATTTTCTAGTAAAAATTGAAACATTTTTATCAAAACTGAAAGTTCAAACCTTTTGAAATCTTCTTCGGACTCTTCTGTGGACTTCCCTTCATTGGACTTCCATGTCTAGAACTTATTGTTTTCTGAGGGCTGCCTCGTTGTGGACTACCAGTCTTTGAACGAGGCAGTACCGGCATTAACTTCTCGCGAGTTGGTGATGGTAATAAAGCTCCTTCTTCAACATCTTCCGAAGTAAAAAGTTTTTCTTTAATTTTATTTTGATACGAGAGAAATTTCTTCTTTACCTGGACCAGTTGTTCTTTCCAAATGATGACGAATTGTTTCACGTTTTAAACGTCCATAAAGATTTCCATCAGTTATAGTGCGATTGTCAACTAAACGAGCTGATCCTGGAAAACGTCGTCCCGATGGCTTTGTCGGTGAACTTTTGTTCTTGTTTTCCCTCTCCTTGTCTTCTTTTGTTATCGGTCTGATAGAGGAAGCTAATGATAAAGCACTTAATGAACTGCGACGCGACACTTGATCCCACAATTCAGCTTGTTTGTTGTACAACTCACGTTGCGTTTCACCTTTCCACCCACGATTCTAAAAATTAATTGAAATGAATGAGATAAATTTCCGTCTTTGAACTTTTGACAACTATTTACTCGGTATTCGCCAGCTTTTTTCCTCAATTCAATGACTTCTTTATACCACGAAGGATCATAAGCACATCCATTAGCGACGACCTTATTGTCAACTTTATTTGAAGCGTCTTGTTCAAAGCCAAATTTCTCCTTTTCACTATGAAAAGCAGATTTGAAGTTCTTCCTGTACTCATTTTGAATATCTTTCCTTTGATGAGAATTTAATATAAAATGTATAAATTTTTCTTCGAATTCACATCAAAAGATTTTGTTTTTTGTTATTTTTCCTATAAAATTGATAGAATTTCTTACTTTTCATGAGAATCGACAACATCGCCTACAAGAGGTTCAAGTTCATGAACAGCAGCTGAGTAAATAAATTTGAATAGGAAAATAGAAAGAAGCAAAACAAATATCAAATGATTTCCTAAAAATTTAATTTGTTTTGGAATTTTAAATTTACTTAATTTCTTATTTTCATAAATGAGATATTTTATGCTTGATAGAAATGCAAGTAGATACAAAGTTAATAGAATAAAATTTTCTTGCAATAAAACTTAGCCGAATGTAGACCAATATGATTAAAATTAAATTAAATGCAAAAACGAAGATGAAAGGAAAGAAATGTAAAATAATTCATCAAAACATTTCTTTCCTTTAATCTTTTATTACTTATGTTACATAATTGATATGTTTACTTAATGCATATTAATCAATTTAGCTTGCATAGGTTCAACTAACTGCAAAAGAAGTTGCTGCTTAATTTGATTTCTCTTTTCGAATTGTTTGCATCGAAATGATAAAGTTTGGTAAGATAATGATTGGGTTAGATAATAAATTAGAATGTATCAATGTTAAGTGGTTAAGGATGATCTCAATTTTCGCCACATTTCACAGTCAACAACTATGACAAAAGTTAAGAATCAATCCCATTATGATTGATATCATGAATTTATGCAAGAGATGTTTAATATTCCAGAATGTATCTTCCACTCAATCATATTGAACATCTGATATGAAAAATGTTCTTCCAGTGCAAAATGCTTTTTTAAAATTTCTCTCTTGAATGCAGCAAAATTTAATTTTATATTCTGTGATGAGGATGAAAATTTTATTTTCAATCACTGCAATTTTCCACTGGTATCCACAATATTTTGTCAAGGAAATCAGTGAGGGCGTGAGGTTTGGATGAAAGTGATTGGTCTGCTAAGTTTAAAAAGGAAATAAATCAACAAAACAATTACGTTATGATTGAAATTAATTGATAAAAGTAAAAGAAGAAGAAGATTTTCAATCAATCAACATGACTAAATATAATTAAATTAAATATACAAATAATTTTATTAGCGACATTAAGTCGCACCTTCTTTTTCTTCATTAGTTGTACGCTTTTTATGTATTCCAGCTAAAGTGTTTGTCTGCGATGATTTTAAAGCACCCATTGATTGCGATTTTTTCGGAGGCTCTAATAATATTTGATTGTCTTTGTCTTTATTAGATGGCCCCGTTACTTTTCGCACACTGGGCCACACAAATTGTAAACGATACTCTGTGCTCAATTTGGATATTGTTTTTCTGAATATCCCACTTGACTCACCCGCCTACAAAGAGAATTTTTCATTTTTCATTGGGAAATGAAAAGAAGAAACGGGAGAGAGAAAAAGTTGTTTAATATAGAATTTTTGATATTGTTTGATGAAAATGACGTGGCTGTGTTTGCTAAACATCATGTTATGTCACGGGTGTGTGACACGGGATGTTTGGCAAACAATGCACGGTAATCCTACAAGTTAATAACGTAACAAGACACAAAAATAAGCTAAAAATAAATCGAAAGATCAACTATAAAGCCTAAACATGAAAACAGATGACGAGAAGCTGAGAAATTAAGAAACTTAAAGGAAAAAGAATTTCTTTGAGCTTATAAATGTAAATAAGATTTCAATATTTTGGTAAGCTTGGGATTATTGATGTAATTTTCCTTAAATATTTATATTGTTTTCTTTGTAGGTATAATCAACGTGTAAAATATTGCGTGAATCATTCATGTAAGTCGTGTTTGAATGTTGAATGTTTTGTGTAGGTATGAAAAGTGGAAACAAATGGTTATGACGAACATAAACATTCCGACATTTCACGTAAAAGATTAATGAGAGAAAATACCTTTTCCTTGATTTGTTTCTCTTCAGAGACATTTTCCAATGCATTAACGCATCGACCATTAGCTAATGGTGGCCCTTCTGATTTGCTACGGCGTGATGGAGTGCCGTTTCGTTCGCCGGACTGCAAAAAATTAAAATGAATACCACGATGGTGTTTGGGGATTTAAAATTTTCACATTTTTCTACTTCTATAAATATATTTACATAAATTTTTATGTATTTACAAATTATTATAATTATCTCAATGAAATCGTTTGTTTTAATATGCCGGAGACAAACAAATTTGTTCTATTTAAGAAGATATGTTTGTGTTGAAATAGAATATTCATGTCGGTTGGAGAAACAAATTGTTTCCTTTAGATATCATTAATAGTATTTATGAAAAAAGAAAGAAAGAAAGGCAGAAAATATTTGAATGAAAGAAAAATTGTTGAAAACACAGAATGGAATTTTTCACTTCAAAAAAAATGTTTAACAATGACAGGTCAGCATTTGAAATGGAAATGTATGCATTACATGTTTCAATTGCATGCACAATAAGCAACATGACAGAATGGAAACAACGTAGCGTATTCATTTTAATTTTTTTCACTGCAGTGCTTTTAACTTTAACTAATGATTGTACATATTTATGTAGAGTTTGATCAAAAGAAAACGAGATTCATAAGCTGTATAAAAGGATTTAACTGACAATAAAATGTTGTCTGCTTTTATTCTGAGGATATTTAAGAAATTGACATGATGAAGATTGATCAATAAATTTGTCTTCTTTTCATTTAAGAAACTAGACGAACAGTTTTGCTTTCAATTTCAGCAATAACGCAGTGTTAGCGAATAAACATTAAAGCTTCCCATGAAATAAACAATTATCGACACAACTTTTAAAACAACATTCACAGAATTGAGGTTCATTCACTTACCCGTGCGCGAGTCACATTGGAATCAGTTCTATCAGCGTTTGAATCGGCAATAAATTCATGATGCCTATAAGCTAATTCGGGACATTTTTTACGTCGAGGTAAAGGCGGCTCATTGATGGGGGCGTTAATAACTGTTAAGAAATCAAAACACTTAGTTTTATGATGTTGAGAGTGTGTTGACAGAGAGGGAAAAGGGACAAACGGAAATACTTAAAAAACTAATCAACCGAATTGAAACTAATTTATGCATTGTGAATATTTCTCATAAATTCAAGCTTTTGGCTAATAAAAGCATATTAATGTCTGTCTTGACGATTGCGTTCTTCATCTCGAATAACTTTAATCATCCTTTTCCACGCAATCGACAATCAAGCATTTTTCTTATAATTTTGTTTTATTAATCTCCTGGCGAGCACAATCAATGGGCACTTGTTCATAATGTTTCGAAATTCACCTTCAAAGTGCTTCTCATCCTCTGTTGATTTAGAGAAAAAATGTTCCTTTGAGCTGGCTGTTTAAGTTGTATAAAATTATTCAAATCAGATGTGAATTGTTGTTACATCATCTGAGATTAATGATAAGCCATATTTATGAAATTTTGCGTCACAAATTTAATTGCACAAACTTTTTCATCCAATTTTACTTTTTTCATTTTGATCTTTCATGAAAGAAGCTTGCATAGAATTTGATTTCAATTTGCTAGTGGTTCATGTGCATAAATGGTTGGTTGATTAATGCGTGCATTATTCAAGAAATCACAATGTCGTACTTACTAAAATGATTAGGCATCGGTGGCTTTCGAACCACTTCGGGACCTGCAGTGTATTCATGCCAGCGATACGTACTCCTATATTCTGAATGAAGCTAAAACGAAAAAGATTTTAAGATTATGAATATTCATGATGATAAGCCTAAATCAAGACTGAGGATTTGAAAATGATCTGATATTCCATAAAAATGTATTTAGATGAATCATTATAATCCAATTTAAATTTATTATCATAACTGCAGAGAAAATCCAAGCTCACAAATGCAATCATGAATCGTGCTGCATATTACAGAACATTTTTTATTTGATTAATAACGTAAGCCTTGTAACGATAAAATTTTATGATGTGAGAAATTTCACAGAAGGATAAACTTTGTTAAAGGAAAATTAATTGAAATATCGGGTTTGCAGTTGATAGACATGAAAAATATTCATCGGAAGTTCTCATTTCCTTAACTCGCCTCCCTCACAATTCTCGATGCTGAATCAACTGCCTGCTAAGAACTTTTTTATGATCATCAGAGTAATAATTTCTGGCATTGATTTTACTTAGCTCAATATTTTGTACAGAGCACAAAAGAAAGGAAGGAAGAAAACTGAACACATTAACATTTTCTCTTGCTTCTTTTTCATTCATATCGATTGACATTTTATATTTTTATATTGCGATGGCATTTGTCACTTAACTTGTATAAATAAGATTTTCTTTATTGAGTAAGAAATTGAATTGTTAAAGGGATGGAGAGGGAAGAAGAAACGCGAAGGGTGATTCCGTTGACGATATTCAAACCCCCTTGAGTTTCGAAGGTTTATCTAAAGTGCATCTTTCTCGCCTTCGAAATCGATATTCATGCAACACTTACATGGAATTGCTTTTTTGAGTTATTTCTATCCTTGAATCGAAAAAGTAGATAATAAAAAAAGAACAACGAAAACGATACTAAATGTAAAACAGAATCAATTTCTGAATGAATTAAAGTTTCTACAAGTTTATTCGTTCAATGAGATTCTGAGGATATTGCTTGAAAATTCATGTGAATTTATATTTCTGCCTCACCCAGCAATTTCGATATTGATTTTTGACTGTGTTTAGGCCGACATTTGGACTCGACCAACGAAAATAATAAAAAGAAAAGTGGAAATCATGTGAATATCGTAAAAGTTATTTCTAAATTACGTCACGGAAGTAAACGAGCCTTCGAACTTTTATTCTTCCGCTAACTAGTTAAACATGCAGAATTATGGAATTTTTAATCAGTTGTTGGTCATTAAAAATCATTTAGCGGATGTATTCATGCGTTAAAATCAGAAACAATGATGATTTTTATAACGTACCTTGTCGAGAGGCATAGATGAAGGACAAGCACGGCAAAGATTGAAAAATGTTCCGATCATGTATGCAAAGTTTGTCTTTCACAAGAACGAAAATATAAAATTATCTTCAACCTTTTAGGGGTTCGTTTCACTTCTTATTATGCTTTTAAGATAGCTGATGATTTTGTGAAATGTAATCCTTATCGAAAGCCTTTGGATGCTTGTACAAATGAAGATATCTTTTTTCACTTAGCCGAAACTATCGATTTTTCAGAAAAAAAATCTTTCAAGGAAAATTAAGATTTTCCTTTCTGTTTTCTTCTGATTTTCACAAGTTTTCACAATCAGAGATACTGAACTTCAGATTAGAAACATTTTTGCTATTTGATTATAAACTTTATAAGCTTAAATTATATTTTGAGATGTTTCTGTAAAAATTTCGAAACTCACAGCTGGAAAATAATTTTTCCCTGATTGTTTTAATCATTGGCGGCGCTGCCATCGCAAATCTCGTGGTCGGAAATAAATCTCGTGCACGGACACATTTTTCATGTACATTTTGTATGGAAGGTCAAATCCGCGCGAACCGTCGGGGCACGAGGCAATTTTCCCGAGACATCATAAACAAAAACCCTTGCACTTTTTCTGGGAAGGATATTGGGGTTATTTCGCTTCGAGGAAAATCTCTATGAGCATTTGAAAGGTTCTTATTAGAAACATTTGAGAGGTTCTCTTCACAATTTCGCCGCTTGAGCCACCAGGCGGCACCAGTTTTCATACAAAGTGCTAAAAAAAATTTTCGAGTTTGAAATAACCGCCCGGTTAATCCGAGTGAATGCCGACTTGCGTGGATTTGACCTTCCATACAAAACACACAGAAAAAATATTCCCGCGCACGGAAAAATCGTCCGTGCGCTACACTCTCCACCTGAAACTAACTTTCTGGACTCCGTGTGATAATTACACTCTCTACCTGAAACTAACTTTCTGGGGAGCAGTTTCAGGTGGACAGTACTTTAGGACATTCGACGTCAGTGATGAATCTTGTTGTAGAAAATTTATGCTCATTTTTATTGATAACTAGAAATGATTTGAACTATTTCATAGATTTTCATTGCCTTATATTTAATAAGATAACATTCACGTTAGACATGCCCAAAAGAAATTNCAAGCTTCCGCTTCGGCTTCTCAAAAAGTTGAGCTTCTTTAAGCTTCCAGCTTCCGCTACCGCTTCGGCTTCCGACCCCTGATATTGGGGGTATTTCGCTTCGAGGAAAATCTCTATGAGCATTTGAAAGGTTCATCATTAGAAACATTTGAGAGGTTCTCTTCACAATTTCGCCGCTTGAGCCACCAGGCTGAAATAACCGCCCGGTTAATCCGAGTGAATGCCGACTTGCGTAGATTTGACCTTCCATACAAAACACACAGAATTAAAATTACTCCGTGTCAGATAATTTCTCCGTGTCAGTATATTATACTTTTTCTCCGGGTGCAAGAAATTTCTCCGTGCGAGATAATGTGTACACTCTCCACCTGAAACTAACTTTCTTGGGAGCAGTTTCAGGTGGACAGTACTTTAGGACATTCGACGTCAGTGATGAATCTTGTTGTAGAAAATTTATTCTCATTTTTATTGATAAAGAGAAATGATATGAACTATTTCATAGATTTTCATTGCCTTATATTTAATAAGATAACATTCACGTTAGACATGCCCAAAAGAAATTTTTTATTAAAAAGTTATTCGCAATGTTTTTCTTGATCACGATTTGTTTATATTGTGTGCATTTTCCAGGATTATGTTTTATGCTTCAAAAGATCAGATTTGCTTTGAGCATCAACTAAAGCAGTCGTGTTTTGTGAATCTCTTCTAAAATTTTATAGATTACTTCTATAATAATATCAATTTTTTATATTCTATCATAAGGTGAAGATATCTTTAAACAATATCCATTAGTGCTAAATAAATTTGTGAATAAAGGAAGTGACTGCCGTGAGAAGTTTTTTAATTGGAAGTGTTTGCAGACAAAAATCAATAAATTTCAAGTCCCGGTTAGACGAAAAATATTAAAAAGAAGAATTTTGAAAAATATATTCCAAGCTCATAAACAATTCATAATTCATTCGACAATGGGAATTGTAACATGTTTTGTGAATTAAAAGGAAATTAAAAAAATATTCTCATCAAAGTAGGATTTGCCTTTGAAATTCAGTAAAAAATGTAAGTAAAAATTTTCTAAATAAACGAAATTCAACGCTTCTAGTTAGAGAAAAACTAAAATTACCATAAAAGAAGCTACAAACGAAACAGTTTGATGCTGTGAAGATTAAGTCTCTCTTTTTTTGCATTTCATTGCATTCTTTACCTTCCTTCTTGTGCAGAATGTTTTGTTTTCGTTATTCAGGTCAAATCTGACCAGTCAGTACTTTTCCATTTCCATAGCAAAGGAATATTTCGAAAGAGAAAATGAAAAGATTCTTGTGAATCTCTTTGTGACGCAAGTTATTCAATATTTTTATAACTTAAATTATGCTTTAAAAGGGATAAATAATTATCTCTTCTCATCTAGCATATCAAAGATTTGCGATCGCATAAGAAATACTGTTAGCTTGTTCCATATTTAATGTTGAAATTATGATGGTTTGAATAACAATGAAGAATATAATTTACATATAAAAGGCTTGAAAAATTAAACTTAAGCAGTTAGATTTAACAACGAATGACGAATGTTGAGATTGCTGTGAAATTGTAAAGAATAACAATAATGAATGAAGAAAGTTTTCTTCCAAAGAAAACAATAAAGTTCGGCTGTGTGGTTCTGGCATGTTGTTAACGCTTATTTCTTTCATCGCTTTTCAAATTTTCTTTCTTTCTTACTTTTTTCATAACTTTAACTACAAGTATCTTCGAAATCGGTACACATGTTTATCGTAAATCTTCAAGGTCGATTATAATGAGAATGTTTTAACTTCTCTTTCTTCGTTTTTATATTTTCAAGCAATTCTCTTCTTGACTTGTAGTTGGAACGATCTCGATGTCTATTGCGTCGATAATTGAATGAGTTGGCGATTTTTTAATGCATTATATAATTTATTTTGAAATTGGATTGCAAAACAATTCGTTCTCATCCAAAATTCAAATTACCGTGAAGAGCTTCATTTAAATTATTCCCAAGAAATGTTTTTTCTCAAATGGTTCTTCTCGTAAAACAGAAAGAAACGCTTAAAGGTAATCGGAATTTACGTCACTTCAACTGTCAGATTGTCTAGAACCTTGGTTTCTGCTTAATACCAACTAAGTGAGAAAATGTTTAAATATCCGAAAGAAACGAAAATATTTGCGGGCTTTTTTTTATTCTCCCATGGGGGGAATTAAAAATCGTTGATTTGTTTGTTATCATATCGTTTGGACGCTAATCCCAAGATACCGGCATTTGTTCTTTCAATTATCAAATGATATAAATAGCAAATCAGCTCATTTTAAACTTCAGTCGTTAAATGAATTATGAAGTTGTTTGTTTTCATTGTAATCGCTTTGACCGCTTGTGGTAAGTGTAATGGCATTGGCAAGCCATAAATAGCAAAAACAAATATGAAATGAAATTGATACATAATTACGTGTTGTGTTGCATCGTTAAAGCTTCAAGCACATCGATAAATGATCCAGAATCGGTAGCACCAACCTTTGATGCCACTCGCGATGTAATTCTGATGTTGTTCACAAGATCAAACCCAGAAGTTCCAGTCATTTTACGATTGAATGATTTGGCGTCGATTCAAAATAGTCCCTACGATTCATCGAAGCCAACGAGAGTTTTAACTCACGGATTTACTGGCGACAGTGACGTCGTGTTCTTGGCTTTGGGAAGACAAGTATTTCTAGAAAATCACGACTTTAATATAATTGTTGTTGATTGGAGTGCTGGAGCTCAAACCATCAATTATGCTGCTGCTGTTGCTCGTGTTCGACCTGTTGGTGCTTTTGTAGCATCTTTCTTAGATTTCCTTCACATAAATAATCTTATTAACTTCAATAATGTTTACGCTATCGGCAATAGTTTGGGTGGTACGTTGATAACAATTCATTAAGAGTGACGTAAGCAATCGATGAGATAATTTTATTTATCATCGTTCAGCTCATGTTGTGGGGCATATCGGGAAGAGTGTAACTCGTGGACGCCTTAACACGATCATTGGACTCGACCCAGCTGGTCCGCTCTTCAGTATTGACAGACCTGATCAACGATTAGACGCTGGTGATGCAACTTACGTTGAAGCAATTCACACGAATGGACCGACACGCACAGTTCTTGGTCTTGGCATTGGTCTTCCTGTCGCTCATGCTGACTTCTTCCCTAACGGTGGACTCACTCAACCTGGCTGTTTTCTCAATCAATGTCATCACGATCGTGCCGTTTATTTTTACTGTAATTTTTTTATATTTTCGTTTCTCCTTTTCATAAACTTTCTTCAACGAGTTGTGAATAATTTTTATAGTGGAAGGAATATCAAGAAATGGATTCTTTGGTCAACGATGCAACAATGTTGACGATGCTATAAATGAAGCTTGTTCGGGACAACCTGGAGCATGGATCAGCAGTGAACCATCAAATGGTCAACAATCACTTCGTGGAATTTTCCATCTCACAACAAACAGTGCATCGCCTTTTGCACAAGGTCCAATACGGCCTTAAGTAATTTTCTTTGTTTTATTTATGTGAATTATTTTGAAAAGAACAACAATCAGTAAACATTTAAATTCATTGCTAATTAATTCGTAGAACCGCTCAATTTTACTCATCAAACCATAGAATTGACGTCAACAGTTATTCAACAACATAAAAGCTCGTAAAAAGTACATTGACTCAAATTGTGCTGCTTATTCCAATGAACAACAACTTACAGTCTTAGTTTCACTCAGATGACTTTATGAATGCGATAAAAGAATTCAAAACAATTTTTTATGTTTCTTTCTTCTTACCTTTACACTCGAACTCATTCAACCAACTTTATTTTGTTTTCTTCGGTTTATTTCACTCTTCTAGGCTTTTCTCTTGTACTCTCCTTCCTTATCGTACGTGACAATCATTTAAAATTCATTTAAAACGACGCATATATGGAACAATACCGATCTTGGTTTGTCTACTGTTTCTGATACAAAGAGAAGATTCTTCGAAGCTTAAAAGGAAGAAATAAACTTGAAAGTTGTTTGTTTGATGAATGACAAAGCTCTAAAGAAAGCAAATGTAGGAATCAAGCGAAGAGCGTAACGTTTTATCTAAATGTTTAAAGTTTATTGCCATCCATGCATGTTAATGCTTAGGACACGTTTAAGAGATTAAATTCCTTTCTTTACAATACCAGAGACAAAACTTTACTTTCATTTTACGTGAAACTTTTTACCAAAAAATTCCATAAAATGCTTCAATATTATCAGTCGATGCACAACAACGGGTTGACGATCTGAAATCAGTAAATGAAGTCATGTTGAATTGACGATTCTCAAGGTTTATGAGACGAGACTGACTGGTTACGATGAACGACATAAGAATTTTTCTTTGAAAGGAATCATGAAGCAAAAATCTCAGTTTTCGACGATACGTGATTGTGAAGCGAAGGAAGGAAGAGGAAAAAAGTTTTACCTAGTAATCTCTTAATCAAAACCCTCGAGCGAAACTTGCGATATCTCCGCTGCTTTTTTTTTCATTTTGAAGTACGCGAGAAGATACTTTTGGGAGCGAATATTATTATTTAAGTATTACACGATTCCTCACTTTCCGAGCATCTCATGCTTTGTTGAATATTATGCTTTCGCTTTTTGTTTTTGTGTACAACAAAACAAGATTAACCGCGCTCAGTGCTCGATTTTTTTAATTTTCAAGTTAAATAAAATTTCACAAAATTCGACTTCGCTTGGCCCACCATGGCAAAACAATTTTTTAATTATTGTTCGATGGAATTTCATTAGAGAACAATTTTCGTCGTATCAGAAGGACAAAACATTGTTCTGTTGTTTTGTTCTCATTTCATCCAACTTCACTTAGATTTGATGAAAGGAAATTGCAAAAATGTTTGTTTAATTAACGTTTAATTGGAACACAAACATTTGATTGTCAATGGCAATAATTTTAAAATTTATTTTACTTTCTGTAAACGTAGTTAAGTTCTTTTCTTCTTATTGCTGAATAAAATGAACATCAAAGGCTTCAAAATCAAATATTTGCTACTTTTATTACGATTGCAGTCTGTGTAATTTGTGCAAATTAAAATCAGAATGAGGAAACCTTGAAAGCGAATTTTGCTGACGGCATGGCATGAGTTCAAATTAAAGCTTTATAGATAAACAGAGTTGGCTTTTGAAATCTGTGTTTAAGCACTCTTCAGTACTCACAATTAGTTAAACTACAATGAGAGGTAGCTCAAGTAATTTGTTTCTTCTTCCTCGTGATTCATTCTGAAGTTTCTCTTTTAACACGACTTTTGATTCCTCTCATTAAAATTATTTGTATAATAACTTAACAACATCCTCAAACTCATTGTGAGTATGAAAGAAACTAAAGTAACACTCACCATCAAATGATCATGATTATCACAAGCGTCACCACAATATCTCACGTGCAGAAATCTTGTACAACTCATTTTGATGTCAAATTTTAACAGAATCTTGACCTTTGTGTAGGTGCTCATAATTCACGGAATGCTTAATCAAGATAATCCAACAATTATCATTTTTCCTTTCACAATCAATCAAAATTCACATCAACTTGTACCGTGGCATTTTAAGAAACTAACTAACTAATAAAAAGCAATTTTTTTTGTCGAAAACGCGATTTTCTCTCTCACGAAATGATTCGAACGATTTTTTGAGCTTACAAAAATGGATTAATTGGTAAGAAAACGTACAAAAAAAAGAAATCAACTCGCAGTTGTTTGTCTTATTCGAAAAATGAAAAAAGTTTCGTCGATTGATTTGTGGCGATTTTCTTTCGCTCTCTTAAATTGCCAATAGGAAAAATGTTCATGCCATATTGATCATCTGACAGCAGGTGTGAAATGGTTCCATTATCGCCAATTTAATTTCATTTATCTTTTCGAAATATTGTTTACAGTTTCCTGTAGTTTAAGTTGCAATTTAATATGAAAAAAGTTTTTATTGAGAAGGGGAGAACTGCTGTAATGACATGTTGGTAATCAAGCCCATTTTTTTGATTATCATCAATCTATATTGAACATTTTCAGCTGATGTAGGTCGGCTTTTGACAGCAACTTTTGTACTTATTGTTGTCAAAACATCCGGAAAATGTTTTCAATTAGAATATTTGACTTTAATAATTTCAAAATGTTTGAACATCGAAAGGTCATAAATGTTGTTAATCACACTTTGATTACCAACTTTTACTAATACATTTTTCTTCTTTTTCAGATTGTTTTGTCATTCAAAGACATTGACAATTACAATTAATTGTAAACGGACAAAAATAATGATATCAAACCAGAAGCAGCAGAACATTTTAAAATCGTATTTATTTAACTCATAAAAAGATTACACAGTCGATCAGAACAGAAAACAAAATTCAATTACTGTGACGAGCGAGGGATATATTTAAAGAAGAACTGTGAATGTTTGTGAAAACGGAAAGAACATCAAATAACATCAAACTATTAAAAAAGCGTTCGTTTTGGTTGGATAAATTTCAATTACCAGAGAATTCCCATTAAATTGATGCTGAACAGAGAAGATTCAAATAAAAACACAAGACAACATGACAATTAAAATCTTCCGACGTGGTTCTGCACGAATTGGCATCATATCGGCTTGCATAATTATTCTCATATGTCTTTACTACATTTCCATCGGATCTTCGCAAAACTCAAAAGATTTGCAAATGAAGAGGTGAGTGAATTAATCAAATTATGCAAAATGAATGGGAAAAACAAATATTTCAAACTCGTTAACAAAAAAATAATTTTTCTAATGTTTTCATTCTAAAAATTGTTGGTAATGTTCTTAAATTTATGATGACAGCAACAATTACACGACACAACATGTGAATTTTCCCTAAATTACGAGTTGCTTTTATTTCTGTATTCATCATGCAATAAATTAGTTAACTTGACGTTTACGGTTGTTTTGCCTTAAGATTGCAAACATTTACTCACTTTCTCCTTTTGTTTTATTGTACAGTAAATTGTCAGGTACACACCATAACAACAACCAGTCAAATTGGCCTAATTGGTTCAGAGACAACATCAATCATCTCAAAAGTAGTAAGAAATCTTCAAAACAAAAAAGTTTTAATACCGAAGATATCGATGATGACGATAATGAGAAGTGGAATGAATGTTCTGTTCTTGAAGAGACACAAGCCGACATCAATACCAAAGAAGTTTTCTCCAAATTCGAGTTCGAGCCGGATTGGATGAAAACAAAGGAATATTGGGACAAAGATTTTGAAACGCGCTATGATAAGCTTATGAAAGATCCACATCGACCACCGCCAAAAATCTTCGTCACACCACATTCTCATAACGATCCTGGGTGGTTGAAGACATTTGTCAACTACTTTCAATCAGATACACGACAAATTATTAATTTAGCTGCCACAAAAATGCCCGAGTTTCGTAACATGACCTTCATTTGGTCAGAGATCAGTTACCTCAATATGTGGTGGGAACAAGCGCACCCGTCACGACAACGTGCTTTGAAGAAACTTATCGATGAAGGTCGTCTTGAAATCACAACTGGAGGGTGGGTGATGACAGATGAAGCCAATAGCCATTATTTCGCAATGTTAGATCAACTTATTGAAGGCCATCAGTGGGTGAAAACAAATCTAAATTATATTCCAAAGACTGGGTGGAGTATCGATCCATTTGGACATGGCAGTACCGTTCCTTATTTACTCGCCTCAAGTGGCTTCGAAGGAACAATCATTCAAAGAATTCATTACAATTGGAAACAAGTGAGTTTGGTTTTTGTTAATAAATTGAAATTGACAATTCCGAGCACTATTTATTGAAATTCTTATTTGTTTTATCTTCTTTCTACAGTGGTTTGCAAAACATCAAGCTGGAGATTTCTTGTGGATGCCACATTGGAAAAGTTCAACGAGTAAATCGCATACGATGTTGACACACAACATGCCATTCGATATTTATTCAATAAAACATTCTTGCGGACCACATCCTTTCATTTGTCTGAACTTTGACTTCCGTAAAATTCCGGGCGAGTACACAGAATATTCGATTAAAGCGCAATTCATCACGGATGAGAATATTCAAGCGAAAGCTGATCTTCTTATGGAACAATACACAAGGACAGCTTCACTTTTCACACATAACGTGGCTTTGATTCCAGTGGGCGATGACTTTCGGTACAATCATGAAAGGGAATTTAATCAACAATATGAAAACTACAAGAAGTTGATTGACTTCATTAGTGCTAATAGCGCGACACGATATAAGAATGCGACAATTCAATTCGGCACACCTGTTGACTATTTTCGAGCGATAGAACAACGACAAAAACATAAATTTCCATCACTTGTCGGTGATTTCTTTGTGTACGCTGACATCTTCAATGAAGCACGACCAGCTTATTGGTCTGGATACTTCACAACTCGACCGTATTATAAGCTGATGAGTCGTGATTTGGAACATAATTTGCGTGCTTTAGAAATTCTCTTTACACTCGCATTCAACAAAGCAAGACAAAGTGAAAAGTCAAATGCGTTTAAGATTTACGAGAAGAATTACGAAAAGATTATTCAGGTGAGTGAGACAGAAGATGAACATAACCTAAAATTGAATTTAAATTGAACTTCTTAATAATCATAGGCTCGTCGTAATCTTGGATTATTTCAACATCATGACGCAATCACTGGAACAAGTAAGGCAAATGTTATGCGTGATTACATGAATCGTCTTTACGAATCGATACAAGACTGCGTGAAACTTCAACAACAAACTATTGAACTTCTGGTTCAAAAAAGTCCCGAAAATTTTCAACATTCCTTCATCATCAGTGAACTTGAACGTGACAATTTCAACAGATCACCGAGAAAATCTGCAAGTCTTGTAACACCTGAGAAGAATGTTCAAGTTGTCTTGTATAATCCATTAGCTCAAGAGCGTACAGAAATTGTTCTCCTCCGTGTTGTCAAAATAAATGTAAAAATTCTCGATTCGAATGGTGTAGAACTTCCATATCAAATCAATCCGGTATTCAACGTAACCGAGCATTACGAGTCATTAAGTCGTAAAACTGTCGTTTCGAACAGAGAGTTTGAGTTAATGTTTCTAGCAAAATTGTCCCCACTTTCGTTATCAGTGTTCACTTTAACTTATCAGAACGACACGAGAAGTAAACTCGCGACAATTTACTGCGATGACTGTAAAGAAGATACATCAAAGCATGTTGACAATGACACTCCATCGCCATTCGACATTAAACCAAAGCAATCGGGTGACATTCAAGTGGAAAATTCCAAGATGCGATTATTGTTTGATGGCGAGTCGGGATTTCTCAAAGCAATGACAAAGAAGAATTACGGAAAATTAATTCAAATGGCGATAAAGTTTGGTGCTTATAAGTCTGCACAATTCCATTCCGGTGCTTATCTCTTCCGACCCGAGTCGAATGATCAAAAAAGTGCTGAGAAGGATGTGTTTGAAAACTACAAAGAAAAAGAGATCATGATAACAACGGGACCATTGGCATCAGACGTTTCAGTCATTCATGGTGCTTTCCTTGCACATACAGTAAGAATTTTCAAAACGCAAACTCATCTTGACACAGCAATTTACATTGAGAATGACATTGACTTTGAGAACCCTCCAAAGAATCGTGAAACGGAAATGTTCATGCGATTAATTACGTCAATTGAGAATGGCGATGATCCGGAATTTTATGGCGATTTAAATGGTTTCCAGTGGCAACCAAGAAAAAAAGTTCCACAAATTGGAATCGAAGGAAATTATTTTCCTATCACATCATCAGCTTTCATTCAAGACAATCAAATGCGATTGACGTTGATGACAACTCACGCTCAGGGAGCAGCTAGCTTAGAATCGGGACAATTGGAAGTGATGCTCGATCGTCGGACACTTTACGATGATTATCGTGGAATGGGTGAAGGTGTTGTAGATAGTCGTTTAACACGACACCAATTTTGGTTGACAATGGAATTCTTCGAAGAGAAAATGACAAAAAATGACGAAAAACTTTATTTCGTTCCAAGTCTCCAAGCACAACATCTCACTTACGCTTTAAATTATCCAGTCAACATTTATTTCATTGAAAAGTATGACGAAGCACAAACAATTGACATTAATCATCATGTTCAACTTCTCAACTATCAACTTCCATGTGATCTTCATTTGGTCAATTTAAGAACATTAACAGAGCATAACTTACCGTTGTTCCCTTCAAAGTCAGCTTTACTGATAATGCAACGATTCGGATATGATTGCCGATTATCACAAATAGGTGATGATGACGATGACGAATCTTATGCTAATCAATGTTTAAAAGTTAAAGGAAAATTCAGTAGTTTGAAATTATTTAAGGATGTCGAGGTGGATGAAGTTAAACGAACAACTTTGACAGGTTTACAATCACAAGGAGTTATTAAAAGCTTTACAAATGAGTCACCAATCGAATCGATGGAACTTCGAACTTACAACATTACATTCAATTAAGAGTCATTTTTTGTTATGTTCATTGCATACGCGAGTTTTTCTTTATGCTGAATAATGAAACGAAAGATCTGCTGATTAATTAATTATTTTCGATATTATTTTTTGTCACAATTCACTTTTAGTTCAATTGATGTTCGCGTTTGTACCTTATTTAACCTTAAGTTTTATTGAGTAGACAATTATGCATTTATTCTACATCCCACTGGCATTATTAATTATTTACTTGCAACTTTTATTTTTAATTAATTTTGTAGACAATTATAGAAGATTGAAATTTATTTGAACAAATAACTTTGTGATGTCATAGCTTGTATGTATTTAAGAGTGTGTTAGATGGTTAAGAAATGAATTGCAATTACGAACGTAAAAATGCATTTAGACTGAAATACTTATAAATTATTTATATCTGATATTTTTTATTTCTTTTTTCAAGGAAGATGAAGAATTTATTTGATATAAAAGAAATAATTAAAAGTTTTCATACAAGAAACTTATTGAATTAACATAATTAGGAGAATTTTTCTTGTCAATTGGCATCTTTTCACTTCACAGATATAAGAAGAAGAAGAAAATTATCATGAACAAATTAAATATTTAAAAAAATTGTAGTTAAAATGTCCATGACTAGATGTACCTACCTTTAATATCTTTGAAAATAAATGTTCACTTGTAATCTTGTAAGATGTAGTTGAAATAAAATAATTTAAAAGTAAACATTTTGTATCATATGAAAGCGTTTTATCAAAACAATTTCAGATTTTTCAACATTAAATTTGAACCATTCAACTGACTTTCAATTTTCAAATCGATTCTATGAAACGTGTCTCTGCTTATTAACTTGACTTATTTTGAACTTTCTGTGTCTTGAATAACTCACCATATTGTTAGGTGTGTTGGTTCAGGTATGAATGTGTTGGTTTATATCTCTACTAATATTTTTGCTTAGTCAACAATTCTCATAAAAAATTCTCCTTTAAAACTAGTTTTTCTGAGTTTTTCTCATTAAGTTTGAAAAGCTCGAGCCAACATGCAGGAATTTACATTAGCAGAAGTTGCAACTCATAATACTCGCGAAGATTTGTATATCGTCATTCATGACGAAGTTTATTCGGTGTCGAAATTTGTGACTGAAGTAAGTTGCAATAAAATTAATCAAATTCATAAATCTTGATTTGGAAATTGACCTAATTTTACAATAATTTTCATTGTTCTTTGTTTTAGCATCCAGGTGAGATTATCAGAATTGATTGATTATTCGTCCTTGAGTTTAACATTCTTCAAATTGTTGTTTCAATTCATTGATTATCCTTAATTGGTTCGAATGTCGCCTTATCTGTCAATAATGGAATACTCATCTGATCACGAATATTTTTAATTAATTGTCTGAATTTGTAATCATTTAAGGTGGCGAGGAAGTGCTCATTGAATATGCTGGTAAGGATTCAACAGAAGCATTCGATGACGTCGGTCACTCTCAAGATGCAAAAGACATTTTGAAACAATATCACGTAGGATCGATTATTGAAAGCGAACGAGCAAGTAACAAGAAAGCAAAAAAGAAGGAAGAGACTAAAAGGTAAAGAAGTGGAACATCATTCAATCATTTATTTATTTGTTAGATCATTATTTTTATATTTCCTTGTAGCTCATCAACCTCCTGGTTTTCGTCCCTTAAAAATAAGTTTTTCTGATTCATTATGATTTGCTTAATTCAGGGCTAAATTCTCCTTCCAAATATTTCGGGTGTTTGTTCATACTTTTTTTTAAATATTTTATTAATTTGAAGTTACCTTAAAGCATTTTATTATTTTATTTAATGTTGAAGGCACAAAACATTGCAACATTGATCACGATAAATTTGGTGTTTGTTATTGGCAAATACAGATAATTAAACATATCAATTAATTAATATTTACAGGGTGGAATGTTGTGCCTTTTGCTGAAAAAGAAATTATACTAATTGTTATTTAATTAGTTTGTGACGTCCATTCAATTTAAGTTCTTATTTTAAACTCTCAAAAAATGAGAAATCTGTTAAATCTCAATAGAATCCAATAAATGAAAACATAATTATTTTATTCCAGATTAATGATAATCGCACTATCTGGTCTTGCTGTTGGCGTAGGGCTTGTTGTTATTTATAGATTTATGAAGTCAAAATAAGAAAAGAGACTTTAAAGTTTGTGAGTTCTTGCTTAAATTTAGTTTATTTTTATACAAAAAGATATGAAAATTCCATTAGAGAACAAATTTGTCACGGAACAATAAAGAGATTCTTAACTAATAATAAACTTCTTCTTTTCAATCAGAAATGATCAAAGATATTTATTTAATTCATCAACATTGAAATTTCAAGATTTTTATATAAAAATCAAGGAGAATTCTTAACGACAAAATCAAATTCAAATCTCAAGGGTTAGGAATGTTTTTTGAAAAATCAAGGGTAGAAAATTCCTATTTAAAAGTTGCTCACTTTCATTATCTTAAAAGTAAAAAAAAATTGTAAACAAAGTTTACTCAAATATTTTTCAAGTTTTTCAATGCAAATGGTTAATGCAAAGTCATGTATTGAGAGGGTGTTTATCAATCTCAATGCACCACCCTCTTTTCAGGTATTTTTGACTCGTCTTGATATGAATTCTAATTTTATATTTATTTATTAATATCTTACGAAAATTATTAAAAATTTCAGTTGCGGCAGAAAATTCTTGGCGATAACAATACAAACCTGCAATATATCATTCAGGAAACAAAAGCAAATGTAACCTTGAGGGGAAGAGGCTCAGGTTACATTGAACAGAATGGTGTCGAATCAAACGAACAACTTCATTTATCAATCGAACATCCAGTGATGAAAAGTCTTATTGAAGCGAAGAATTTGGCAAAGAATCTCGTTGAAACAATTCAACAAGATCTTCAATTATTTCTCCAACCAAACCAACAGAATGTTCAGAGCCAACAACAGCAACAACAAGTACAGCCACCCCCAATCATACAAACGGTAATTATTTTATTTTCAGACAATTTCGGCTTTGATTTGAGTTTTTTGAAATTTATTTATTTGTTTTTTCTTTCCTTTCTCAAGAGCACGCAACAAATTTCCATCCCGCAAGCGGTTTTATCTTGTCCACCGCCTACAATCATTCAAAATAACGCTCTTCAGCCAACTCATATAATTCAACAACAGAGTTTCATCCCTCAACAACAAATAATCCCACATAATGTTCCAATGCAGATTATTCAACAGACTCCAATAAACATCCCTCCACCGACAGGGATTCCAATCAGAACGAATCCAATTGTGCAGTTTCAAGGGCAAAGCTTACAGCCAACAAATATTCAGATTCAAGGAGCCAACAACGGTCAACAAATTCTTCTTAATCAAACTCCTACACAACAATACCAACTCCAATATATTCCTTCAGTCAATACACCACAAGTGCAAACAATTCAACATGTTCTCCAACCACAGCAGCAAATCCAAGGAATACTTCAGCCTGGAGCTAACGGCCAACAATACATCACCGTTCAAGGCAACACAGCTTTCATGATTCCGCCTCCAAACATCATTCAAACTCAGAATCATCAAAATATCGGAACTGTCTTTAATACGCCACCGACAATCACATTGAATCCCGACGATTTGAAGAATGATGGGAAGTTGAAAGTTGATGGAAATGTTGATCAGAAAAACAATAATCAAAACTTACAACCAATGGCAGCAACAAGAATTGTCACAAATGTTCCCTTGAATCAACCACCACCAATTCTCAATTGTCCACCTCCACAAATCTTTAATCAGCAACAGCAACAACCAACTCAACAACAACAGATTCAGTTTATTACAAATCCATGGCAACAACAACAACAGCAGCAGCAACAACAGATTCAAATTGTTACACAACCACAAACAATTCAATCTTCTGGACAAATGCTGACAACTTTAAATTCGCCACAAAATGTTACTGGTGGAAGTGGAAGTGGACAATCTTATCAACAAATTCAGTTTCATCAAGCAACTGTGACTCAGCCGCCACCGCCAACGACAACACAAATTCAGACGAATCATCATCAACTACAACATCATCAGCCTAACATGAGCTTTCAACAGCAGTTTGAGCAGAAAATAAATGTAAGGAATTTGTCTCGTCATGAAGTTGGAACTTAAAAATTGTTTTTTATTTGTACAGGCAGGTGACACGCAACAACAACAGCAACGCGCTGGTAAAAGAAAGTTTGAAAGTGAAACAGATGCTGATAAGACTTTTCCAAAAATGGGAGTTGGGTAAGAAATTCTAGATTGAAACAATTAAAATGTTTAAAGCAAATACAAGCGAATAGTTGTTAGTTGGAGTTAGTTTTAAAAGGTTGACTGACTGGATGAGTGAAGCAGAACTGAAGTTGAATCAACAACCTCAAGTGAAATAATAACAAAAGAAAAAGATTAAAAATATTTACAGAAATTCATCGTACGAGATCGATCAGGACGAATCATGAAGAATGGGAAAAATATTCATTTAAATTCCTTCATTTCTTTCTCTTTTATTGATTCACTTAATAAATGTATTTATTTAAGAAATATTGCAAGCAAATTAATTCCTATTTATAGTCAAAACATGACAGAACACGCAACATCATCAAAGATACAAAAAAATCGAATGATGTCCAATCAACCAGCAATCAACAATCATTTTATAAAAATGAATAATATTTCAACGTCGTCATCTGCTGGTAAAAATAATGGCGATGACATCACACAAAGGAGTGTCAACAACAGCAACAACACAACAACTAATAAGGCAATGTTTAATAGAAACATCAGCAACAACAATTCTTCCTTGAATAATCAGAAAAGCCTCGCGACGACGACAGGTACTTTCTTGCCACAAAGTGATTTCATTGACTCATAAAGCTAGACAAATATTTTTCCCTTTCTTTATTTTCCCTTTTTCATTCAAAAGCATATTTGTTAAGAATTATTTTTAAAACTTTCAACATATCATAGAATTATATTTAGGTTTATCAACATGAAGAAGCATTGGACTGAAGATTGAGACAGCAGCAATGAAGAAACTATAAATTTAAGTCAAATAATTTAATCGTTTTAACGTTACGAAAACATGTTTGAGAAGAAGCTTTAATAATGGCTTTGTGTTGCTTTAAATAGTTCGTTTCCGTTTTCATTTTGTTGACGTTTCATTTAGTTGTCACTGAAATGCTTTTTCGTCGGTATCAGCGAAGTGACAAGCAGAATTTTCACTCGTTTCTCTTTATTTAGCTAAGTGACATGAAGTGAACTATTAAAGCTTTCTTTTCTTCCATTAAATTCAAATCATTTTAATTATAAATTAACTTTAAGGACCTCCAATTTAAGAATTAAGAAATGAATTTCTTACAATTAATTTTTCAACAGATGCAGATAAAGGAATCTCAGATGACAATGATGAATCCATGGTTAAAAGAATCTCTGACTAGTTTTTAAGATTTAGATCATAAGCTTTAGTAGAAAGATTTAATTTTTTAATTTTATATTTATTTGTTACTAACACGTTTTTCTCTCATCCCTTGTTTCGTCTACTCTTGACATACAGTTGAATCGAAATTGAAGAAATCAATTGGAAAGAGTGATAATGATGCATCCGACATGAACGATCAAGCAACAAATTTCACGGTGATGAATAATCAAAGTCAGCAACAAATGCGGGGAGTCGGAAATAATCAAAATTTCCGTTTCTCGACTTCTCCGAGTTTTGTTCATCAACAACCACCACCAATCACACAAAATTCACAATTCAGTGGACCTCGTGGTCAAATCATGAGTAATAGCAGCTTGGGCTTGTATCAAAATGTCGGACAAAACCAAATGATGCAACAACCGCCACCATCAGTAACGACGACAACGTCACATCAATTTAATCAACAAGATCCGCCACCGAATATTTATCAACAAAATAATCATCAAAACTTTGTTGTGAATACTCAACAGGGAAGCATGAACATACGCTTCAACAATCCCCATCAACATCAACAGCAGCAAAATGATGGACATGCCGCAATCATGGCAACAAATTATCAACAGCAACAACAGCATCAACCGAGATTTAGACAATGGTAAAAGAAGTTTATTTAATTATTTACTTCTTCATTTAATAATCGTCAGTGACGTCACTAATTTTAAATGTTTGTCAACAGAAATCCAAATTTCTAGGAATTTTAAATGTAAATAAAGAAAGATTAACAACTTTTATCAAACGTTTATTAAATTCCGCAGCAACCACGAAATGTCTCAGGAGACAAACACATGCGAATCACAAATCAAGAAACTTTTGTTTTCCCTCGTTGCAGATATGAAATTAAATTCGTTGCGACTTGTGAAAACCTCCAAGCTTTCTATAACGATAAAAATAAACCTTGGACGATTTTGTAATCAGAAACGATACAAGAAAAAATGTAACTTAGAAGACGAAAAGTTTTTTTTTCTGTTATTTATTTGTTAACCAAAAATAAGGAGACAATGTTTGTGGTTTGGTTGAATTTGAAATAAGCAAACGTCAACCTGTTCCATTTGTTGTTTCTGTAGTTAATAATTAACTTCATTAATTAAACATCATGAGACTGAAAATCTTTCGCAAAGAAGGGAGAGTGAAGAATAAGAAGACGAAACATCGGAAGTGAAGTTTTAATTTGATTTCTACACGGCACTTCACAGTCGACTCGACAGTTGATAAATCAGCGATGGTTAAAACACCATGAAATTTGCTTGCTTCGTAAATAAATATTCTTAAGGGAAAAAGGCAGCTTAGCTAATATATTTAAATACAAAAGAAGAGACAAGAAAGCATAAGACGAACAACAGAAGAAAAATGCGAACAGAATAAAAGAATCAGAATGTCATTGCTTACGTTAAGGCGATTCATTATTTTCCTTCCGCGCTTTCAAGCACGAAAGGGGCAAAAACTCAAATTTCGCATGATTTCTTTGTTATCAGTGAGTCCAACGGCAACAACTACGACGAAGGGAACCGTACGACGACGCGTAAAAAATGAGTGAAATAAATTAGCGTACTTTTTTTTACATTTTGCTTGCTTCTTTTATGCTTATGATCCTCCAGGTCGACAGGTACAGGTAAAAAGAAAGCGAGTGAGAGAAAGAAATAAGTAAAGATATTAATTGGTTCATTAATTATTAAAATACAAAAAAAAAGAATTTTTTTTTCGCCATCTAATAACAGAAGCAAGAATTGTTTATGACTTGTGTAATTAGGCTTCGGATCCAAGTCATGTTTCTTCATAATTTAATTTGAAAACTTTGTGATGAAATGTGATGAAATTTTTTTCTTTCATTCTTCTTATTGTGGGTGACTTTTGGGATTGCTGGGATGTTCAGAAAGCGAAAAAGTAACAATGAATGGTGAAGTGTAAAGGTCACAATTTTGTGATGAAATGAAATGTCATTTGAATACCTTTGGAAGCTGTTTGTTATGTACTTCCATACATAAATTCAAAAAGGTGGCTTTATTTAAGTAAGCAAGTAAGTGAATGAGCGAGTGAGTGATCCCATTCAATATTTAGGTCTTTTTTCTTCATTTTATCTCAAGTGTATTAAGCGCCTGACATAAGTAAATAGATAAGTAAGAAGATCTCACAATTCAATTTCGTTCTCGTTGCCGATGAAGCAATAAGACAGCTTTATTGCTCTCAATTTATTATCTATCGAATTTCATTGGTTCAGAACATATGAATGTTCTGTCAAAATTGGTTTCTGAGACAATCTTCACGTGCGCGCAAGCAGAAGCAATCAATTTCATCGAATGAAGTTTTAAGCTCACGAAATGAGTTTAAAGAAAAAGTTTTCTACATTCGAAGTGAACTTTTATCCAAGTCTGATCAAACTTTCAGCAAATGTTACTTAATTGTTTTAAAAGACGATCGATGATGATGGAAAAGTGCTCGGAGAAAATTCTTTTAATGATACATCTCGTCCGATAAAAGAAAAGTTTCATAAAAGCTTTTCACGATAATCTAGAAAGGAATTTTTTGAAGCATTTTAAATGCTCTCGAGAGCCCTCAGTAGCTTCGATGATGATAACGTTAAGAGATTAAGGATTAATTGTGCAAAAGCATTGTCGTTAATCTAAATTTTTGCTTCTTTTTCTACTTCGTTATTCAAATATTTTCATTTGACTTTACAAAAGGATTAAATGAAGCAGATTTGCGAATCAGCGGCCAAAAGCTTGTCACAAGCGGCTGTTGAATAAAAAGAAGCAAAACAAACTCTCCATTATCACATTTAATTAGACAACTTCTAATGAACACCAAGCGAAGCAAGAAAACCATCCCAAAGTTCGGAGATTCATGAAACTTTTTCACTTTAAAAACATTCATTTTGTTGTTATTGTTGCAATCCTTTTATTTCAGCTTGACATAGAATCTGATGCTTCTCTACAGTGATAAATTCGTTGTTGTGTTAAAAATTGCTTCAAACTTTTCTCTTTCGTTTCGCTAAAACTTCAAAGTCTAAGAAAATATCTCGTGGCAAGAGTTGCGAGAAATTTTCCTTTTTTAAAAAATAAATAAATAAAAAATATTTCACTGACTTGCTAAACATGTATTTATGATTTCTCATGAACGAAATGTTGCTTCATGTCGTTTGATTTAATGTAGTTAAAACCATAATCGATTTTTTTTCCTTTTCCTTCAAAACTCTTTCTTAATTCTATCAGTAAATGTTAAAAATCGCTCCTGAGTGTGTAATTAATCATCAGACTAAAAGAAGAGCACGCAAAAACATGTAACGAGCAAGTCATTTCGGTTTATGTAGATATATTCGGTTTTATCAGTTTCTTGCTTCTTTTATGCTCTGTTCACTGTTCATTGTACCGTTTATTCCTTAGCCACATGATAATTATTTTGCACGTTTTATCTGCTTTAACAATGGATGAAAATAATAATACACAAAAAATCCCAATGTAGTCATGAATAAGCAGTGCTCGCAAAACAAAAAATGTTTCATTAAAGATTCTACTTACAATAATGAAAATTTTGGATCCATTTAAAGCTTTACGAGACCATATAATTAAATTAGAAAGCGAAAAATGCAAGAAGATGAATGTGAAGCATCAAGCAGATAAATAAATTTCGACTTCGCTCTGAATTTTTAATTGTTGTTGATCATGAAACGGACTGAAAAGCAATTTTGGGATGTTTCTTAGTTACACGATTTTGAACATTGAAAATTAATAACTCGCCGGAGGATCTCCACACCCATCGCCTTTTTTTAACACTTTTTGTTTTAATTTTTCAATATTCCGATTTTTACGATGAACTAAACAACAATTTTTGAACAGGAAATTGAAGTAATCGAATTTTCCAACCAGTTTCAGATCAAGATTATTCCTTTTTGTTATTAAAATTTCAGTCATTGATCATGCTTTATTATTTCAACTTTTCAGCTTTTCCATTCAAGAAATAACTTTTGGAATAAAATCAAACTAGATAAAACACTCAATTCAACTCCATCACAATCGTGTTTCATAATTCACTCTAGGCAGTTTATATTCAGCAAATTCACCAAAAAACTTTTAAATATTTTAACTCTTTCAATTAAAAAGTTTTTCTTTCTCATGTCAGAATGACGTCGCAACAATTCTTAGCTTTCAATTTTTCAAATGTAAATTTTTATTAGACAGAAAGTTATGCGGTGATGAAAAGCGAAATTTAGAAATCTATTCTGGGGTAAAAGGAAAATAAATTTCGCTCCATAAACATTTCATTTCAGTCAATGTGGAATGTATTGTGATTAGAGTTGAAGGATGAGTTAGCAGCGCAGTGCGATTTATTTCTGACTTAAAGCTTCCAAGTTCTTCTTTTTTGATGGGAGCTTTTGAAGTTTTTTATCTCACTAGATGGAAACAAAGGATCCAATGATAGGTAGATATGGATACCCTTCATTAATAATTCACAAAGGTAAAAAATTGAATATTTAATATTCGAAGAACAAAAAAGAATCGTACTGGAAGATTATTCTTACTCACATAAGACTTACACAAAATCAACTTCAGCATCAAAGCGAAAGATGTGCAGATAGTCAGCAGACAGAGGAAAAATAAAAATAAGAATAGCAAGGGAAATGAAAGCTTTAAAAAACTTTTTTAATAAAAATATCTCATTTTATACATGAAAATATATTTTGATCGATGACTTCATATTCATCTGCTTTTATGGCACTCGCCATGACATCATTTTAAAAGAATATTGAAGAGAAGAAAGGAAAAAGTTTTCATTAAACGAAAGAATGAAAGGAGGCTTTAATGTTATAATTTGCTTTTGAAATGAAAGGATATTCAGGTGATCCTAGAAAATTCCTTGAAATTTTCAACTTTTTTTCCTTGAATCAAATACCTGAAAGAAAATATTTTAATGTTGATGAGAACGAGCGTTGAAAAGTGCAGAACAGAAAAGAACAAAGAAATTTATTCCTTTTATGTAGTTTTGCATGCATTTCAATTCTAATCTTTTAGGCAAATCTCGCTTCTTAATTCTTCTCATCGCGATGCATCGCTTAAGTTTGAAAGCTTTTAAGAAAATTAAATAAAATGGATTTTTCATAGCTGCATTCATTAGAGTAAAAGAAGGAAAGTTTTCTTTCTGATCAACTTTTATTTTAGTACATATCGTTGAATGAAACCTCCCTTTCCATAAATATATATTTAGTGCGAAGCATCAAAGTTTCACTCACTTTTCATGATGGAAATAGAGTGAAACAATTTCCCTTCTGTGCGTTTATTGAAAATCGATATTGAATGGGGGGAAAGGAAATATATGAAAGCTTCATCATTCATCATTCTGAATCGACACTATACGAAGACAATTGAACCTCTGATTATGTTTATGGAATATCAAAAACATTTTTCTTCCCAGAAACTTCGCGTGTACAACTTTCAGTGAATCGAGATTAAAGGTTGTTATTTACGATAAGTATGTGTGGTATTGTAAGTTTATTAGAATTTCTAATTTATAAAATATAATTTATATAAAGCTGTGTAAGTTCACTTTTCCATTAAAATGTTGACCTGTTCAAATGTTAACTATTGGAAAAAATGTTAAACTAAACTAATCACATTTACTTCATGCTTCATACTTTCAGTTTTTCGAAAAGCAACATCAAGGTAGTAATTCAAGCGTTATTTTGTAAATTATGTCACGCTACATCAAGTGTTGCTTTATTAATTAATGTGTAGCATTATAAACAAAAGATTAAAGAAGATAAAAGTTAAATCGATATTATTGGTAATACATTTGAGAGCTTTGACATTTCCAACCCACGAGTCGTGGAAGAACAAATTTATGTATGTCAAAACACGGTAATGCGTTTAATATCTTCCAAAACAATTCATCTGAGACTTTAAGGGTTATTTACTCTAATTAGTGTAAAGAACACCAAAAGCTGCTTATAAATTCCACAAAGTATTGCGTGAAGCTTGAATTTCAATGCGTCGCTCATTCACTTCTTGCGTCCCTTTTTTTATTTATTCATTTATGGGAAACTAAAATTATGTTAAGGCCAAAAGGAAAACAATTATTCAGTTTGTTTAAAATTGTTACGAAACTTTGTATTTTAGCTTCATGATTTGGTAATTAATGAAAGTTTACAACAAAGAACTTTTGTAAAAGCTACCTAATTTGTAAACTTCAACAGATACCATGAAGGGTCCAAGAGAGAAGTTTTGAAAATTAAATTATTTAAATATTTAGATAGATCCACGAACTATAGTTGAGGATTGAAGTAAGAAGAAATTGTAGAATCCTTTTAAAAGCATGGCGAAACTTTTGTGTTCGTGATTGATAAGCTTCACCTCTTCTTTAACTAAACAAAACGTCGAGCTCAACCTGCTTATGTAACTAAACTTAATGTGCGTTTCATTTGACATTTCTTCAAATAGGCTGCAATTAAACAACCAAGCGTTTAATTATATTTTTACATAAAAAGGTTTGAAATTGAAGGAAGTTAAGGTTTATAAGTATTAAAATAAATGACCGGGGCTTCTAATTAAATTGATTCAATTAACGAAATTATTAGATGACATCCTACATCAAAAACCGAGAAAGCTTTGCCATCACTAAACTTTTCCAAAAAGTTCAAATGGTTAGATTTTAGACGAGGGTGGGTGGAAGGAAAAGAAGAAGAAGAAAACAAAAACAAGTTAGATACAAAGTTTCATGTTTCATGAAACAATTTATTTTTATCATTGCTTGAAAGCAAATTACTTCATCCTGAAGACAATGTTCGTCATTTCAAGCGATACTTGTCTGAAATATCTCATTTTATTTATTCACAAATCTTCAATTTCTTCCAGTTGAGGAAGAGGAAAAATTTATGTCTTAGATGTGATGAAATTAACCACAACGAAACACTTTAGGGAAATTTTAAATTTCCTTTTATGATTCGATGTCTTTACATCTGCCTCATTAAACTCATCTACAATCTAAGGCAATATCATTCTTGTGTTTCAGGAATAAAACATTAAAAAGTCATTTAAATATTGAAGATTGTTAAACTCCAGGTCTTTGATGATATTAGATTTAAGATTTATGTTATAACGCATGTTTATTGCACCTTAAGAAACCTTTTGATGATACTCAGATTGAATGATAAGATGCCAACAAAAGGAATATGAGAAATGAGAAGAAATGTTCGATAAAATGTTAATGACTTTAATACAATAAGCAACAGCAAGAACGAAATTGAAGAACAAACCAACAAGAAGTGACCAGCGGGAGACCAATTTATTAAATCAGAGAAAAATGACTTACATAATTTCTTTGTTGTGTTCTGGGGTAAAGAGACGAAATATTGTAATTCAACGTCCAACATTGTAAAAGCAAGAAAACTGGTTGTAACGATGCATCAAATTTGTGTATTTTACATAGAAAGTCATTTATAATCCTCATTTTTTTAAGAATGAGTTTCTTAACCCAGCGGAACTCAGACTTCCACTGCTTTTCAAATGTCCTTGATGAATTTCTGTTCTCTCATTATTCAATTGGTGTTATTCAACTGGGTGGAAGACCCGAGCGGCACACACTCGCCGTGCCGGAGGCATACGTTTGCACTACGACGATTTTTAGTTGGCACTTCCTTTGGCTTTTCCTTCAGAAATCAGCGAAAATAACCGAGGTATCAATTTAGCACTAACAGTTGACGCTATGGTGCTTCCCCACATGCCATTAACTCTAAATAAGGCTACCATAAGGCAGCTTAAGAAATTCTTCACTAGTCCAACACATAACTAACTTAAGGTGATAGAATTAGGCGATAGCCAGTAGTTTTTAGCCAAATGTCTTTCAGATGGCGGATTCTAAAGGAAAGCCTTCCCATTAAATGGAGACGATACTCGTATGACAGATTTGTGTGAGATATCGCCCTTTTGTGCCGCTCGGGAGAATGTTGAAGTTATCTTTAATCTTGATGGAAGTCACAATCGAAACAGAAAAGGAAAAGAAAGAAAAAAAATTGCTTTTCAACCCGTTTTGAGTACTTGAAAAATACTTTTCATGATCCTCACGAAATATTGCTTCTTATTACTTCTTATATTTTATTATTGAGCTTATGAACATTACTTTCATGTCAACGATTTGTTGAAATTTTTACCCAGAAAGAGGATTTTTGTTCTATTTCATACGAGTATTTCATGTTCAGAAGCTGTTGACACTTCGGGGTTCAACTTCCGAATAAAGCCATGGCTTACATTCAAGTCTTCACAAGGCATAAAACATCATCAACACAGTAAAATCCAACTCGAACATACTCAACAATCAAAGTCGACACTTACCGCCTATTGACATATTGAGTGTAAATGTTGAATTTAAAAAACAGAATTCAGTCGACGAAAATGTCACGACACGAGTGGAAAATAAAACATCAAACAAATTTTTTTTTTTGTGCTTCAAAATAGAATCCTAGAGGTGTTTCTTCTTCTTTTCTATGTTTCCATAGAATTTCAATGGCAATTTAAAGCTGAAGTGACTTCGCTTCTTACAGTTACATTCTCTGAAATCGACTTGTTATCAGTCTTGTTATAAATGAACTACTTACTTCCTGTTGTCGTAGAAATTGATAAAAAACTTTTCATTTCAATGCTTTGAAACATGAAAAGTTTTTGAAGGATCTTAAATTATTTTCTTTTATGTTGCACTAAGTAAAGAATCAATATTTAATGAGTGCTACTTGAAGCTGACTAATGACTGCAATTTGGAGCTGAAATTTCATCAACTCTGTCGTTCTACAGCGCTTGTGAAGAAATGTTAACAATAATAATTGAAAATTTCTTAAAACAAAACGTCACGATAAAAATAAAACTCATTGCAAATTGCAATCAAATGACGAGAAGTTTGAAATTTTAAAAGTAATTTTGTTAAAATGAAATGAAACTTAGAATCGTAAAAGTCAGAACAACGAAATACATTTAATCATCGTAAATTGTCGCAATCTTCATTTGCATTTTGCGTGATTACTTTAAAAATGTTGTGTGAGGGAATAAAGATTTAAGGGCGTAATATTTTTTTCATTACTTGAAATTTTCTTGTGAAAGTTCAGGAACTTTGCATATATCAACGTATCAACTCAAATTACAAAGCATACAACAAAAAAAGTGTATAAAAGCTTAAAAATATTTTATTGGAGAGAAATTGCTTTAACATAAGCTATAGCACACACTTGCATTGCAGTTGAACATCGTAAAAGAAGCAATCAAATAGTCGTAAAAGAAAACATGCATTCATATTTTATAGATTGGGAAGAAATACTGACAGAATACGAAATAAAGTAGAGAATGAGTGAGAAAGAGAATGTAGCAAGCATTAAACTATTTCACTGCTTCTTTTAGATATCTTTGAGTTTTAGGGGAGTGCACAGAAGTTTTGTCTCATAATCTCATTAAAAAGATTGTTCATTCCTTCATTCCCTCAACAACAATTGAAAGATTAGCTTAACAAATTTAAATGTTAATGTTTTCAATAGAAAAATCGTTTCTTGTCAATAGCGAAAGTTGTTCGACTGTCGTACAATCCCCATTGTGTTATTTTTTATTCTATTTTTAAAGGGCAGTTATTCATAAACAGTTTATTATGATATTTTTACGATGTTTTACATTATTGAATATTGGATTTTAATGATGCATGAAGTGAAAAGAACGATGAACTGAGTGCCTCTTGGAAATATCTCTTAATTTATCTGTTAAATGCTGAATGCTTATAACTCATAACCGATTACAATTCAAGAGTATTTAAATATTTTTTGTTTTAATTTTCTGCTCCAGTGAAAGTCATTATTGAGTGTTAGGAAACTAAACTCAGACTTCTCTGTTGAGATTCAGTGGGATGAGAAATGAGTCGATTCCCTGTGCGTCCTAGAAGCATGCAACCTATGTACGTTCCTTATCTTAGATTCAGGGAATGAAATCAAAACAATTCTCAAATCACATACAAAAACATTCATTAACTTACAAACTCGCACTTAAATCTTTTTTCCTGTAAAAAAAAGTAGAAATTTTATCTATTGAATAACATGACAAATATTTGATGTCATTAATTTAGTTAATTTCAATCCAATGTCAATAATACTATTAGCTTTTCAGTCTTTGAAGGAATTATCATTGACCGTGCGATAAACAAGAAGAATTGTTATTAATGAAGGTTTTGTTATGTCAACAAAAATAGAAAAAATAAGTATTAAGGGACATTTTCAAGGTTAATGTAATCAATTATGCATCAGCCTAGGCTCGACATAAATGTAGGACAAGTCAATTAAATTTTGCGTGCTTGCTAATTCAAGTCATAACGAAGCAACGACAATATTCAAAAAAAATATGACGACGGTGTGAACATCAAAATACCTGAAAATAATTTCCTTCGAGCACCTTCGAAAATTAACTTCAATATGATTGATTAAGCTGAAGATGAAATTTAAGGGTGAAATATTTGAGAATAACTTCATGCGAATCCATTTACACTTTATTACATGATGGCGAGAAATCACGATATATTACGGCATGCGTGGGTGGTTCGCCATCCATTTACATTAAATGCCACGTGTTGTTTCTTCCTATTTTTTCTTCACTACGTACGTTCGTATGGAAGTACCTGAGTAAGCAAAATTCACATTCCTCTTAACTTTATTCAGATGGGAAAAATCCGAATCGCTACACTTACAAGAATAAATTTTAAATCGTTGCATAAATTATGTAAAACTTCGTTCAAACGATGCACGTTTTCCGACTAAAGTATATGTACTCGATAAACATTTTTTCACATCTTTTCAAATGGACATTACAATTTTAATTCTTTGCGCTTTAAAGTAAATACGTGTTGGTGAATGAAATTTATTCCAGTCCCATATCGTTCAATTGCATAATAAATAAATGGACGAAGATATCTGAAGATAACAAGAAAAGTTCTTTAGATCTTTCTACGCGATGTTTTATCATCAATAATTCAACAAAAGAATGAAAGTGCTTCACATCTTGTTGTTTGAAGAGATTTTGAAAGATGATTGAGTGTTTTTAGAGGGATTGTTTAAGAAAAATGTCATTTACAATGATTAGAGATAAAGACCTTGGAAGAATTAAATATTTGAAGAGAAAAAGATTTAAAATTTAAGACGAATTCAATGGCCATGACTGAGTGATGTTTTAGGAACAAATTAAAGTCACACTTGAAATTCTCAAAAAGATCTCGAAGATATCTTGAACATCTGCAAATAACAGAATATGTAATTAAGCAAGTAGCCTCAAATTAAATTTTGAACAATCGAACTCAAATTGAATTTAAATTACTTAATTAATCAGCAATCAACACGATTCGCACGGTGGTTTATCGTACACGCAAGTCTGCATAAGCAGACAAATTTTAATCTGCACTCGACGTACTTTGATTATCTACCTATGTCGATAATAAACTTTAATTCTTTGGTCAATTATAATACAAATGATATTCGGTGGATTTAAATGGGATTATCATTAAACATATTGTTATCGGCAAATGTTTCAAGTGAAATATTGTAACCATAAAGTAATAAAAATGTTTAATCCTTGAACTTACCAAATGTTTTGAACATTTAAATTTAATTTGTCATTCAAATTTTAATTTTATGAATTTTTGAAACGTAATTAAAGATGAATAAAAACAACATCTAAATCGTATTAAATGTCATAGTTTTTGATTGGCCGATGATCGTAAAACTTCCTTAGTTCAAGTCATTAGATTTTGGTCAATATTATGTGGCAATTAAAAGATTTTTTATGAGTTTTTTTATGGTTTTTGATAATTTATTTATAACTCTCTCTTGATGGATGCGTTCCTTTACCAGTCATTCATTTATCAGTGAAATGAATTAAGTTCGGAAAAAAATTGAAGTCTTCAAATAAAACCATTTTGACTTGTTTATCTCATAATTAATTTCTTGGAAGTTTGTTTGACTTTCATCGCCTTTTTATCATCTTTAAGCCTTTTAAGCTTCGAGACATGTAAAATCATCTGAAATCACGAAAAGATTACGCAATAAAAAGATAATTTGATTTGTTATAGTCATCATCTGTCAGTTTAATTTCCATTTTGTGATTTATTTCTTCATCGTCAACATTGGATATAAATTCTTCATTTTTATTACCTAATTTATTTCGTAATTAATTAATCAGATAATTAATTCATTTAATTTAAAAAATATATCTAATTTTTTAAACATACTTTTAAAACCATGTTTAAACTAGATTTGGATAATTCAACTTTTATTTATTTTTTTTTTATATTTCTAGCTTAAAAAAGTAAAGAAAAAATTATAAATAAATTATAGATTTACTTAAATAATACTTTTCATCATTATCTGGATGAACAACAAAAGACTTGTGTTTCCTTTTTACATGTTACAAAAAGATTTTAATTAACGCTTTTCCACTGTTGTTACGATGAGTATCAAGAAAAAAAGAAAAAAGAAACTTGAGTAGAAATTCGTCTTATTTTCAATTTGAAACTTGGGAAAATACATTCAATGATTAAAATGGCACAGTAAACTTAAGACTTAATTGCATTCAATTCAAACACGTTTGTGTCGAATATAAAAAAAGAGAAATAATTAAAGGGATCTTCTTTCATTTCTACAATTGTGAGAATCCTTCATCCTTTGAATGAAAATATGTAATTGAAATGAAAGTGAAGTAAAAGAAAAGTATTTAAAAGACTCACCAAGGGATTTCTCATGATAAAAAGTTCAAGTCTTATTAGTGAATGAAAATTTAAAATTAAGACAAATGGATATCATTTTATCTACAACATTTGAGTTACAAAATTATTCAACTACGCGAATTCAAATAAATCTATTCGAATATAATTTTTCCTTCACGAAGACCCTGTTTCTTATCTTAAATTCATTCATTGTGATGGAGATATGGCTTTTGAATCATATTCAAGTCATCTCAACTCATAGAAATCGCCATAAATTGTAAATTAACATACACTTAGTTAAACAATTCTTCTCATGTTTAATTTCACTCTTAAGCATAAAACAAAACGTTCTGATCAACTTCTAGAAGTAAGATGACTTATAAACTGCAACTTCTACTTGCATTTATTACATGATGTAAAACTTTATGTTCTGTAATGAAGTGCTTGGCGAACTTTTCTTTAATTCTCTTGGTAAATAAAAGAAAATCTTTCGTCGCTCGTTTCAGCTTCTTCTTTGGTTTCAAATGTTCATGATCATGATTAATATGAATAATTCGTGAAATAAATGTTTAAATGAAAATGAAAACTTTGAAAATGTAAAAAGTTGAATGACAATCACATAAATCTGTTTGTGAAGAGCTTCGGTGATGAAAACATTTCCTTTTGTCCTTGCATCCTAATAAACATTTATTTTCGACTTTGTAACCGGTATTTAACAACACTTCCAAGTTAATCTCTTCCATTACGCAACACATTCCTTTATTATTTAGACGATGCTGGATCGGATGCTGTCACAAAAACTCGTCAAATATTTAAAATTTTCAATATCATTGTTAAAATTCCAAGAATTCAAACTTATGTAACATTGGAATTAGCTCCATCCATTAAAGTTATTAAGAAATCTAAAAACATTTGAATCTTTCAATCCGATCCAACATTTTCCTGTTTTTCTTTCTTTATGTATTTAAGATTGTTTTTAAAAAGGTTTCAGGTCCTTGTCACGTTCAATTCAACCTTCATCAAGCATCAATTCTTCAAACAAACATGAGAATAAGAGTGAGTTGTTTGTAAAACTTTCTTACTTACTTAAAACCAAGGACTAACAACATAAAACAAAAGTAAGAATCAAGATTACTTGAAATGAAAGTTTCTTAACAAAGAATTGATGGGAAAATTTCCATTAAGTATTTTCATGACTCTTTCGTGTTGGATAATTGACTCATAGCACTTCCATTTGTAACGATGCCATTATTGATTCGATTGTTTATCTCTGCCTTATAATTAACATTGAGCAGTGGCATTCGAACTGATGACAAGATACATTTGTCAGTCGTTGCCAAATTTGTTGACGTCGTTGTCAAATCGCCATTCTCCATAAATGGTGTCGTTACTAACAAGTGCTTTGTGGGTGACAAGCCTTGACTACTGTATCCAACAATGCTCGATGTCATTAATTTTGGCGACATAGGCGTTGGTGTTAATGAGACTGATGGATATTCTTTTAACGGCAATCTTGTGTAGATGTTCGGTGGTGATTTTGACCTTAGAATTGTCGTTGTGGTTGTGTTGGGATTGTTGGCGTTTGTTGGTGATGATATGACGTTATATTTCCGAATCGTGGGATTGTTGTAAAGTGCGAATCCAGGATTTGTTGTCAATGATAGTTCACCGTACTGTCATTCAAAGAGAGAAAGAAACAAAAATGTCATTAGATAAGAAAGTTGCTTCGCCATGGATTTCTACGTGGATGGATTTAAGGCAACCAACACAAAAAAAACCATCTTAGATTCTGATTTGTTTCTTCATGGCTTGCTTGATGTCATCACCTTCTACCCACTCCCACAATCACTTTTCTTTACAAAAGCTTTTGTTTCATAATAATTTTACCCTAAAACTTTTATTCACCTGCTTCTCGCCGAACCTTAAAGTTGGTGAATGCGAATTGGGTGAGTGTCGATTGACGTAATTGAGCTGTGTTGGGGTATAAAGTCTTTCGAAGTCTTTCTCGTCATCGCTGTTGTCATGTGGAATTATGTCGGGATCGTTTTTCTCATCTATCGATTGTAAGTTTCAGAAGGCAAAAAAAAGGGGGAAAAGAAAAGAGAAGAAACGAAAATAAGATTTTTGTGATATAAAAAGAATATTGAACATTCAATTTTTATATTATTTTATTTTTATTTCTACGTTATAAGCAATGAAATAAACAGAAGAATATTCAGGCATAAACGGAACCTTTAAATCGAAGCAAATAACAAAAACATTTATAACAAAAGCATTCCGACCTGTCACTTGTTAAACCATTACATAAACCCATTATCCCACATAAATCAGCTTTGTTTGAAAAGCTTTTTGTTGCTTACCGGCGATGCTTGAATGGCTACCAAGGTTTCGACTGAGAGGTTCTGCGCTTCCTTTATCTGGCTCATTGGGATCTGTGTCTTTGGGTGTTTTCTTTACAGGCTACACATAGGATTGCGGGGGTGTGAGTGGAGAAGGAATCAAAAAAGGAAGAAAAATGAAAATATAAAGTTATTTAATGATAACGCCAGCTTAGCCTACGTAAACCGTGAAGCTTTTCATTTACTCAAATATCAAAGACTTCTACAATGCTTTCAGAACCTCACCTTGTTTTTTATCTTCACGAAAATCACGATACAAATGGCGATAAGTAAGAGTGTCATGACTACACCAACCAGTACACCAAGCACAGGCGTTATTTGTACGAGAACTGCTCGGGATGATGCTGAAAGGATTAAAAATGATATTTTTTTTTGTGAATTACTTGACATCTTCCATAATTTGTTTCTGTTCCTAATATCATAAAGTTTTAGAGGTAATTCTTGTGGTAAGCTTGTCTTTGCTTATGGCTTGAACTTTGAATCAACCCACAATATAAAACTCGAGAATGTGTTAACAAAATGATAAATTTTTAGACGAGCAATCTTCTAATGAAAAAAGTTTTATGTTTATTTGAGGCTGGCTAAATTGCTGTTTTGTTCCTTTTTTGATTAAGGAAGATGTTCATCAATCACACGTTGCATGAAGAGTTGTTGATTGTTTTTAAATGTTTTAATAATTTATGATTAAAAAATTTGAAGTTTACTTTTTGAAAATTGAAAAAAGTTTATGTTAAAGTTTCTCTTTAAAATATTGTCAAATAACAACCCTGCATTAGACAAAAAGCTCTTAAAACATCTAACCAACCACCCAAATGACCTTCTTTTCAACTTTGTGTTTATGTTGAGGTGGAAAATGTTTACACTATGCAAATATTCATTAAAAATGACAGTTTGCAAACATTTACCTGTCTTTATAAGTGGAGCTGGCATTGTTTTCACACGAAGTTGATAAAAATCCTTGCACATTCCCTGCAAGTTGTATGGCGTAATCTAATGTTGATTGAAGGAAAGAAAGGGTTAAAAAAAGTTTTGTTAACAATTTTTTATGAGTGAATCGTTGTGCTGGTTTGCGGTGTTGTTGCTTTGCATTAAACAAGAGTTGAGATGAACTCAAGAACAATCTAAATGAAATGGAAATGAGGGAAAATTATTCTCACCCTAACTACTAATTTTGTATCACTCGGAAGCTTTCGTAGAAGGAAAGTTGGGTAGTCAGATGAGACGTTGAAGATTTTTTCCTTTCCGTCGAATACCTGGGAAAGAGAAAAGTGAGCAATAAAGGAAAACTTGGAATATGTTACAAACTTTCTTCATAACAATTAATTACAAACCTCGACGAAAAATGACTGCTTAATTCCACCGTCATTTCCAGGGATACATGTAAATTGCATTGTGTAAGCGGTGGCATTATAAGCTGTGCAATTTGCTACGGGATCTGGTAAATCTATAATGAAGTTGGATAAAAAAAAGGGGAAAATTTATCTTTTTCTTCTATGGCGAACATTTTCATTGCATGTTTAATTTAATCTCTCGACACTGTCAAGTAGACGAACACTAACCAACCAGCATTCATGTCACAAAGTTTCTTTTTCCTACAAACATCGTTTGAAATAAGATTAAAAGCTTTCTTTTCATTTAAATAAGGAAATTCCGACTTTTTTTTCTTCGTCTCTCTGGATAATTAAATGTTTGTGATCGGAAAAACTGATAAAACTGAGAAGACCCGGAGGATCAAACTTGAAGCTGCTCTCTGTACACAGTTATGTAAATTTGTTTATTCTTCCCTTAGATATAAAATAAAGTTCTTTCTCAAGTGATTCTGACTTCTGATAAATTAATCCTTTCGGAAATAAAGAGAAAAATTTGAGTTCAAAACTCGACAGGCGTTAGACACTAAAAAAATAATTTTTCATTTTTAAAAAGTCGAAGCTTTAAAAGTTGAACTTTCATAGGATTTGATCGCACGCTCAACCACATGAGAGAAGATTAACATCATTTTCAAGAAACCCTCAATAAGATGTAAAAAGCTCATGAGGGTTGAAATCAGATTTTCATTCATGCTTTCTATTCGAATTTTTACGCAAATCTGATTCAAGAACCTCAAGAGAAGAGAAGGAAAATGTGTCGTTTCAAGTTGTTTTCTTTTGATACGGAAATTCCATCACTTGGAAGAACCGAAACATTGAGAGAACAACCAAAACTTATTTATTTTCGAAGGGTTTCGTTGAGCGCATTCTTTTCCCAACAATTGTAACCAAGCCCCAAAAGAATCCTTGGACCTAAACATTTGAGAAGGGAACTTTTTGAAGGCCGCATCCTTTCCCTTTAGCAACAACAAAATAAAACGGAAAGAAAGATATTGCTATGGCTTTCAAACCGCACATCTATGGTAAGAGTCATTAACGATGAGTTAGATGGAAGAGGACATTACAAAGTTCCGATAGCGAGTGTTGAAATGCTCGGCCTCAACCGATACATGATGAAAAAGAACAAGAAAAAGAACTTTCTACATTTATTACCCAAACTAAATCCCGTCCCATGTGATCGATGAAACAACATTGTTTGTTTACATCAAGTTATTTACTATTACGGTTCATGAACACCATATTGATGTAGAAATAAATTTTATTGTCGCTTTGTGTCGCTTCTTTTAGTTTCAGTTGAAACAGGAAAAGTTTTAACATGTAGTAACTTTCATTTATGTGTCAGCGATAGTTTGGACATTTGATATTTATCTATGGAATCGTAAACGACCGAAATCTCTGCAATTAAGAGTCGTTTGTTTGACATCACATTGAACACTCAATGCTTGTGTCAATGAATTCTTATTTGCCAGTGTTTGTGACATAAAACCACAAAAATGTCCGAAATAAAACTGATATTGATAATTGAAGATTATTGTCCACATAAATAGATAATCGTTAAACTAATTTCCAAATATTTTCGCATCACAATATTTCATTTCATTGGACGTTGAAAAGCTTTTTATCTTGTTGATATTTTAGGCGTACAAATTTGAATGTTAACACGTTTAAGTATTTGAAACTCACCCGCCACCATGATGTGATATAAACACGGTCCACTCGACCCATACTGATTTTCAGCACTACAACTGATTGTACCAAACGAAGTGAAGTTGTCAACTTTGTATAAATAAACTCCTTCAATGTTGCTGTGATGAGAATGATATGAATTCATATGTGAATATGGTGAAGCATCGTACGATTGAATCAGTGAATTCTGATAGTTAATCTGTTGTTGATACTTCTTTGAGGATGTCGCGTATTGATTTGAACGTTGCTGAAGCTCATTGGAATTATAATTAATTTTACTTTTGTATGATGATATTGAATCGATATGTTGTTGTTGGTGATGTTCATGTTGTATGCTATAATGCAGATCGGGATCGTTGGTGTACGATGGTAATTCAATTAAATTGTCGATTGTACTATTGAATAACCACTTATACTTTAAATTTTTCTACATAAATGCACGTCCAAAGTAAACAAGAGAATGCAAGAGAGAATGAAACGTAATTAAATTGTATTGAATAATAAACTTGAGGGAATTGTCTCAATATTCTGTGACTTTATCAAGAATCTTGAGTATTTTTAATCAATTCGAATGAGAACTCACCATGGGATTCGAATCTATATCACAGGTTATGTTTAAAGTTTGTCTCAGTGCTGCCCTTAATATTTTGCCCTCAAACTGGCACGTTGGGGGATCTAAACACATAAGCAAATTAGAAATGTTCATGAAGCGTTAATAATTTTATCGATTTCGCTATCAGATTGAAATGTAATCAACTTACATTTTATATCTAAATATAAATCGTTACTACTGACGCTGCCTTGCGTATTGGCCGCTCGACACATGTATTGTCCGTGGGTTTGCTTCGATATGCTCTGCAATACCAACGATTGATTGGTAATGATGATGCCACGTGATGAATGTAGGGGCTTGTTGTTATGATACCATTCTATTTTTTTAATAGGTGGATTTGCTTCGATGCGGCACTCAAGATAAACGTCCGTGCCTTTGGCAAGATTTTTTGGATCTAAATTCGACCCTAACGATAATGTTACAATGGGAGCATCTGAGATTGAAGGGAAAAGATTTTTTTATCATTTTTTTATAGTAATTGAATTTGATGGAGCGTTCGATGCTTACGTTTAATGTCCAATATTCGAGTATCCTTAATGGACAATGTCGGTGCATTGTTTTTCTCTTCAACGGGCACTGAACATGCAATGACTTTGCCGTTATCCTCGGGTGATGGTAAATATACAATGTCTGATGTTGTGATATTGCCATTTGACGATGTCTATCGGATTGAGAATAAGAATAATGTAAAATTAATAACAGCAATTTTAATCCATTAGATTAATTTATTTACAGTTTGCGATGCGCCTTGCATGACTTGAGTCCCTTTGGTCCAAATTATTTGAGGAACGGGTCTAGCACCAGCTGTTGAACACGACAAATGCACTTTGACTCCCGATGTTAAAGGATGATTTAATCCTTGAATGTGGATGTATAATGGTGGCACTAAATAAATATAATTTAGACACGTTTAGAATGAAGACTAATAATTGAAAGTTTTCTAAACAAACAACACTTAATCACGAAATGACTCAGTTTGAAAAGATTATTTAAGAAACTTATAAATAAACTAAACACCCCGAAAAGTCAGAGATCAGAGATCGGAAGCAACATTGAAATAATCTATTAAAATGTCTCGTTTGGTATCGCGACACGACAATAAGATGTCAAGACATTTTAAATTGTTTTTCTTCCAAGTTATTTTGGAATGAGTAAAATGAGAAGAATTTAAAGTTAAATAAGTGTTTCTTTTATTATATTTTTAATTTCCCCTCTATTTGATTGTTTAAAGTTGTTCTCTCACTTTGACACGACAGGAAAAATCGAGTTTTCCCGAGTTTCCTTCTTTGGTACATAATTCACTTTTATCTTCCTTTTTATTGTTTCCCATAAATTTTCACTTCACAGATAATTTCCTCAAAATGCATATAAAGAACATTGCAAGCAGTGAACAGCAATGAAATTTTTCTAAACATCATGCATGTATGTTTATAGTTTTAGTGTTAGGTTTTCGTGTCTACCGCAACATGAGAAATATCAAAATTAACTTGTGGTCTAAAGTGATTGATTGATTGATTGATTGATTTATCTTTATTTACCACTTTGGTACTTATTTTCTTTTCATATAAATTTTGTTAATTAGATATGAGATATACTCGTGCTATAAAGTGCTCGAAATAGTCTCAAATTGAGTAACTTTACAAATCTATTTAGCACTAACTTATCTCAAACAACACAACATAATGAGACGAGAATGCAAAATATCTCTTTAATCAAATAAATAATTTTGTTTTCTAAACGACTGTTCACACTCTAATTTCTCGTGTTTATAAATTTTTTAATGATCTGATATCAATCATTGCCACTAAAATTAAAAGACCTAATTCTGTCTTTCACTGAGGTGATGGAAAATGTTTTCTTTTTCCCGACTATCTACTTCCACTGAATAACAATGTAAAAGCCCACATAAAAGGCAGATAGATAATTAAATATTATTGTTAGATACTTCTTTCGGGTTATAAAAATAGAAAAATTTTATTTGAATTTAACACGACGAAGGAAACTATTGTAGTTTATCTGAACCGAAAATAAATTTTAGAATAAAGAAAACAACTTTCTCCTCGAGTAGAAAGCAAGAAAGGAGAAACATTTTTGTATTCATAGTCCGTGTTATGTTGTTAAAATGCGCTGTAAATGTCGGAAAAGTCTTTAAAGTGAAAATGTTGTTCTGTTGTTTTTAAAAATTTGTTCGAGCATAATTTTTAATTAATTTGCTATGGTTTCGGATGTGTTCATAGGGCCCGAAAACAAAAAATAATAGAAGAAACTTTGGTATGTTAATTTGCTTCCCCGACTATCAGCAAATTACATGTTGGTGTCCCATAAATTTTACAGCTCTCCCCTTCTTTCTCTTACGCTGCAAGCGAAGTCAAGCGAACAAAAGATACAAAAGTTTCCCTTTCAAACCTAATCAATTTTGTGTCTTGGACGAAAAATGAAAGCAAGAAAGAACGATAATGTTCCCCAGTGACGTCTCAAAGACTGTAGTCAAAATTTTCAAGCCTAATTCTATTGTCTCAATGACATTCGTGGCAACATTAAACAACATTCAAGTCGATACAATAAATAAAAGTAATTGTTTTAAATATTTCCCATTTCTATTTTTAGGAAGTAAAATTAACTTATGGAGTAGATAAGTATAACTTTTAATTTTCTTTCCGTCACTACATGTTCGAATATCTATCGAAGAAATTGTCTCATTTCTCCTCTCATTTAATTGTGTTCATTTCGCCTAAATACACAAGAGCAATTCTTACTTTTCTGTTCATTATTTTTCTCTAATTTGTGTCGGTTTTATATTGTTATCGCAATAAACATCACGTTTGTGAATTGGAAATTGGGTTCGAAACGAGAAAAGTCCGAAGTGAGGTCATTTTGGGTTATAGCAGGCAAATGAAAAACGTTTTTTATATTTTATGCTTATGTTTTAGACTTAAAAATTTCCTTGGTAAACGAGCGATTAGAATTGTAATCTGAACAGAAAACAAAGTTTAGCGTAGGCGATAGCATCAGTTATTCATTGTTTTACATACTTTTTGTTCTCCGTTTACCATAAACTTTATGGGTTGATCAGCGGATGGAAAAAGTCTTATACATATTTTTTATTCTATTGTTTTTTAACGACCAAAACAAAAGAACGAAAAATGTCGAGAATTGCGGCAGTTTATTTTAATTAATTAGACACAACAAATAGAGTTGGAAAATAATCGTAGAGAGTAATAACATGCATGTTACATGAATTCGAAGCTTGGAAGTTAATTGATATTAAATTGTTCGTGATCCCACTTTAATCTGCCACCCAAACAAAGATTGTATTAATAGGTAATAATCCTGTTTCGATTATAAAAGGTTTTGTCTTGCTTTGCTCTGCCTTTCTATGTTTACTGCTTAGCCTTGGCTTTAGCTTTCCTTTTTCAATCTCTCCGTCCTCCTTCATATTCCATTCCTTTTCTCCTGACGTAGCGTTTTATGGAAGGAAATCTCAATGGAGTAGTTTTTATCGTTTGGAAACAGATGGTCCGTCCACAATAAACGTATACGTACACATTTTGGGACTTCATTAAAATATACTTTGAATGTAGATTAAAAACAAATGAATTGACTAGCGTTTCTATCTGCTTCATTACTTGTAAGCCCTTTAATTAGACTCGGATAATAGCCATTTACGATTTCACTAGAACCAGTTGCGAGTTGATAAGCGTCACTTAATTAAGTTGAAACGAGACCTTGTCAGTATCTTTATGTCTAATTATTAAATTGAGAATCAATTGGGAAATAAAAACTTGACCGCAATTCATTTCATTTCATTTTATTTCATTTGGACGACATTCTTAGAGATCGTTTGCCACATCAATAAAACGAATTAAAAGTCATAAATGACTTAATTAAATTGCTGAAATTTGTCTTTTGGAAGGAAAGTTTCTGTCATTTAAATGAAATTTGAGTAAATTTTTGCATATGCGCAATATGTAAATTATATTTATGTTGCTTTGGAGTGATATGAGATTTTCTTCTTCTTTTCCCCCCTAGAAATGTTCTTAAAGCTAATTAAATTTCATGCGATGCTTGCGACTGTATAAATCATTTCTTGCACAACCAGTTTGTTCTCACACGCGACCTGTGATGTATATTAATGTAGGCGCTTAGAGCTTAATCATGCACGGCAAAGAAAGTCGTAACAAATTATAATGGGCATGGTTTTAAAGCTATAATCCTACAATTTATTGGGGAATCTTTAAACTTCTCCCTTGGAAGGCGCATTATTTTTTAAATTCATAAATATGCTGAGATAATTTTACATTAAATAAACTCATTTTGTGTGGCACTAACTAGAATTTAACTTCTCACCGTATCGTCTGATAGTAGCGCGCTTCTTACATTACTAAAGTGAAAAAGTTTGTTTAGGTGTGCAGCTTAATAAAAACAAATTATGATTACAACCGCATATTTTTCATTCATTTTCAAAAGTAAAAAACGAAATCGCTGGCGTTGAGGAAACTTAGCACTATCGTAAGCTGTTATCATGCACAATATTTATTAATTACGATTCATAAGTCATATCGCCACCGTCAAATTAGAAATGAACAGCGCCAGAAAGGGAACTTAAACCAAAAGAAAAATAAAAATTATTTAAATTAATTATCGTTGTTTCTGTGATGTTATGCTGTTGCTGCTTGCTTAAACACATAAATTATGTTCCATGAAACATAACCGATAATTTTTCACGGTGAAAACGAGAGATGAATGATCAAATAAAAAAGGCACGTAAAAGTTCCAAACAATTTTTGATGAATTTATGACACTGAAACATGATTCTTGGATTCAGAAAATTCTTATGTGACCTAAATTAAATGAGGGTTTCGACAATTGGATTAATGTTTTTACAACTATTAGCAAGCTTATTCTGCCTACCGACCCCCTACTAGTGCATCATGGAAATTATGTTCGACGCCAGCAGTTGTTCAATGTTATTTCCCATTTTTCATCACACAGAGCGCGCCAGTTGAAGAAAATAAATTAAAGTTTTTTTTTGCATTCGTGTATTTGACCTCGAAGCAGCAGTAAAGGGTCGTTAATACGCTTTGTCACGCCTACACTACTGCTAGGATACCACGAAAGGATGTAAAACAAAGAAAATAAATGTTTTATGCATTGGATACATGCAGAATCATATTTACACGAATAATTCATCAAATATTGATTTAAAGCTGTTCGAAGTTCGAACGAACAATGAACGTTTCATTTCAATTTTCTGATTTACGGCGAATTTTAAATAGACTTCAATATACGTATCTCCATATTTTTTTAAAGTAAAACCTTCTCTTGTTTCCTGTCTCTCCTATAACGAGACTATTTCGAACTGAAAGTTGAAAATAATTGGAAACAAAAATCAAACCAACAAAAAAAATTTATGCTCGGATAAAAAAAGTTTTAATGGATTAAAATTCACAGATGAGAATTCTGATGACAACAAATGTGTATGAACGGAAAACAAATTAATTTTCACGAATTCCGGGAGTGGAAAACTGATACAATTTAACATACAAATCATACTGTTGCGCTAAATGGGCTTCGTACTGCTTCTATAAATAAATTTAAAGCCTTTGCGAGTCGCAAACGAACGAAAATAAAAAGCAGACGCATTTATGTTGGCAATTAAATATTAATTTTATGCAGCTTTTATTTAAATGATAATTAAACGGATGGACGGCTCGAATAGATTGAGATCACAAGAAGACTCGCAGCAGCTAAGAATTTAATTTGTCTCAATTAAAATATGTTGAGTAATTGAAATAAAATTGCATATTCTTTCTTCATCATCTCGATGGTGTCGAATTTAATTAAAAACACGATGTTTCATTTCTTAACAAAATCCAATAAACCATTTTCTGCAAGTTTTCGTTTTATTTTTGCGCTTAGTTTACATTTTGTTCATTCATTTATTTACGGTTCGTGACATCACTCTCGCTTTAAACAAAACTTGAGATTTCAAAATTAATGAGGCTCTTGTGCGACTATTAGGAATTCCGAGAAATGAAAAATTGATTTAAATTTAAGAGTGCTTCGCAAATAAATGAGATTCCAATACAATTTTATTGCTAAAGTTCTTAAAATTTGATCGAAATTTGTTTCCGAAGAATCTGAAGCTTCGCTGGGGTTTAAAGAAAGTCGAGAATATTGAAATGATTGATTAAATTCTGGTAATTCAATCAATCGTGAAAAAGGTTTACACTCGGGACTTATTAATTAATAAGTTTTATCGACTTATCTCTTCCAAATAATTATTTGCATAATTGATAAAGACGAACTGATTGAAAGGTTCAATGAATTGAGCAAAAAAGAACGTAAGGCGATTGAAAATTTTGATATTTAATTAAAAATAACCTCAGCCACGCTCTATGAATAAGCAAAATTGGAATGAGATGAAATATAAAAATCTTTTCTTTTTAGCCGATTCCTTCCGAGAAATCGAACTAATTTCGATCTCAACCAATCTTTTTCAACTCCTCGCGATTTCTTTTGATCTCATTTTACTCTTTTTTATTTACCGACAGGTGCTACGCTGCTACATATCGATTTCAATTATTTTTTTGTTCGAGATATTTTTATCGTTTTCCGTGCTCACATGGGATGATGAATGTTCTTTCGCTCATAAACATTCTAAAGAAAACATGAAATATATTTATGATATCGCTTTTTTTATTACAAAAAAAAATTCGGTAACGAAAACTGCTTTTAAGCCATCATCGGATCAAATGACTTTTAAAGTGAGAAAAAAAAATTGAAACAAAATATTTAATGTTGCGAAAGTGTTGCTTTTTTAATGCTCGTGAAACGACTACTCACATTTCATATCCAAAATGACTTTATTCGATAATGGTGGCAATATGTGTCCATTGCTTGCCTGACACGTATAGGTCTGTCATCGGAGAAGGAAGAAAATGAAAAGCAAAAAAAGAAGAAACGTCAATAATTAAAGTCACAAAGCTTGTAACATGTTGATGGGGTTTACGTGTTGGGCTGTCAATGGATACTTAATTAAAAATTGAACAACTCACCGATTCAAGATCGCTCCTCGTTATCCTCGGTAGAGTAAGTACGTTTCGTACGGTGCCATTTGGCAGCTCCTGAAATGAATCGTCGATAAGGGCATGTTCCTTGAACCATGTGACCCGAGGCGCAGGCACACCTACAAATAATTAAACAACAATAAGAAAGAAAAAAGAGAAATAAAGCATAAGAAATTTGTCGCAACCGTGTAATTTAGATAAACTTTTATTGTGTTTATGTGACAAGATTAATATTTATTTATAATCTTTTCTTCTTCCACCTCAACCTAAATATGAGTGTCAAGTCATGGTTTTGGTAAAGTGCTTTTGATAAAATGTGTGCGCAGCTCTTTTACATGTTCTTCAAAATACGCTTTTTGACAATTTACATTGTACTTTATGGTAATAATGGCATCATAACGCCTTCTTATAATAATGGGTTACAAACGCCTTAAGCTCAACTACTGAAACACTCTCTTGACACTTTTAAGATCGTTGTATTGCTCATTTGAATTTTCTATCTTTATATTCATTCATTCTTTCTTCATTTCTTTTCTTTTCAAATCTCAAGTTTAAATCGAGACAAATCCCGATGAAAACTTACAAAGAGTTCAAGCATTAAATTCGTATAATAAAATTATGTAAATTTGCCCATAAAAGCTGTATAGGAAATGATAGGGCAAGAAGATGAAGTAATTGTATTTATGTAAAATGTATCATTTTGAATCATAATACAACACACTTACCGCCACTCGACATGCATGTTATGTTCACAGTAGAGCCCTCCTTGTAGGGTCCTACGACACTGTTCGTTGCAACAGTTCCCCTCTCATTGAATATCTCCAGATGTGTGGGTGGCACTAATCAAACACAAAAGAAATGTTTGTTAGAATTGTTAATCAATGAATACGCTCAACACTTGAATAGATCAATTCGAATCATATTTCAATAACAAATTGAAAAACTTACCCAGCACTGAGAGGTTCAGTCTACAATTTTTTGTCGGTGTTTTCTGAAAATCAACTCGACATCTGGTGAACATTTCGGTGTGGAACGAATAAAGGAAAAATGAGAAAGAATGGAAGAAAAATAAAGTTAATGTGAGAGGAATTGTTATAAAAAGTTCAAACAATGTTTGAACGACTGTAATATTTGAGAATCAATCGTTCGGAAAGAAAACTCGTATCGATGAATATTTATCCAGATGAATTCACCAGCTAAAGTTTGTTGCTGTAAATTTACATTGAAAATCAGAACAATTAACTATGCCAGGGACGATCGAAATGATTGATGGCGTTTTAAAGTGAAAATCTCTTAAATTTAAACTGACATGAAGATTGTTTACAAATCATTTTTTTCTCGTTACAATTACAAAGAAATCTTCAATAACAATTTTTTTGTTTTGTTATGAAAAAGCTTAAAAAATGTTTCAAAATAGCTTCCAGCATGGTGTTGCTTAGAAATTGTAAGAAGATTTTACAAGTCAAGCCGACTTGTTCTTCTTAATTTCATGCTGAAACGACTTCAGGAAGTAAAAGATTCAGAAGAAAAAAAAGTTTGTTTCATGTAACGGAAAACCTTCGCAATAGAACAATGGAAAGTATCTGTAACAGAGCTAAATATGTGGTAAAAGATGAAGTTAAATAGAATAAAATAAAGGCGTTGCTTTCCGATCAAAATTCAAGTAAATAAATATTTAAATATCTACACCTATGACTTATGTTCTTAAACATAATTTCAATCTTCCGATTGTGAAGCATGTTTAAGGTTTGAAACACCGGGAGGGAAATTTTATTATCGATCTTCACTTCTTTCTTCTTAATTCAATTTCCATGTTCATAAAAAGAGGGAATCTATGGATTGTATTGTTTGTGTTTTCAGTGGTTTACTCGTTTGTTTGTTTTCGACACCGAAGTGTATAAAAAGAAGATCTTTCTATTTTATCAATGAAGAGAGTTCTTTCATTTACGTCTAGAATTTCCAGACCTTTTATTCCCGAGAAATGGATCTATTTACCTATACAAGCCGGCATCTTCTGTCTTCACATTTTTGATCTTCAATGCTGGCGGGATGGTGTCGTAGTAAAAATAAGCCTTTGATCTAAGCACGGCTTCATCTTGCCAATGTACTGCTTCCTGTAAACTCTTCCCTCGAGCATCAAAACTAAATAAAAATGAAAATTGTTTCTTGTAAATATATACAGAAATGTGACCAGTAAAAAACAAAGTTGAGAGATTTAAGGTGAAGAAGCAACGAGAAAGAAAAAGTTCATAAAGTTTGTTTGTTTTTGTTCAGAAAAAAGTTTTAATAGTTTCAGTTCCACGTTAGGAATCTTTTCCAAAGTCATTTTAATAATGCATGTTTACTTAATCGAGTATAAAATCGACATCGTCGTGTGGAACTTCTTGAGATTTTACTTCTCTTGTTCTTAATTCTTAAGTCAGGACGTCTAAGAAAATTTTCCCTGTGAATGCTTTTAACATTCTTTCTCATTATCTTTCCACGTTAAATAATTTTCTTAGGCTTCTTCAAGTTTCCTCGAGATTTGCGATGAAAACTTTTGTTGATATTTGCTTGTGAAACTCAAAGCGAGATGAAGGATTATAGATTATAATGGAAGCTCGTTATTTTTAATTTAAATGTAGTGCACACAATTTTGCAGTGAAACATGAGACTGACAAGTTTGAGAAATAATAAACTTATCCCAGAAAACTTTCCATTAATTTTCTTTCATCAACATTTTAACGCTTGCGTTCGCTTTCAGTACTTTGAGTGGAAATTTCATAAACTTTTCAAGTTTTATGGAGAAGTTTTGCTTTGTTGAGCTTCAAAGTTGTTCCGGAAATTGAGTACAAGTTAATGCGTTTCAATTTCGATTTTATTTTAAATTTCAAAACCCTCTTTTGAATTCTTCATCTTCACTTGTTTGCTTTGACGTAAAAACTGAAGTTTTTTTGAATAAATATTTAATTCTTATGAAAGTATTTTAGCTCTTGATAATCCATCACCCTACATCGGATTGCTGTGAGCTGCTTGACGAAGAAAACTGATAAAGGGAACTTATAAAACTTTCTATTTACTTTCTACTTTAAATATTCTTATCATCTTGAAGCAAAACCATTTAGAAATATTTTCAGTCGATTTCCAAAAAGATTTCCTTCTAAAATTCGTATCAGTTGCTCGAATAGACATTTCTTAAACACTTTGCTCAAAGTATTACTGATAACTAAGTTACTCGAACCATTGAAGGGATTTTTATGAGATGATAAATTATCAATAATTGACTATCATGTTTGCTGGCTATGATTAAAGTTTTAATTCCTATTCGTACTGTTCGGCAAATCCAAAATAAACATTAAAGCGACTTGAAAACACTAAAGAAAGTTTCCTTTTGTTTGTAAGCCTTTCCTCTTAAATTCCGCTGCTGATTGTAAGCAAATAAAGTAAAAGACATTTAAGGGTTCATTACTTAATGATATTTTAAGTGATAACCACTTAAATAGTCAAACTAAAGTTGAAGGTAAAACAATGTGACGTTGAGACTTAATAAACTCACGTTAAACACACAATTTATTGTAAAGCGGCTTTATTTACTTGACACATAAAAACAAAATGTTTCATCTCCTTATATGGCTTTAAGACTTTTTTAAGAGGTTTATCGACATTAACGCAATTTATTTCAATATAATGAAAACATTAGATATTACATCTTAGATAGCAAATAGAATGCGAATGACGAAGATTGAAATTCTTTCGTTTTGCTTATGAGACTTGATGAAGAATGGAAGAAAAAAAAACGCCTTAAGAAATCTGCTGTCGCGAACATTGTTGAATTAAAATTAGGAGGGTCTATTATTATTACTCGTTGCTTCTGTCAGAGGTTGACTCAAATGACACTGCTGAAACAAGGGAGAAAGTCACTTTGGCGTTTTCTGTTTATTATATAATCTACTTTATTATTTATGAATTTTATTAAGCCTATGAAACAACCGACATTCAGGCATAGAAAATCTTTCATCTACAAGAGTAAACGAAAATTTTTGCAAACAACAAAATCTTTAAACGACCGTAAACAATTTCTTTTGCCCTCCCTCCCATTTCTCTCCTAGCCAACCTCAACGTTTTGCCTTCTGTTGAGGGAAGTTTATGGCATTTACATTTTTTTTATGTGGCTTCGTATTTTATGTTCCTTTTATGATCTTTCTCTGAATTCCATTCCTTCATCATCAAGGAGTGAAGTCAAAGTTTTCTTTCTTTTTATGAAAAAAAAAGTAAAGAAAAATTCTTTTCACTCCTGTTTTGCAAGTTGCAATCACGTGTGAGTTGAATAAAAGTTAAAGAGAACATTTATTACAATACGTTTCTTGTGATAATTCTGAGCTGTATGTACAATCATTCAAATATGTTACACCACTGTTATTTACTATGAAATGAAATGAAATTTAGCAGCGATGAAGGAAATAAAAGAAAATAAAACTAAATGATCTTCAACATGGGAGTAATCAGGAAAATCGCTGAGTTCACCAAGAAATTATCAGCATATCTCTCCTAGTAACATAATAAAAGTGTTCAATCTTTCAGAAAGTGGGAGGAAGAAAGAAAAAACTGTTTACTTAACGATCAATTCTCGGTAGATTTAAGTAACTAATTCTTGGTGTAGTAAAATGCTTCGTTTATGGAACTTTCTCGTATTTCAGACTGAAGAAGAAAACTCAATCAATCATCATAATGCAACATTAGACACATTAATATTTCGTCGTGTCTTCTATCTTAGTTAATTAAATAAGTTATTGTCGTGATTCACCTTTCAACCAGCCTGCAAATCGACAAATCATTAAAAGAAAGGTGATTGATTGATTGAATCATATCGTTTGGTTTGTTTCTTCCATTTCAATGATGTTGCGTGTTGGAAAATGAATTCGACATTCAAGAATACATTTAATGATATTAATGTTTTAATTCCATACACAATGTAATTTCTAATAAAAGAATAATTCTTTAAATATTTGACGCTTTCAGAAAGTTATTTTCAGTTTGTGTTTGTAATGGAGTTGAAGTTTCCTAATTGATTGGATGAATTTATAGTGCGCCTAAAGTCATGAAGTTAGTCTAGATTCACTGTTCAGCGAGGCAGTGACACTGCTCTAACTTGTATTTCAAGATCAAATTAATCCAATTATTCAGTTCTCGTTGTTGCTTAATCTTATTTGAAAAGTCTCTCAAGTGGAAAACCACGAGGGTCATTTAGATATGTAACAATACTTACGAGTAGATCGGCTTTTGGTTTCCTTCCTTGTACCAAATGACTAATGTGACTTTGTCTTGCGATAAGGATGATGATATTGAATTGGGAAATAAATCACATGGTAATGTTACTTCTAATCCAGTTGCCGTTTGCACTTCCGACAGTGGACCTGTAAAGACAAAAGTCAAAAGAAAAAATATTGAAAAATGTTTCTTCTCTTTTTCAATTGAATGTTTATTGGATTTTCTTTCTCGTTTTTCTTCTCAACAAATTTGCGTACATGACAAAAATATCAATTCAACAATCCATCCATCTTTCATTCCAATGGGAAGAAGTAAAAGTTTCGTCTGCAAAGTTAACGTGACTTTTGATTTTTGGGAACTTAACTTTATAAAACTTCTTGTGCTTGACTTTAAGTAAATATCAATAAAAAAAATTCTTGGAAGTTTGCGAATGAAAATTGCCTCGTACGACGTCATGTTGGAAGGTTCTTCTCAAAATATATATTTGCTTTTTGAGTTTAAATAAAAGTTAAATTATCTTAGATAACTTTTCGATAGACACACATACACACACTCGCACATACATAAATGTGAAAAAAGGGAGAAAATTAAATTTATGATGTTCCTGACTGTTTGCAAAACAAGAAGAAAGAGAAACAAAGACTAAAAGAGCAAGAAAACTGAAAGAACAACATAAACAAATCCTCGTAAAACTCATCAAGTATAAGAATCTTTTTTCCTCCTTTTCGTTTCCAATTCTTCTTATTGGATGTCCAACCAACTTCTTCTTTTCTATTTCTAAACGTGCTATCTACTTCTAGGCAAACGAAGATTTCAGCATTTTGTTCCGTTTCAATTTGCCCATTTTTTTCGTTCCAAATATGAGCTGAGAAAATGCTTGTCATTCAAAAAGTTAAACAAATATTCAACATTGACCCTTTTTTCCAAAGGCTATTTCATATTATAAAAAACATGAAAAAAAGGTTTTCCTTTCATAAACGAAAATAGAATTTTTTGTCTTTTTAACTTTTATTTCTTCTGTTTTGTTTCAAATTTGTCAAACTAGACCAGCTGAAATTTTTGACAAATGATTTTATCGATTGATGGGAAAACAGGCAAGAAGGAAAGTGAAGAAATCAATAACGAAATGAAATTGAAAGTCATCGATTCCCCTCTTATTTAAGTCAAGATTTGGTTTAAAGATTCCACAAGAATAAACATTTCGTATTTTTCTTCTCCTTCTTCTTTCATTTAAGCCTTGTTGGAATCGCTTGTATGTCAATCCTTTGTCGTTTTCCTGTCTTATGGCGTGACAGGAAAAGTATGCGATAATCCTTTATAGCGTCGTCACTTCGAGTAAAAGGTTACATTAACAGTCAGATAAGAATAACATTCTGACTTAAGACATTATGTAATCCTAAACAGAGAAATGGATTCAGAAAACTTTGACATTTTTAACTTTACTTTTTTCGTTGTTAGTTGTTCTTAGAAGAACCTTTCCGAAGCTGTAGAAATATTTCTTCAAGAAATGCTTCAGTTAAGTAATCAAACAAACAAACCCTATTCAAAATGCATGAAATAAGTGAAATGTGTAGAATCGGAGAGATGTCTTCAAAAGGGAACCGAAGACTTCAGATTAATGTGATGATTTCAATAAATTATAATTTCTCTTTAAGAACGACGATTAATCGACACTCATCTGATATTAAAAAGCCATTGGAGAATTGATTGATGAATCGTTTATAATTTTCTGTTTTCCTTTCATCGGCAGTAGAAAAAAAGCTATTTGAGATCTATTTATGGTGGAGCTCAACGAACAGCATATAAAAATCAATTTATATTCAAAATTTAATGAGAATATGAAAGATATATCTGTATACATTTTTTTATTTTTCCAGTGCTGCTTCACCTTTTAAATTATTCAGAAAAAAGTTTTCCCTCCTCTATCGTTTATTTGGATCGGAATTAATTTTTAATTAATGGTCAGAACACAAGAAAAAATGAGAGTGGCAGAAAAATTAAAGACGGCATGCATCAAAATGAAGTCAAGAATTAATCAAATCAACAAAGAAATGTTTCGCATCCATGGACATTTTAACGAAGCTCCGGAAAAACAAACCACATCTCATTATTCACGCCTTTCAATTGAGATGAGAAAATTTTCAATTTCGACACTTTTTTTTTCATTTGCCTCTAATAATGATTAATTGAATCCATCAAAGTTTTTCTCCACTCCAATTCCAAACGCAGAACGCAGAGACATGCCAAAAGCGAGCAAGTGATTTATTTTTCTTCCCGTTGATGGAGCTTTTGTGTTTGATTAGCTCTCGTCTCGTAGCAGTTTTTTTTAACAGTTAATTTAAGTCCATTTCCCTATCCGGAGGCGAGAAAATAATTTTCCAAAAGAATGTTCCGTCTCTAAATTGTAATTGTTATGAATAAAAATCATTACAAGCGTTGACGTGACCAAAATCTCATATTGACCCAACTGAAATGATTCTGCGTAAGCAAACAAAAAATTAAATTCTGATTGAATTGTAATGAATGATTTTTTCTTCTCGTTTAACGATTTCGTAATGAAATTTTTATAGCAGAAGTTTTGTCGGAGTTTTCCGCTTTACGTGACAGAATTTTTCTGTTCGATACAGTTTTGTACATCGTCGGAAGGTTTCAGTGGTGAAAACAGAAAAGAAAACTAAAGAAAAGAAAAATCATTGAGATGAAAAAAATGCTCCATCGGAGGCGAGAACTCATCTGGATCTCGATCAGACTTTCAAAGAAAAAAAAGGCAATTAAGAGTTGAAAAGCGCGGAAGACTCTTGCTGATTGTGAACATTTTTTCCATTTGTCATCTGCTTGTGGGATGACTGTTAGGAAAATTTAATTTATAGACCTCAATATTTTCGAGACTCATTTAGATATTTTATTTCTCATGTTCTTTGATCTCAGGACATCTGGTTCGCCAAATTCCTTTTCCACTCAATATGATGAAAACAACTTTTGATAATTTATCGAGGCGCTTCATCTATCGAATGAAAAATTCAATGAACCATTTTGAAAGGGAAATTGTTTTTCACCAATTTCCTTCTTAAAACACTTTTACCCTCTTTAAGTTGTGGCATAAATATTCGGAATTTTAAAAGACTTCTTAGCTCTCTAAACAATCGTTTGCATGATTTTAAAGCACCTTAACTCTAAAAGCTGTTTCGAAATAAATTTCGGCAATTATGTAAATTATGGCGTAAAATTTGACAGGTCTTGTCAAGGTAAAATGTCAAAAATAGCGCGGCGATGGAAATTATGTTGCTTTGAATATCTCGATATCACGTCATAAATTCATTCCTAAATACTTTTAATTACAGTCTATAAAGCTCGTTAGTGAGTTCAATAAAACCTGTTTTCAACACTTTATAGTCTTTTGCACATCGTTCTTTAAAAATCTTTTTATATTTTCTTCCACCACAGCAGTTTATTCATTAGCAACGCGTGTGAAATGTGAATGAACAGAAATAAAAACAACCAGAACAAATATCATCACATCCTGAGAATATTTCAAACACTAAGTGAAGGTTTCATTGGCTTGAATTTCCCTTAAAAGGGTTTCCATGAACACATTAGATTGCTTCTTCATCTTTATTCATGCACGCCCTTCAATTATTAATCATTATTTCAGTTTATGGCTTGAAAGGCTTCTCTCCAGAAGGGATTTATCCTTTTACCATGTGTTATTCGTTGGATGAGACTTTACACAAACCACAGATGGTTTCTGGGGAACGCATTAAAAATTCATCGCATTTTATTTTTATCGTATCATTCCTGTTCTGTGTGATGAGTTTTATTGACCGTTTAATACCAAAAAAAACACACACGAGAAGAAAAAAGAAATAAGTTGGAAACAAAACAAAGTTTAGATTAATTCCATGTTTTATTTTAAAGCGATAACTTGTCCATTTAAGCACGAAGTGAAGCAATTTATTTTCATAAATCGACTCTTGTGAAATGCACATATGTGAAGTTAACAGATTGGGATTCTATTAAACCAAACCATAGCAGAACGAAATGCAAGTCATCTGCTTTTCGTTGCTGTCATAATAACACTTACAATGATACTCATAGATCTCACCATTATAATCCGAAACAGAAACTTCACGAAGATATTTATGACTTGAAGATATTCACACGAAAGTTCTTCTTTTTTTGACATGAATACATTTGTCGTTAAAATCTACGTTGGAATATAACTCCACTCACTTGTGAGAATGAATTCAATTTCTACATCATTTAGTCTGTCGTTGCCCGATTCAATGCATAACGCAAGAGATAACATTATAATAGAATATCAAATAACATTTCCATAAACAAAATATTTCTTTCCTATGTTCAGCGAATAAAAATGGATAGATATTGATAAACGACGATCACGTTTTGTTCACTTCATTTCTGTAACGAATTCTAGTTTTCTTCTTTATTTTTTCATTTGTAAAATATTGCTGAAAGAACACATTCCAATCTGAAATTTATTAGCAAAGCTATTTTTTTCTTACCGAACTTATAAAAATAACTTTTTCATAATTCGGGAGTAATTGCGAGTTTTGTCATCGTAGCATTCAACATGGGCTTCTTCTCCATTGTCTAGACTCTAAATTTATATTCAAATATTATCTCCATCTTTACAAACATAAGCTTCCTGAACGACAAGGCAATCTAAATTAAATTATAGCGTGACATGACATTGGCACGCGCCCTTGATTTTTTATGTTGAAATAATTTTTCCAGCTTTTCCTCATTTATTTCTTGGTTACAAATCTAGAAAATATATTCAAAAGTATCACGCGAAATCACAATAAATTGCTCAACTTTATTTTCAACATGTGCTAAATTTTGTTTTATTTTTCTTTTTTCGCTTTGTGCTCCTCTCACGAAACAAATGAGTCCGCAATCAGTTCAAAAAAGAAGCATACGGAACTTTGATATAACATTTTTGTTAGTTCATTCTCCTTGAAAATCATAAACCAAACATCGTCTACCTGAAATTCATGCCGAATGTTTTAGTTCAAGTGGTTTTGGTTTTATTTGCAGCATGTGCCACTTGAAGTTCTTAAATTAAAAGGGAAAATATTTCACGTGAAATGTGTTCGACTTCCGTCACACACATTAAGCAATTGTTTAAGCTGCAAAAAATATTATTTTATTAAGGAAACAGGAACCAAGCATAAATGCTTTTCAATCAGTTCTCAATTTTCAGACAACTCGTTGCAACGATTTGAATTAAACAATTGGACAAAAACATTTTTCGGTCGCATGACAACGTTAAAAATAATTGAGAACAATTCCGAAATATTTTGACATTCGAAAGTTTTTTTTTCTGATTATTTTGTTGATTCAAACTCATATGACGTGAATGATTACTTGATATCACTTGAGAATAATATCTCGGTAGAAGTTACTAAGGCTACATGCTACCTTGTGCATATTCCATTTTAAATCCCATGGAAATTGAAATGTCTCATTTATTCCAGCATTCATTTTCTTACAATTGAAAAGCATGAAAAGATTGCTGTAAAGAAGCAGAGATGATTGAAAATGGAATTTGAATCCTAAATTTTATTCTCTTTTTTTTCCTCTTGAAAGATTTCTCAAGCGCCGACCAAGCATCAGGGAAAATCTCCATGGATTTTCATCCCACTTTCTCCCTCTCATCACGTCGTGGGAGTAAAGATAAAAAGCTTTTATTGCGATTGAACTTTTTATCAACTGTTATTTAAACTGTATTGGAAATTTATTTTCCATTTTCCCTAAGAACAAAAAGAAAAAGAGCGAAATAAAATCGAATGTTTTATGGCATCATTAATACGCTTTTTTGTTCAGTCGATATTCTTTATTTTGCTGTTGTTTGTTACGGCATTATCTGTACCTTTAACATTTGATATTCACGGAACCCTTTTCGACTTCACTTCGTTCTCATCTATTGAAGTTGTATATTAAATAAATGTATATATGCAGATAACTTTCATGTTTTCGATTTCAGATTGCTTTTGATTGAAATCCCGAAAAGAAAAGCAAGATACATAAAATTTTGAACGCACAGGCTGGCATCATAAATAGATCATTATGTACGGTGGTCGAATCTCTCATTTATTTAAAATCTTTTTAATGTTCTTCGAAAAGAAAAGCAATTTCGATGTGATAGTAAAATGAAGCCTAATTTTTATTGCCGATTGATTTCAAACTTTCCTAAATTCTTGAAAGTCGTTCAGAGTAAATAAAATAAAAGCAATTCATGCCGTCAAGTTATTTATGTGCATCCCTTTTCGTTCATCGAAGTCCTATACACATTTTTCTTTTTATTTTTAATTCAAACTCTTCATTTGAATATAAAGAAACAACAAAATCAATGAAAGAAGTGAAGGAAAAAACTTTTCTTGAGCACAAAATCCCAACAAAATCATTAGTAAGATTGTTATCAAGAAATAATTCCATCGATTTATTTATTCATCGAACAACTTTATCGCCTTTTTATAAGATATGGATCGTCGTCTTCTGCTTTTGTTTACTCGCTTAGTTCTCTCTTTTCAGTACAAAAATTTCGATTTGAAATGTTTTTGATAATTTAAATAACTAACGTTCATGTATTTTAATTAGAAGGCATTCAACAAAAACGAAGCGGTGAGAGAGAGTCAAAGCCGGTTGATTAAGACATGGAAACAAATTCCTTCCGATATCTTAATTAGCCAACGCATTAATTGAATTTAGTCACTTCACTTTCTGAATTCAGTTCTCAATTAAGTGATAATGTTTTCTCATGTGCCTCAAGGCGTTCGATTAACTTTAATGGCTATCAACTCCGTCCTCAAAGCAGAAATTTTATCTCGAAGAGTGTGAGTTAAAAGCAGAAATGAATGTTCAATAAAAAATTAATGCATGTGAATAGCTGAGAAAAATCTGGCCAACAACTGACTTAATCTCATTTAATCTTCTCGTTGTGTGGCTGGTATACTGTTGCGCGCTTAATCTCACGAAATATTACATTTTACTGTAATCTTAAAGCTTACTTCACATCGCATGTATCTGTAGATTGAATATTGAGCATTGTTTAGTTAGAATCATCGTCTGCAAAAGTTAATAGTTTCACGACAAATAAAAAGAATCAAATAATGTGACAACTTTTCATTTCAAAGTTTCGAGACATTTCATTCATGGGAACGTTCGCGGAATTTGTTACGCTTTGTGTGTGGTCCCAGTCAACCTTTCTTTCTTTTTAATCCAACTTCACAAAGTAATCATAATATTGATAAAGGTGTTATTTTTGACGCTTCTTAGAAAAAGACCCTCGACAACTTTTCACAGATGTTATTTACACACTCGACTGCCAATCGAAACACTTCAACCATGACCACCACAAAACATTTTATTTCTTCGCTCCTAAAGGTTTTTATTAAGACATCGTCTCGAATGTCAAATCAATATGTATATGAGAATCTTGTTACCAGTCTTTTGAAAACAATTTCTTGTGGTTTAACATTGAGACATTATGCTTAAGTGTTTTGTGTTGCTGTAATGCAAGTTACCTTTGTTATGTTGACGCTGAAAGACGGATCACAAATCTTGAAAGGAATGTTCAATCTTCCTTACCGATTTCTCCCACAACAACTCGGAAAATAAAAAAACAAAGAATTCACTACTTAGGAGAGCTTTTGAGGGTTTTTTGTTCCTTTTAAATTTAAATTCTTTGAATGTTATTAAAAATAAACGTAACTTTGAGTAAATAGCTTTCATTTCTCGGTCGTCTTCCTTCTTTATTCATTCATGCTTGAAAGCTTCCTCTTATTTTGGAAGCGACCCTCATCACAGCAAATTTTCCGCATATTAACATTTTTCCCGAGCTTTTTACTTTCCGCTTAGTAATTTTGCCCTCAAACCTTGGGACTCCTTCATGAGAAAGAAAATGAAATATTTATTTCTCCTTCATCGTCATTGAATTGAAACGACGAAGAAAACAAACAATTTATGTAATTTTTTCTTTTCTTCTTTTTTCTTTTTCCCTCTTATCACGATGAGTGAGATGGTTGGCACGAATGGTGTGAGGTTGGAAAGGTAAAACACCATACCCATGAGAGAAATGATATCATACGCACATATATTGTTGTTCGGATGTCTACATTTGTTAAGCGCCACATAAGAAATTCGCAGAAAGATATATATAAGTAGAAGAAAGAGAAACATTCTCTTCATTCAATGAGCCTCTTCTATAGCGTATATTGCGCAACAACAAAAAACGTCTTTATACAAATTATGTTACATTTATTATTATAAGAGACAGAAGAAGAACGAACGAACATGCGAATGTAAGAATTTGTTTCGTTTTTCTTTCACTGTTGTCTGTTATAGCAACAGATCATGAATTATGTCACAAGAACAATCTTGATAACATGGTGATGATGTATGCAATTAGCATTGTTACAACGCAATCATTAAATAGATATCAAAGTTTACATTTCTCAAGTTGAAGTCATCAATTTAAATGTGGTTTTGTGAAGACACTTCACTGATAAATCATTCCCACTCGCTAGGAATCTTATCCGCTTTAAACATATTCGTGTTTATGCAAAATATAAACAGCGAAATCTGCTTGTTTTAACACTTTTTACCTTTTCTTTCTTTTTTGCTTTTGCATATCAGGGAAATTTACAATTCTATTGTTATGTCGATTCTGACTTATCCTTTCAAAACAAACGAAATGTTAACCATGAAAGTCATTTTCTTTGATATCAAATGTAATCTAATTTTAAAAGTGAGACCGAAGTTGTTTCTCCTTCACACTTCTATCATTTCTGCACACTCAGCAAATGAGCAAAGTTGAGAAAGGCAGACGGAAAAAGGTTCAGAAACTTGGTGAAACTTTTAATATGTATGTTCAAACAACAAAAATTCATTATGCTTTTATGCGAAGCTTTAACATAAGTCGAGAGCTTTACAACATGTGTAAGCAAGTGAGTTAAATTAAATTTTGTGTTCACATATCTTTCAAATGTTACGCGTAGACAAATTTATGTATTGTTTTAATTTTAAGTTGAAGAGTCTGCTTCGAAAAATCTCAAAAATGTTTTAATTAAAACAGGAAAGCAGCAGCAACAGCACCGGCAGCTACAATTTTATGTTTTTCAACGCAAAACGCAATTATAAATGCGCTTCAACAATCAAATATTTAAATGACTCATTCATCATTTTTTATTAATTTTATTTATGAGTGAATGGGTATTCAAATGTGTAATGAAGGACTTGAACACGTACATATGACATGCTTTTCTACTTTATGACCTGCTAATAACTTATGCAATCATAAACTCTTCAATGCATTGATTTTTTCATTAATTATATCAACGCAAGAAAATTCTGAATAAGCAAATATGACAAGCACCTTGTAATTTTCACTGCACGACACAATTGACAGCCCTTCATTTAACAATTTTTTTTAAATTTATGATTTATTTGCTGACGATGTTATTTTAGAATAAATTGCAACAATTTTTTAATTTCCATACAACAATTTAACATTCAAATGTAAGGCATGGTAAGGCGAATATTAGCAAATATTTGGAGAAAAGCCATCTAAATAATTACAACCGAATTCAGCAACCGAACAATAACGAAAAAAGGGGAAAAGTAATGGTCGATAACAGTGTCATAAATTTCCTGTCAATCGAATATTTATGAGAACATTACGAAAAAAAAGGCAGCAAAAGATGATCGGCTATACGGAAGTATTTTAATAAGCTTGAATAGACAATAAATTGAACGTAATGGAATATCCAATAACTAATAATTCTATCCATAAAAAAAGCAATCTTTATCATATGTTCCCCAATCACTGTTGCCTCACTTGCAATCAAATCGCATTGCCTTACTTTACTCAAACAAGGTGGAAAATTGGAAGGCGCCAAACAATTTCTTGATTTATTATTTGCTTTTTGTGATAAATACTTAATAAACATTAAACATTCTCTGCGTGAATGACTTCATCGATTCTCTTTATTTTTTTGTCGTTTCAATGCGATGATTTATTCGCAATTTAACAACCTCTACCACTTCAATGAAACTTGTCCAATAAGCAAAAAATAAAGAACCTTCTTCGTTTCTTCTTCAACACAATCCATTCGAATTGAACAAATAAAAACAATGTTTCTGAATTTTTATAACGTCGAGATTCCCACTGATTCAATGATTGGAAAATTGCCATTGTACTGCATTCAAAGCGACAAAATTCATGTTGAGAAAATGGTGAAAAAAGGTAGAGCAGCAAAAATAAAAGAAGGCCAAAAATATTCATCTGAATAAGTTCTTTCTTTTCATTAGTTCTAATATGAAATTGGGATATTTACGGATTTTTTGTCACGACATAAAAAATAATGAAACAAATCATTTCGACTCATAAATATTTTTTAAATTTTTTAAAGATTTATTTCTCTCTCCAACTAATCTCGGAATTTATTTGCTTCATCGCAATATATTTAAAATATTCAACACATAAAATTAGAATTTGCGTGGCGGAATATTTGAAGATATCCTGATACAATCGAAAAAGTTTGACTTCCAGCACGGCATGCATTCAATGGTGAAGTTAAAAGTAGAAATGAAAAATAAAATTTACGACTTTTTGATAACTTTCATCAGCCTTTAAGCGCGATAGCGAATTTTTTTCCCATTATTTCTTTTTTCAATTAACTGTCGTGTAACTTTTTGAGTAAATAACTTCAAATCCTACCTACACACACTTTTGTACTCCACGTTGATTTATAACCATTTCAAGTGGTTAAAAATGCTAATTAATTCTTTTTTATTTAGATACACGCTGTTTAAACTCGTTTCCCACTATTTACTTTATCTAAGGCCAATGGAAATATTTAGAATTGATATTTCCATTCTCGGACTGAGAAAACTCTCTTTTATCTTGATGAATTTGCTTCTGGAATTATTCCGCTTTCGGTTATAAAGTTAACTCTGTTTGATCACGATGAAAAGCAGACGAAGAGTTAACGAGATTCATTTATTATACTCAAGTCACAAACAATTTTTTTATTTCAGTTGCGCCGCAACTTTACTGATGGCAAAAGCTTTTCGTTGGACGAATCAACTCTCCCTGTGTGTGTGGTTAATTGGCAGAAATGTTTTCATCCTTTCAATGGATGAGTCTTTTTTTTTTGCTTATCATTCCAACTCATTTAATTTCTCGAATAAAAACTAAATTATTGTTTGCAGCTTTTTTTGCTTGCTGTTTTAATATTAAAAAAAAATTGAATAAAAGCAAGACATTTCGACATCACGGATACAATCTCAACAAAGTGGAACGAACGAGAAAAGAATTGTTTTTATCGACGAGTAACAAAAATTTTTAAAATAATTGCAACGGTATGAGAGAGAGAGAAAGAAGGATGAAGAGACAACGACGAGCACACTTATTGAATTAAAGTTCGTTCTGTTTATTTTGTTCAACGACTAAGTAACTATGAAGTGGAAAAATTAGATTTTCTCTCTCGTTCTTTGAAATGTGACTTGCGATTGTCACCAGCGGCATAAAAACTCATAAGTACATATAAGATAGACCGTCCTCTCCTTTTCAGAAATATATGGAAGTCTGGATAACAAATTGACTCGGAGGAAATGGGAAAAGATAAAAAAAAAATGGAAAAGAAAAATGGAGAGGAAAAAAATTCAACGACACAACAACATCAACAAAAAAAAAGGACAGAGTGAAGTTGGAGTAGATCCTTACCGTTTTCATTATTTAATATTGCAGAGCCACTGCTGATGCCGTAACAATAATAATCCTTATAATCCAATTTGTAGAACAGAAACAAAACGATAATCCATCGTTTCAGATTTGAAGATGCCAAGAGAGATGTGAAATTTTTCTGTGCATGCTGAATGTTAATGCAACGTCGTGGATGTCGATGATGATTAGTTTTTAATTCGACCATTGCTGTCACTGCACATTAATTGCAATTTGCAATCTCTTCTTTCGTTTTATTTTTATGAACTTCTTTTATATTTTATTTTTATTTCAATTCTCAAAATCATTTAATTATCGTTATGTGCAGGAAATCTTTCGTCTTCATTTTAAACCGTATAATTATTATTTGCTTCTCTTGTTTTCACTTAAATTTCAGCAGCTCAGACACTCATATGAAGCGATGATTGTTACACTTTTTATATTTATGTATATACACTTATGAATATATTATTTTCACTAAATTGAGCATGGCTATATATGTTTCAATTCATTATGAACAAACTGCTGATTGTTTCTGCGTCGTTGCATAGCAAATGCACGTCAACAGCAGCACTGAAAAAAGAAACGTTAATTAAACACGACTCGTAAATTATGGTTCGGCATATTCATAAAAATTATTATTTGAAGAGGAATGATCACAGTCATTTTCGCTGTTGGTTTTATGTTGCTAATTCACTTTTTATCTCACTTTTCATCAGACTCTTTTATGCGAATTTATGTGGCGATAATTTTTTAATTGTATTTAACAACAGCAGCTAAAGCATGATACTATAATTCATATCATCTTCTGTTCTCCATCTAATCATTTGCTGCGTCTCGTTAAATAAATTCACAGCGATGAGAATGTGTTAATAACAGCTAACTTGACTTCAACATGCTCATATAGAAAAAAAGACGAAGAATTCGTTCTTAATTTCATCCCATTTCATGCACACATAGCCACTTAAGGTTAGTCCTATCCCTCTTCTAATATTATCATGAAAGACATAAAAAGATGTTGAACTTTAGATAAGAAAGTGATAAGACTTAATAAATTGTAAAGGCTAAATGAATGAGAGAAAGGCGGAGGACAGAAAAAAAGAATTAAAGGGATTAAAAACGGGTGAAAAGCGGAAGAACACGAAAATGTCTGACATAAAATTTTAGTGGAAAGAAGGAAAATTAAATTTTAGAAGAAGGCAAAATGAAGACCTTTGTACTGTCGATTTAAGTTAAGTGTCTTCTTAAGAAATGTTTTTCAGCATGAATCAATAGGAAACGTTATCAGATTAAGATTTCTTGTGTAAGGAAAAGCAACAAAAATTATCTCGTTCAACTCGTCCTTCGTGTCTGTTTCAAATTTAAATGAAAATAATTTCAGGCGTGCAGAGTTTTGTTGCTTAGCTGTAAAACAGCTTTGAATCACGTTCTTTGTATTTGGTGACAGTTTGTTGCGCGTGAGATAGTTTAGACAACATCTAATGAAGTCGTGTACAAAACAATGCAATCTCGGATAGAATTCTTGTGAAATTTTGTCATCTAATTGAATTGCTTCTACAAAACGTGATTTTAAATAGAGAAAAGTTTTTCTAGGAATTTTAATGTTGTACAATCAAGGCAGCTAATTCGTCTGAAATTTAATTTGAATCTAAAACGAAGTTTGAAGTACTTTCAGGGTACACTTGCGGAGATTAGCTCTTATAACATCATTCAAATAATCTCAAACTTTTCTGAAGAGACTCTTACTTATCTAACAGAAAAGATTTTCTTCAACAGCGAAAAATATTCTCATATTTCGCCAGAGAAAGTTTATCAAGCTATTCATGCCCTTTAAGAAGATACTGAAGATTTCATAAACATTGAGTCATAAATAAGTCATTCCTATTCAAAACGAATAGCCGAAGAATAAATTATCTTACTTGTTGTATAAATATTCAAATACGTCATAAATTCTTCCTTGTTCTTTTTTCTTTCTTGGGTTTGGGAATGAACGAAGTTTCAGATTGAAATCAATACCAAAACATTCACGTGCGTTTCTCATAAAAAATTATCGTGAACTTTTTTTTATTTTATTTTTCTTATGTCTAAATATTTTCATTGGAAAAACGTTAGCGAAAGAATAAAAATATGATGAAAACGTGCGTGACACATCTATAGAGCGTTGGGGGAATAAGAAAGTCACATGCAGGGTCATAAGAAAAATTCTCCAAGCACGAAAAAAGTTGTTAATTAATTCCAATTCACAGAAATAATTTTTATTTTATTTTCTCCCCTGTTTTCAAATTCAATGTCACTCATGAATATTTTTTCTTTTCATTCTAATAAATAATTTTCTCTTGCTTGTTTTTCACCAGAATTAGTTCATTGAAATATCTTTAGAAATATTCTTTTGTCACAAGAGCTCTTAGCACACAGTTTTGTTTTCGCTTCACGGTGAAATGGAAAAAGGAAAAATTTATGTTGAGTTTGAGACGAAATAATTGATTACAGAAACCCCTCAAAAAATAAATAAATATTTATGTCAAAAGGGGAGTTTCCAGAATATGAAATGGATTATTATGTTGTGAACATAACGTACAGAAACATCAGTAAAATTGATCAACTTTGACGTCAAGAACATATTGCTTTAAAACATAAACTTCTATTAAATTAAACATGCCTCGACGTTGAGTTGAATTTTAATGTTCTTTTTCAAAATTATGCTTTGAAAAATAAACATTTCGATGAGTGCATGAGTACAGATTCACCCTTTTGTCTCGCTTTCATCGCATTCATCATCCACGGTTCAAGAGCATCCAATATGTTTGAGAAATAGTATCAGATTTCATATTCAATTCGGATGGTTGTGTAATCCAATGCAAACACTTTTGAGAATATTTTTATGCTTGTGCTGAAACAACACTTAATGCTTTTTACTGACACTTAAGGGTTTTGTTGAGGTGAACTTTTGTATTCTTTAAGAATATTATCTTTTCATTCTTACAGCTCAGCAAAGCTCAATTTATTTACGAGAGCATCATCAGAATATTCGACAAAGCTCCTCATTATTACCTCACCCTATCTTGGATTATCCGAAATATTCCAAACGTTTTATTGATTTTTTACATAAATTTATGTATTTTGGGTAAATGTTTCTTTTCATTCTCCTTTTTTGTAAATGTACCTAAGTTAGTTTTTTTTTTCAATTCGCTTCTGTGAATTTCTTTCTTCTTTATGTCAAACGATAAATGTCAGCCACACAAAAAATTACACACAAAACAGGTTAATTTGTTAATCGAACAAGTCAGACACATGTAGATTCATGGGAACATAATAAATATTCTCACATATCCTCCTCTTCAAATAATAATTCTAGATAAACTATTAACTAAATTATCATTTTTAATCACTTGTTGATAATCTCCTTACTAGTTATTATTACGGTGAAACTTTTCATCTATTTTTAAAGTAAATTCTGTTTTGATATTTATTTATTCACTAGATGTGAAATTTTCATTTCAATTTCACCCTTTTGTTTGGATTCCTGAAGGCGGTGTTTTTTAAGTATTCCACCGATAAACCAAATTATTTTCGTTTTTTCCTTTTTTTTCAGGGTTGAGCTCATGAATTCCACGTTAAATTTCCGCACTTAATTTCCCAGCCCCCATCGAAAGAATAACACGGATAATAACTCTTCACTAACATGCAAACACTTTTAGGCTTTTATTGATTTTCGCTCCAATAATCTTGTTGTTTTTCTTTTCGGCGTTAGTTGATTAAACTTTAATTTCACTGTAATTATTCAATGGCATTAAATGGTTCCTCAAAAATAACACCATAACACGAACACGCGACTTAACCATTCGAATACTCGACGAAAAATAAACTCAAAGATATTCTTTCCGATTTCTACGTTTCGATAGCAAGAGAGAGAATGGTTTGTGAGAGAATTCAGAGAATGTTACAACCGACATTGTTGTACAAGTTTCGTCCAACACTTCATTTCTTTACGTAGTTTACAAGTTTTCTACTTTTCTACACAATATAAAGAGAGTGAAAATAATTTTTGTGAGCGTAAAAATATTTTCGAGAGAGAAGGAAATTTTTCTGATCGAGAGTAAAATTTCAATTTTCAATGTAGAAAATATGTAGAAAATATGTAGAAAATTCAATTTTTGTTGGAAAATTTATTTCCTCGCTCATTTTTCCTGTTCTCTCCTTTGCTGTTATAAATATGAAATATTTTGAAAAATCTACCAACATGATAAGTCATGTTCTTAATAACTTTCAGCTGTACTAGAAATATGCATTCATCAAAATTCTTGGGGTAGGTTGTGTTGATAAAACTACTTGGAAGTCATTTCTCACGACTTCAACAAACTTTATCAAATAATCGATTAAATATAAATTAAAATTAAGTTATGGAACTATTTCTTTCTAATTACTAAATTTAATTTCTCAAGATTGTCTTGTGCGTCCATTATTGATGATTATTGGCTTTTAATCAAAGAAATTAAAGCTTTTAATTTACATTTATCAATAAATAATCAAATTGAAATATGCTTCGGTGATAAATTATTCACAAATATCTAATTACTCGTGACTGCTTAGTGATATTTAACCAATTCAACTACTTATTTAAACTTTAATAAATAATGAAGTGTACGGAAGTTTTCTTTTAAAAATAGTAAGAAAATTAATCGAAACTTTAAAGAGACATCGATAAGAAGCATGTCTCTTAATGTAATTAATAAAGTTCTGTTACAGTTATTACAAAAGTTTCAAAATGTTCTACGCCAAAGGCCATTTCTCTTCTTCTTCGTTCTACAACATTCAACTTGTTTATCGTGGAATGGCATGTCAATAAGTATCGATTCAAATACTACATTTTGGTTGTAAAATTTTAATATTTCAAGTACTTAATGTTTGTACAGACGTGAGAAGAAACACCGAACAAACTTATGTACATAAACGATAAGCATACAAAAGGTATCAAGCATTTCAAATTTAACCACCAAAATTAATTTTAAACAAATTTCCAATGTTTGATGTGAGTACATACATTCTTTATTACTTCTCTTTTTGTAAAAGATGTAAAAGTGTGCACCGTCACCGTTACCTAAAGCATTATTCTGTTGATAAATTTTGGAGCTGTCGCAGCTCTTAAATTTATTGAATTTGTGCGACATCACAAATTATTTATTCAATCATTTAAGGTTCGAGGGTAATTCAGATAAAGAAGTGAAGCGTTCATTGCCCTTGCTACAGTTTTTTTTACATATTTGTACGAGAGTCTCAAGTGTAGACTCTCCAAACCTAAGTTACATTAAAGTGGTGGTAAAGTTGACACATTTGACAATAACCACAAGAAGAAACTTCGAGCTTACATCGTTGCAGAAAATAATGATTGATTTGATTGCTTTTGAGACCACAGTACATTACAGAATTGAGAAGAACAGCAAAAAGTGGAATTTAATTCATTGCGGGAAATAGAGGAAATAGGATAAAGAAATTTAGGGTTCCAATTCAGATCCACACACATTTTATTTATTTGTGTTAAGGCATTGCTGATCCATTTGAATTTGTATTCACAACCGATAACCTTCTATCATCTCTTCCATTGGTATGTGCTTGGACGTTTCGTTCTGTTCAATATGAAATGTAGATTTGATTTCAATCTTTTTTCTTTCTCTTTTATTCATATCCTCAACAACATGTTAAAGCACTTCCTTGACAGGCCAGCGGTAAAAAAGGAAAAAGAAATAAAAGCAAAAGAAAAATAAATAAAATTAATGAACACATTGAAATCAAATCAATAATTTAATGCTTCGATCAACTGTGAATGGACTCAAAGAACTTTTGGTCTTGCATGAGTTCCCATCTTTATTTCTTTTTTTCTGTTGTTGTTGGCAGAAATGAAAAATCACCTTAAAACAACCCAAATACCCATTCTTGCATCTATTCTATCCCAACAATGACCTGAATTTACATGAACCAATAAACGAAGTTGAAAGAGAAAATCCGTCTTTAATGTCAGAAGAGAAAAATATTTTTTTAAAAAAAATCTTAAAGCGAAATCTTGACAAAAGCTATCAAGATAAACTGATTCTTTTCCAAACAATCACTCTCAGCAGCTCTCATAATAAACTCACGATAATCACTTTGTCTATGTCAGATATTTATATGAATCATGTGAAGATGAAATGAAAGCAATCAAAAGGAGCTAAAAGGATGATGTGAGAAAAAATGTAAGTGGAATGGAATTCGATAACAAAACAAAAGGACAATAAAACGAATAAATCTTGTGGTGTCATTCTTCTTTGGGGTTGTCCTAATGGAGAAAGAGAGCAAGAAGGAAAGAAAGAAAGAGTGAGGAAGAAACGTCAGACTATTTAGAATTATGTGTCAAGAGATTGACGTTTGAATAAACACTTACGTGAAAATGATGAAGGAATCCAAATGTACTTTTACGATTCGGTTCCATTTCACTTAGCGCAGAGTTCATCACTCTTCAGTTTTTATTCTTTTATGTGGATGGATGTTTCATAAGGGTCTCAACCATCATCCTTATTCAATCTCAAATCGTCTGTTCGTTTATTAAGATGTTTTCTCATGTTTGAGTTTGTCTTTTGTGTCATGATCGCAAGTTTAGTCCGTGAAGTAAATTAAAATTTGAAACGCGAGCAGACAAAAACATTTCTTTATTGATTTAGCGAATGGAAGAAAGAAGAAAAAAAACGAATAAAACTGTTCAAGGTTCTTGAGACCTTTTTTTTTTCTTTGTTTTCAAAGTGTCGACATAGACATAAAAAATATGAAAACTTCGTTCCGCAAAGCGACGAAGTTTTAATGAAATTATTAAACATAAAAATTGTTCCATTTTATACTGCAGTCGAAGAAAAAAGTTTCTGATTTAAATTAATTTATTTAAATATGAAAATTCATTATTTTCGTCTTTATTCTGTTTTCTTCGTCTTTCATTTCTAATAAACAACACAAATAAAAATTTTGAATTCATTTAAAAGTACCAAAAATATTCTCAATTTTGTGACTGGCTTGCTTAGATGAAAGAAGAGATGGAAGGGCAAGCCAGAAGATGCATTTCTTTCTCGTTGACCGACGCTGTTTTATCTTTGGGATGAGTGTGGTAATAAAACTTAATGCGCTCAGCAACAACGATAACAATAAAAATCAAATTATCATCCATGCTCGTTTGTTGTAAAAACAGCCGTTTGTTAATTAAAGCATGTTCATAAATGATGTTACAAGTTTGAAGATATTTTTTAACATTTCATTCAAATGATCTCTTAATTGGATTTATTATGAATTCCTTTTAGATCATCGAGATAAATCGTTGAATCAATCAATAATCAAATAAATTATCATAAACTTCTGCATTCGACGTAACCACAAATTAATATCAGTTCCAATATTTTTTTTTCGAAACTTTGTTGTTTCATCATTACACAAGCTACCATGAATGATATCGTGTTGTGATAAATTAAATTGATATATTCACAATATTGATTTGCGAGAGAAAATAAAATAATAATAATAAATTCTTCCTTTTATTTTCTCTCTTCATCATTGTTATTCCGGTATATTTATGTTTGCGTAATTTATTATATTTCCCATATCATGGCGCTTGATGATTGCTTGTTTACTTTGCCAATGAAGAAGCGATAAGTGGTGAAGAAGAGAGAAGAAAGAAGGATGGAAAGAAAACAAAAAGCTCAGACTGCTGTAAGTATCTCAGTATCTGAAATAAAAAATATTTTATCAACTCACAACTCTAAAAGAGAAAGAAATTCTCAATGGCACAAAGCAGATATTTGCATTATAAATTTATACTAAAAGATTTTTATAATCCATCAATCTTGTAATGCAAGATAAGCAAAACGGATGCAATTTAATACTTATGACACAACTCTCGAGTCATGCATCTTCCTTCAGTTAATTCTTTTAGTTGATACAACGAGATGAAACAGCCGATGAATTATTCAACGAATATTGTGCACCTGTAGTCGCGCTTTCATGCTTCCTTGCTTTATTCCATTTTTTCACATTCTTCATGATGCGAGTAAGTTTGTATACAATGCAGCGAGAGATTTTAAAATGCAAGCTAATGAAGTGTCAAATGCGCAATGTTTATTCTGATATATCATATGTGTAAGCTTCTTAAGTGAACAAACACTCCTTTCTTCTTTTATTGCGAAAACAAATAAAGTTCTTTAAGTAAATGACTCCCATGGCTTGTGAAATTCAACACAAAGCAGAGAAAAGTAAATTAAGGTTGATCATTTATGACATTTGCATTTCATTACCTTTGCTTGCAAATTTAATGTCATTCAGAAACTCGTTCAATTTATCAAGGCGAGAGAAGCCCAAGCAATTGAAATTCTATTTTTGATTCTTTTCCTTTCGTAATGCTGCCTTTATTCAAGAGATTGGCACATTAAACCCATTTTCAATGGGATTTCTTTCCTTTTTTTCTTCCTACACTCTTTATTTCATGCTTAAAAAGCAATTTTTTTCTAAGCATTAGAAACCTTGTAAGGTCTTTTTATATTTTAATGAGAAACATGATTAAATGGGTTTTAATAGAGCTTCTTCTCACGTGCAAATGACGACATTGACATTTAGATCGAATTCTATTTTTTACAAATCACAATTCGTTTTTATTTCCCATCATATCGTGATTTCATTTCGCCTCTCATGTTTTTCTTGATAACACTTTTCACTTAGTTACCGGAGCATGACTCTTTCTTAAAGAATGAAGAAAGAAATTGACCTAAAGCTACGCTTGACTAGAGGTTCAACCTTACAAGTCAACAAGAAAGATTGAAATTTGAGATTAGATTAATAAAAGTTAGGTACAATGATCTGAAAATTGATCAGAGATAAGTGGAAGATTCATGTGTCATTGAACATTATTTAGATGTTTATCTTTCACAATCACTAAACAAAAGTTAAAATGAGAGTTAGCAACAGATGATGACGTGCTTATTACCTTTGTTGCCATTAGAAACTTTGAAATGAATGTCCCCAAAGATATTTATATCAAATCGTGACTCGATGATCTTTAATTTCCATCATATATTAACAAACAAATTAACTGTGAAAGGTTTAATCGCCATTCACATAACAATCAACTTCATCATCATGAACCATTTATCTTCGAGTGTAATTTAATTTTATTGTTACGCTGAGGATGCACTTATCAATAGATTGATTGGCTATGAAGATTTATTTCCCCCATTTTATCATATCATGTGGATTTGTTCTTTCTCTTGTTGCGTGTTGTCACAAAAATCCATATGATGCGCCTTTTAGCGATATTAAAATCATTTATTCTTATTATTCTTGTTCTTCTCTTACTTTCCCTCCCCCCACAAAAAAAAAAGAAATCTGTTCGTCTCCTATCTGTAATCTCCAAATCAAGATTGATTGAAACATTCAGTACATGGTTGGGATTCGTTATTGATTTTTTCTCGTCTCTTAATCATGTAGCTCTTATTTTATTATAGATCGTCTTCACGTTTTACTTTTTTTACCCGACATAAACGAAACGTCGAAAATTCTTCTATTGCGAGTCACGCTCTGCTTTCTTCGTTACTTTCTTTGAAATTCCCTTGGTGAAATTATTAATTTTCTTCGTTACCATCACTTTAATTTTTAAAGAGCGCGATTTAATATTTATTATGATTTTTTTTTCTTACTCATCTTTGTCGCTAAGATTCTTATCAATCCGTTTTAGGCAAGATCAAAAAATCAGTGATGAAAAAAAAAGAAGTAAATTAGTGCGGAGAAAATTAAGAATTAAGATTCCCAGGTTCAGATATGAACTCAATGATAAAATGAGATCTAATAGAACGTTTCAACCATCAACGGAACGCTTCCATTCCACCCACGTTTCTTAATGTCTAACTAAGGACAAATCTAATAAAGAATTGAAAGTGAAAATCGCCTGGGCTGTTAAGAAAGCTTCAAAGATGAAGAACAAAATGACATGGAATAGCGACAGAAAGGTTTATTTGGGGAAGTAACCGTCTTAAGAGATTAAATGAGATTGGAGTGATTTCAGGCTTGGCTGGATTTCGAATTGCAGTTCTGATGTTGTGTTCGACTTATTCCGGGGATGAAACAAAGTTGATAACAACAAAATTATTTTCACGTTACATTTATTTGAACTTTGCCAATGTTCTCGTGAGAAGACGAATTGAGAATGCTTTGTCATCAATTCCAATGGTGGAACGACAACAAATTCATTTTCTATGAGAATTGTTTGCTTTAACAAAATTAAGACTCAAATATTGCTGAACATTTTAAAACATTGATAAACTCTCTGTCATTGTCGCGTAATAACGGAGTTGAGTTGATTTAATATTTATTGAACAAATAACTTCTTTCATTCACTCTGGTTGACGATAAGCTTTCGCTGGCATTGTCAGCGAAACGCTGACGAAAGGAAAACAGCTCAGAAACAATTTGTCTATATTTGCTCAATAAACGAACGAAATTCTCTTTTGTGGCCTTCTTCAAATAAGATGATAAATATTTGTTTCCAAAAGCGAATATTCAGATTTCTTAGCATTAATCTCAAATGAACCACTAAAGTAAAGTCACAAGAGACGCGCAGAGAAATAAATGATTTTGAAATCTGAATACTAATTTCTCTGTTGCTTTACAATCTTAAGTCGAGTCATTCCGGTTGGAAGAAAATGTGAATGAGAAATTTTCGTAAACGTTAATTGAATTTTTCAGCTTATTTGCTTCAAAATTGGATTCTCAACGTTAAGCTGTGGAGAAAGGGAACCAACGTTTCTGCACACAATTTGAATAATAAAAACATTTCGCATAAATAATGCGCCACGTTAATAATAATCCCTTGATATATTAAACATCATTTTCCTTTCTCTTGGTGTAACGAGAGCTTAATGCCTTCGAGACTCTATTCAAGCTCGATGACGATAGCTAAGCTATTGCGTATGTGTGTATGGGTGCTCGCGCTAAGCAACAACTTTGACATATTTTCATTGTGAAATTTGATTAATAAATTTGAAGTTCTAAAAAGGAAGAATGGTTTCCAATATCACATTCACAATGAATTGCTGCTTCCCAGTTTAGGCGTTTGATGTAACTTGAAGCCTTAAACACGTGTTTAGTTTCACTATGTTAATTAAACTTTTCAAAATTCACAACATCAAAAAACACAGCAAGATCATAATTTTGTGATGAGAGAGAAGTCAAACAAATTCATAGATTAAATATTTCCACAAATTATCTCGTTCATACATGTGGATGGATGTGAAGGAAAATAAACAAAGTTAAGCTAGAGCAAACACTACTGAAAGATAACTGCAAACATCTAAAATTCTGCAAACAAAACTTCATCAAGAATCAATTACGTCTCACAGTGTTTCGCGCCTCGAAAAATCGTTTAATCGCTTCAAAGCACGTAAACAAAAATCTTTCATTTAATCATTTCCGTTTTTAACAACTTTCTGGTTGGTTCAGTTTTATTTTCTTTAATAGCTTCGATGGAGTTTGTTAAGCAGAAGTTTATTCTTTTGCGTTTCTTTCGTTCGCCGAAATGATGATATAATTGGTATCGCTCGAGGCTCAAATTCATTTATTTTATCATCGATAATTTTCTGCCAACATTTTAAGGCACTCTCGCTTCATTTCTTGCAAAATTATCCCAAACTTTTGAGATACGTTTGATGAAAAAAGATTTTTTGTTGCCGAAAATCTTTAAACTGTCCATAAAATGAACACAGCAAAAACAAAAAAAAAAAAGATTTCTTTTACAGTTTACGTTCACACCGACCAGATATAAATTTGCAATTTTATCGTTGTTCGCCCTTCCAAGTACCGAACCGCATGTGGCGGCGGCGACGAGACTGTATAATTCAAACAAGACTCACTCTTGCTCCTCAACATCGGGATGAAAATTATCCTACTGAAAATCAGCATGTTGAAAGCTGAAATTAGGTGCCGTTTAGCCGCCAGCTTTCATCATAAAAAACATTTTTTCTTGTTTTTGTTTTACTCATTTTCATGATTATGTGCGAAGATGAACGAGAAAATTTTCATTTGAAAATGTTTCCGAGTCACATCAAACTGACAAGTTATTTCTCTTACACAACACAACAAAGACATAACGATGTTGACTTTATTCTTGGAACAATATCTAGAAAGATATTCTGATTACACGCCAATTGGACTTTCCCATCATTGTTGAAAAGGCAAGCCGAAAGGAATCTCTTAAAAACTCATTTATTTAAGTGAAATAAGAAGGATGAAACAATGAAAACGCCCTTGACTTGTATTCTTTTCAACGCCCTTAAACAAGAGAATTTCTTTCTTGTTTTATCACCGTTTTTCCATCGATTAAAAGGCCAAATGCTCCACAACCACAAAATGTGTTGAGGGTCTAGAATGGTCTGTTTAAGCAACACTAGCAGATACTGGGTGAAACAACAAGTGGGTGGTCAAAAATGTTGAATGAGTTGAGTGGAACACCGGCAACATTGTTATGCAATGAAGAATGAGATAAAACAAAATATTATTCTCAAAACTCCATGAACATGACCATTTAACGTTTTCGAAACGAAGGTGTATGAAGTAGGATAGATTATTGGCTATGCTTACACATGGGGGCAGAATAAAACGAAGGAAGCAATAACAGACATACATTCATATGTGAAAGTTAGGATAGGACATGCAAAACGAAAACATCCGCAAACTAATTTATCACACGTAATCGTATTCTGTCTGGTTTGAAATGTGAGTAGGAACAAATGAACTCATATTATGAATCATTTACTTGCAATGTTATTCAATTATCAGTCGTTTAGAAAAGCTTATGAATGTTATCTTGCATTTAAAAGACATTAATATTATTTATTGTTTCTTTCTTCTTCTAATTTTTCTTCTTTTTAGGATGATAACTGAAGTGAACAAGACTAAAACATTCCTGGCGTGTTCCGGAAACAAAAATATCTACCAAAAAAAAAGATACTTACAAGCAAAGAAAAGAAACTGACACATAAATTCCGAAACATGAGAAAGGGCTGACTGACATTACGATAAAGTTTTCTTTTAAAAACGCCATCGACAGAGTTTTTTTTCGTTCATGATGTTGTGCCACAATAATCCATGAAGGGAAGAAGTTTGTACGTGCTTTCGATTGTACTTTATCTTGGGAATTTCAAAACAAGCTCCATTTATCCAATCCAAACGCCATGCATAATTTATTTCCTAAATATGATAATTGGTATTTGGTAAATAACAGAACTTCCTGATACTCTCTCCACTTCACTTGATAGTCGGAAGCATAAGACAAGCAAAACGTTTATATTTGCTTGCATTTCTTGAAAATCTTCTCTCCATGTTCAAATAAATTTTCTCATGTTCATGTACGAAATTCAATTATCTAATAGCCATTATGCAATTATTTAATTTGTTTGTTATTCTATAGACATGGATATAACAGACACATAGAGATTGCTTTGAAACTTAATCTCTCCAGAAATTTGAGGCAATTAATATTTCATGTGATGATTTCATAAAAATATTTCCCATCTAACTAGATTGTTACGATTTTGGTGAGTAATGTTGTGGAAACCTTTTTTCTTTCCGGTTTTTTTGTTTTGTGTTCTTAATCTACATTTATCGAACAGCTCCTAATGACTCAACAGCAAACTTGGAGATAAGAAGCAGAAAAAGATGTCTTCAAACTATATTGCAAAGATTTTTACTACGTCATGACGTTTGAGATATGATGATGAAGTGTTATCAGGAGAAATCACTTTATTGTTCGTACTTTACCGCTTTTTTCCTTCGACTGTTTTGGCATCAACATATTTTCCCAAAAGTATTCATATTTCAAATAAATGAAAAAGAATCTGCTGCATCTAAGAATAAATTTATACGTCCATGTTATATTTCAGAGAAGTTATTGCACAAACGAACACATCAGAATCGAGAATGAATGTCAGAAATCATAAAGATTGTTATAAATCAAAGCATAATGTCAACTTCATAGATATTTTTTTCTCAATAAATGTCTCAGTCTTTGAGTATCAATGAACTGAATAGATATGAAAATATTGATATTCAAGACGTGTTCTTACAACAATGTTCAACTTTCTTTGGCAACTGAATTATTCACAAATAAGTGAATGCTTATTTATAACATCTTTTCATGTTGAGAGAATAAAATGCACTAAACGCAGTGACGAAAACGGACTTGACTGTCTTCATATTTATTTAATGTCATCATAGATATTTAATAATTCAGGAAAATTGAAAATTCTGTTCATCATATTTCAGCTTAAAAATATGAAAATGGAGAAGATTGAAAATGAAATCAGATCATGAAGAATTTTCGTATCTATTTATTTATGAAATAAGATGACATTTTATGGATCAGAAAAGCAAAAGACATGTTCGTTGTCAACAGCACAGTTCAGGAAACTTCTGCTCTTGAACACAAAGCTTTCCATGTATTGTTTCACATTCTTCCCCCTGGCGATAAAAAGACATGAAATTTCGCACGGGAAAGCATTGACGTATGAAAATATATTCAGATGTGCTTCGGAAAACTTTTCACTTACATCTTATAACTGATGAGATGTTGTCGAAGGCGGAAACTGCTTCTTTCTTGAAACATTCAAAAAGCAAAATGTTAATATTTTCTGTTGTCTCTTTCCATGAAGATGAAAACATGTCGTTGGAATGATGATAAAGATGCATAATTGGCAGTGGAGATCATGTTGTGTTTCTTAAATGAAATTCAATCGAGATAACGATTGGAAACTTTTGGAAACCACATATTGAGATTTATGAATTTTTTGATGTAACATAACACGATCAAAAATCGATAACTTCCGTCTCAGAGTTTAGCGTTCATTATCAGGTAGACGTAGATGGAAGAAACAAGAAAGGCTATAAGCGGAGACCCTCAAAGCAGTGCCTGAAACGAGAAGATTTATGATACACGAACAGTAATATTTTCGGTGATTTATAACAAATGTAAATCTAACAGGCGCTTTTTATACATGGAAAATATGATTATAGCATAATAATGATGTAGCGACATTGAGGCGATATCATTTCAAACATTTCTTTTTGAATAGTGCTCAAATTTCTTCTTTTTTATTTGGGATCGAAAGCAGTTACTTCTTTTCATTTTCTTTTGTTGAGATTTGCATGAAAAGATATCGTCTAATGGTCACTGAATGCTCCACGAAACCCTCATATTTCTTTTCATGTTCAACAGAGAAAAAAAATGTTAATCTTGATATGAATCCGTTTATCCCATAAATTTTAAATACCTTAGTTTGATAGTTATTTGAAAACATTACAATGGAATGGAAATATCTCTGGTGTTGCAACTTATTTGATGTTTCTTTGTTTGCAGCATTCTAATACTTCATATGTATCTTTAAAGAGAAGGAATTATTTACTCTCAATCCTTTAAGAATTGAACCTTTTCAATGTTGATGCACCTTGACAATGCTTTTCTTTAGCAAAAATCATTTTGAAAGAATTAAGCGTAAAGAAATGTTGAAAATTCTTTTTGCTTCAAATCGAGTTGCTTTCGTCTTTGTCATTTCATGAATATTTTATCATGAAATTGAAATGCAAAAGAAACCTCCGTTGGTGACATTTTCCAAGGAAAGAATTGCGGATGCTGTCAAAGTTAAAAGCCACACAAGTCGTTCACAAATTTAAAATAAAAATAGCGATTGAGGGTTCTGTGTGATTTGCATTTTCAAGATTTTTAATGGATTTTAAAAATGGAAACATTAACAATTGACTGTTAAATATTTCGACATATTGATATTTAATATTTGGCAGTTTTACGTAGAATTTTTATTCTTATACTTTGTAGAAACACATATGGGAGAAATACAGAAAAAGTAGCTACAGGTGATGTTTACTTTATCTGGTTAACAATATCTACACACTGTGTACGTATAGAAAAATTATTAATTCTTTAAATGAGCCTGCCAGATCTCGATTGTCAAAGTTTGAGCTGAGATGTCCGAGTGGTTAAGGAGATGGACTTGAAATCCATTGGGTGTTACCCGCGTAGGTTCAAATCCTGCTCTCAGCGTATTTTTTTTTATATTTTATTTTAATTTTCTTTAATCGTATAAGACCAGACAGTTTCTGAAATTTCAGTTACATTTAAATCAACCCATTTCAATTGTTTTTATGTTTTAAATTATCAATTAAAAGTTTAAACTTTTTCATATTCAGCTTTTCATTGTCTTTGTATGGAATTTCAAATATTAATTGTATGAATATCTTTTTATCCTCATTTCAATACATTGTATGAATGCGAGTATAATAATACTATCAACAAAGTACAGTGGAACTTCGATAAACAGATAAACCTTGATAAACAGATATTTTTTGTCCCCTTGCTTGAATCGAATTTGTATGAAAAATTGCCTCGATTAACTGATGCACCTTCAGCCATCTGTTTATCGAAGTTCCACTGTAAATATCTAGAACTGTGTGGTGTAATAAAATTTTTAAATGATAAAATTGTATTTGTATCACTTGTTCAATAAGTTTTCTTTACAGCTAAATTAACATAATGTCAGAATTGAAGTATAGAAAATGTGAGCTGAGATGTCCGAGTGGTTAAGGAGATGGACTTGAAATCCATTGGGTATTACCCGCGTAGGTTCAAATCCTGCTCTCAGCGTATTTTTTAGTTTTTCTTTCTTATTTTACTTCTTAAAATCGATGAAAACTTCTGGGCATATAAGATGATGAAAAATAAAAATGAAGTCAAAAAAATCATCAAAGAAATTAAAATTTCACCAGAGAAATTAAAAATTTAAATTAGTTCAATTTCAATCTTACAAGTACATTTTTTTCCTAACAATCACAAACATAAAAGTTTACATTTCTCGATAATAATTGATAACATTTTTTAGGAAAACCAAAAAGTTTTTTGTTCTTACGCTGAGAGTAGGATTTGAACCTACGCGGGTAATACCCAATGGATTTCGAGTCCATCTCCTTAACCACTCGGACATCTCAGCTATTTTGTTTGCTTATGAAAATTTAGTTTTTCATAAATATAAAACGAAAATCGTGCCCATTTGAATGTAACAACTTTTTGTTTTGTAATTGATTTAAATACCTAGCTTTTCAAATACTTTTACTAGAATACAAATGAAGCTTGAACGCTGTAAAAAAGTTTTCAAATAAAGAAAATTAACTCGTTCATATATTTTTGGATAATATTTACTCAATGAATTTTTGTTCTAATATCGAAAAAAATAACAATCATATAAAATAATTTATCCCCATTGGTCAACCTTAGCGTAATTAAAGCTTTTAGTTGGAATCATATCCTTGAAAAATTGAGCGGATTTCTTTGGAACTCTTTCCTTATCAGGAGATGTAAAATTAATGTAATGTATTCCAAACTTTTCTATGTACCCCATTTTCCATTCAAAATTATCAGTCAAGCTCCATACCGTATAGGCTGTGATATGACATTCGTCATCTCTGATAGCTCTGACAACAGCTGCCAAATGTGCATGTAAATATTCAACTCTGTCATCGTCGTCAAGTTGTCCATCATCTGACCATCCATTCTCAGTTATCATCACTTCGGGGTTGTCATAACGAT